TCAGGTTCATTGTTGCTTTACGTCCTATTGTCTTTAAGGACAAGTCAGCTTCATTGTTGCTTTACGTCCTATTGTCTTTAAGGACAAGTCAGGTTCATTGTTGCTTTACGTCCTATTGTCTTTAAGGACAAGTCAGTTTCATTATTGCTTTACGTCCTATTGTCTTTAAGGACAAGTCAGGTTCATTGTTGCTTTACGTCCTATTGTCTTTAAGGACAAGTCAGCTTCTTTGTTGCTTTATCGACATGTTGCCGGTAGCTGGCGACTGTCCCATTTAGGTCTCGTACCCGAGGAGACCCAGAGGTGGAGGGGTAGTGATAAATATTACCCCAATATTCAAAGTCAGGAAGAAATCTCTGATATCCATACCATGCATGATTTAAAGACATATCCACTATCAAACTATTTTAAGGCGTTGGAATATGAGTGTGCGCTCATGGATGAGCAAAACGGTTTTAGACAAAGTCAAGGTTGTACAGAACATAATTGTATGTAATGTTCTTTTATCAATGATAGAACATTTACAACATGAAGTATAAGTTTGTTTTTCAGAGACGAAAGACGGTTATCTACAGTGTGAGCAGTGAGACCCCATCGAGGAAAATGAACTTCTTCACGGTTATCAAAAGCTGTGATGCCCACGCAATTAAAACTCTATATTCAGAGCACTTATCAAGAGCTAAAATTATTCGTATGACATCATCCATGTTTTTTTCAATGTGTATCACCGGTCTTGCAGCATATGATATCGATTAACTCAAATGTGGTGACAAAGGAACTTTTATTTAATCATTACAGCTTTGTAAAGTGACTTTGTATCTGTGGTCTAGATGATATTGATACGGAAATTGTACACTTTACAAATAAATGTTATGTTAACAAATACTATTTTTAATGGTGGAAATGTGTCCTTAATTAAAAAAAACAAGGACAGATACAAAGCTGTTTGGAGCTTTTTAGGACATGGGTTATTTAGTCCATGGACATTATAGATCGGCCAGCAGCACTCTGTCATGATTGTATAACGAGCTGGTGAAATGACTTTTATACTATGGAAGACGAGGTAGAATTACTACAGTCTGTAGACACTTTTGAATGATTCGGGTAGGAAGTTATGTAAACTTAATGGTTGAGATTTTGTTTTATTTGAACAGAAGAGAGCACCTTTTCTTCATCAAAACAACACAGAACAACGACAAAGGGCAAATAAAATCGTGGTAACTGACGACCCTAGTGCCATAATGGTTAATGAAAAACTAGTAAAGTCGTGGTACCTGTTACTTCTAATGTCGCAGTGGTTAATGAAAGGCAAACTAACTCTTGGTATTCGTCGATTCTGGTGGCGAAGTGGTTAATGAAAGGTAAATTATGTCGTGGTATCTGTTGATTCTAGTGTCGCAATGGTTTATTCTAGGCACACGTGATATAGAATAAATCCTGTGAAAGAAAGGTTATTGAGAATAAAAGAAAAAAAAACCCACTTTATAATAAGCAAAAAAAAGTTATAGAACATATATTTTTGTTATAAACTGGTCCTTTTGGTAGACAAGACAAAGTGTTGAACGTAGTTTTATTCGGTTTGTGGTGTAGTTCACCTTAACATGCCACTGAAACAAGCAAATATACCCGACCTCTGTATAGTATATAATTAACTGTATAGTATACAACTAACTGTATAGTATACAATTAACTGTATAGTATACAACTAACTGTATATAGAGGACGGGTACCATTTTGTGATGGTTTAGGGAAAACACGGACACCTAAGAACTGTTACCTTAAATAAGACTACAGAAAAAGTTGTTTTTAGGTTAAGTAATCTACGTTCAAGATGAACTGACATTAGTTACAACCAGTAAAATCACACCAACTGTATTCAAGATAGAGGAGAAGTTTTCTATCCTAATTAGGCTGGCGAATGCTTTTCACTTTTACGCATATTTCATGTGAAATATCAATTATCAGTTCTAAATCAAGTTTGTTTCCGAGCTGGACGTTAATTTACTCTATGTACGTAAGATAATTGTCAGTTCATTCAGATTTGTATTTATAAATGTAAAAAATGAAGAAAAAAAATCACCGGCAAGTGACTCGGGTATGTAAAGTGTATGTAATGTACACAAGAGAAGTTTGGTTCTGCACGAGACGATAAGGTTTAAAAATTAGAAAATTCCTACAATCCAGATCTGGTCCAATTGAGTATCACCTCTTTACACATTCCAAGTCTATTTTTTTATGGAACAAGGTTTCCTCTTTTGTTAAAGCCAGGATATTCAATACTACACATTTCGACATACATTTGTTAATGTTGTATGTAAAGAAGACAATAATTGTCATGGTCTTTGAACGTCATTTTGGTCTTAATTTCCATGCGACAAATCACAAATGATGAAGGAAGACAAACTGTTCGGGTACAAGTTATATATAGGCCAAAAAGACATGTTTTGAAGTTTTATTGATAAGCAAGCAAACACTCGGCGTTGTCATGTAAAGAAATTTCGTGTTTTCTCTTTTTTTCTTTAGAATCCTTATTTAAATAAGAAAACATATCCCGTCTAAAAGATACAGACTTCGGGTGTGGGCGGAACGTAAAATAAGTGAATCATTTCTTGGTGTGGGTTCCATTAAGCAAATACTGGTGCCAAGCAAGGTCGTTTAGATCAGTGCTTGGTATACAATAGAATATATCTATCAGGGAGATCGAGGAGACAGACTGGAGGGTCGGGCGATCTGTTGAAAGGAAACATCTTCCCTATCGAAGTGGTGCATGTCTAAATCCCTATTTACACAAAGATTAACACAGACCATTCAAAACAAATATTTCGTAACATACGTTATTTGACTAAAGATCAGCGGATTCGAGAAAGCACTTCTTACAGTGCATTTGTAATCGATCCGCCATATATTTTCATAGCGACTAAGCTGCTCCTTCAGGGTCTATTGGCTGTGATAGAACTGATGCACAGGCGTATCGGCTATGGTGGGGTTAATAATTAAACTGTGAAGGGTAATACCGATTTATAACTGATTAGACAGTACACCAATGTTCCAGCATCTAAAACATTATTCAGATGAACCGAAGAAAAAGCAGATTATTGAATCATAAACTGTTTAGAAACTCGCTTTTTACAGAGCTGAGTGAATGCAAGTGAAAATCTGATTTTAAAAACGAATTCGACATATTTCATTAAATCTCAATAACAAATAGACGGTATCATCACTAATATCTTTTATTCTTATTTATTTGTTTAAATGATCCTTAGGTAACTCCGTACAGAAACAAACATTTTACTACACCATGAAAATAAGTGCAGTATACAACCCCTTGCAAGCATTCCAGAGTTATTTCCCTTCCATTCATGAACTGCAAGGAAACATTGGGTCACTTATCTATTTTCTAATTACTGTATGAAATTAATCCAATTCATAAGTTATGGAAGAGAAAAATGTATATAAAATTCAGCATCATCAACATCCGTTAATAGACCAATGAATCGGTGATATCAACTGCCCAGACACAGATATAGCCTGATGTGACATAACTGTAACAGCATCAGCAGCAACAATCACGTTACAAAATGACCGTCAAAGCTGCAACTTTTTATCTGGCAAAACCCAAAAAAAAAAAAAAAAAACAACACCAATTTTCACCTTAAATGACAAAAGTGATTCTTGAGAAGTTTACAATGTGTTTTTTGAGATGACGGTCACAATTACCGACTGACTTGAAAAGTATCAAAACTTGGTCAGGATTATCTCAGGAGGATTTTTTAGTTTCTACCGAATCCCACAGGTAAAAATTGAAAACAAGTGAAAAGTAGGTATTGTTCAGCGAATCATGATTAAGCAAACATGTTTCAAACTGGCTGCCATATTGACCCTTTGATGAAGCCGAAAAATAGCATTTGGCGGCTTCCCTTCCTTAACATCACTAATTTTAAGCTTAATGGCATCAGTGGAACTTGAGAAGTTTAAAACGTTTTTCAAGATGGCGGCCATACAAGATTTCGGACCATTCCGAAATATAATACTTTTTCAGGACCTCCATCAAGATTTCAGATATGGTTCAGCTCTAGACGAAGCCATTTCGTTTCTTCGGATCAGTCCCGAAATCAAACCGGCACAAGCAGAAACAAAAGGAAATACACCTATGAAATTTGAGAGAGATCCATTCAGTACTTTTTAATAGGGATAACAATCTTTATTTGTCGAAATCAGATGACCACCTGTCGGCCACTTTGTTGTTCTAATCAGTCCCAAACTAAACAGGCACAACTAGTGACCAAGAGGAAGCTATGCATGAAATCTGACAGAGATATATGCAGTATTTCTCAAGAAATAAAGATTAAAAGCTTTCAAATTCAAAATCCCAAATTAGCCGCCTGTAAGCCATTTCCTTTTTCTGATTAGACCCAAAATCAAATTAACACAACTAGGGACAAAGAGGAACCTCCATCGGAAATTTCAGCGAGATCCATCTGCACTTCTCAAGAAATAGCCATAACTTGCAAAGTCAAAATCCAGGGTGGCCATTTTGTTTTTGATCAGTCCCAATATCAAACAGGCACAACTAACGGGAACCTATATATGAAATTTGAGAAAGATCCATCCAGTACTTCTTAGGAAATAGCAGTAACAAGAAATGTGTACGGACCACAGATGTAGGGCTTGATGGAGGCCTAAAATTCAACTTACAATTATATTACATTCATTTTCACAACCATAACTGCATTGATAATGATGGTTAAGTACTTGTAGTACAAACAGTTACACTGACAGAGACAGAATCTTCCTGCTTTTTTCAGGGGTATGAAATGATTTGCTGCCTATTACTGCTGGTAAGATAAAAGTTTTATTTACAATTAACTAAAGACATAACTTTCAATATATGTAAACCTTGTGCATGATTATTGTTTTACTCCAACCTGCAATATCAGTAACAACAAATATTTTATAATACATTCCCAGTAGAAAAAAAATCACACACAGAAAATGTCAGACAGAATTTATTACACATAAGATGAACATAAGATGAGATATTTGATTGAAAAAAACTTTTCCCTGAACAGCACTTCAACTGATGTCAATTATAAACAAAAGCAATTAATGTCAAAGACACCTTCTTGTTTTCCATTTTCCTACAATCTTAACATTTCCTAATTGGCAATGAACAAATATGGATTTGACATCTTCAAAAGTACAAAAAAAGTTGAGTGCATAATGTGTACAGTTGATAATGGTTATAATTTAACAAAAGAAAAAGTTACATAAAAATTAGGTTGATAGAAATGTTTTAAATACAAATTCATAGTGAATTTTAGGTCAGAGTTCATCGTGAGAATGTGGATCCATCGGTGATATTTTCCCTGAACAGCTAACAGGTGAAATAAAGTCGAATGCATATTCACAACGGCTAGGTTCATAGGCATTGGTCAATTGATTTTCTGGGCCACATTTAAAATGGACCTGAAATAAAGGTTGAAAGTCCTTTTTTTAGTTCTGTTTACAATAAAAGCAAGTTAATGATAGTCTTATTTCAGAGTTTGAAAACATGCTAAAACATTCAAACACAAAAATATTTATATTTTTATATTATTGAGTTTTAGCTATATACTGACATCAAATCTGAAGAAAAATTCAATGTCAAAATCACTGGATTTAATCTATCAATCCTTGAATAAACTTTGGAATTCAATTAATTTATACCCAAGAGATGCTACTCAAACATCTATGAAATTATTCAATAAGCCTTTTTTATTATTTAGATATTCCTCTAACAGAAGCTTTCTCACTATATAGGGAACTCACTTTAACAGATCTGTCTGGGCCATTCCAGCAATTCTGTCCACGCTCATACAGCTGAGAAGAGTAACGGTCATTCTCCGGACCACTCCATTTCCCCCAGGTTCTGAAAGAAAAAAAAACTTAGTCAAAGAATCTATGAGCAAGGATCAGAAATGTTAACAAGAGCCAGAGGGCCCTTAACGGTGACCTCAGTGTAACATCAAAAACAATTGAAAAAGATGTGTAGCAGGAAGAAGAGAAATATTGACATGGACGTACGGACAGACGGACGGACAGACGGAGAAGATGAAATAGAAAATGAGCAAACTATGCTCACAAATGTAATTTTCCTGTATAAGCAATAGTAAACCTAATCCTCTCCCCAACGGGGAAATGTGAGACCTGAGAGTCATGAAATTTACAATTTTAGTAAAGCACCTTAAAGCCCTGCTATCCATCAAATGTATTTGATTCTACTGTATTTGGGTAGTGAGAAGATTTTTTTTTTAAATTTCAGTCTATTTGACCCTTTTTGACCATGCCCTTCAGGACCCTGTGGGGATGGGGACCATATCATTAACAATTTTGGTTTATCTTTGGTCATGGAAGATTTCTGTTTCACTTAAAATAATTAAGGGATTTTCCAGCAGTGATAAAAGGAAAAAGTTAACAGACAAAAGGGAATTGCAATGTGTCACAACGAGACTTTGTCTCAGGTGACATAAAAGGAAAAGTATCAAGTTGTATACAAGAGTTTCAACTGACACCTTTATGAATATGGACTGAAGAAGGACTGATGAAATTGGACAACTGTCACTTAGAAATTTCAATGAAGTTGTATGAGCTTTTACAAGATAACTCCTTGAATCTAGCGAAACTGTATAAATCTTATGAGATTCTGTTTATATTGTTTATTTTTGTCTTACAATGCTCTATATCAATTTGAAAATTACTGACACCAATAAACCTTACAACCATCTACAAATGTGAACATAAGGACATAAATGTATCTGCTTTTTTATTAAGGAATTTCAATAGAGGGTGATTTAGAAATGAGATTAAGTCTCTTACACTATCTTTACAATATGCATGGACCTACCCAAGACTTGTCTCTGAGCCCCCAGACTTTGGTCTTTGTGAGGCGCGGTCAAAAGCACATAACTTGTAGGTGTACTCCCGATCAGTGTACTCAAAGCATTGATCCTTCAGGACCGAAAATTCCTCATCATTACCAAAGTCCAGGTTCATGTAGCTCTGCAGCGATCTAGAAATGGTTAAAAGTGTTGTTTAGAGATAATATTTGCAGGTGATTTTCTATGTAAATCTATGATACATGTATTTATACTAGCAACAGAATAAAGTGCAATGTAACGTTGTCAAGATTATTGTCGTCAACTTCAAATACTATTCTTATCAAGACAAAACATTCCATTGAGTACTAGCCCACAGCCAGATTATTATTATCTTTTTTATTATTTTTTTGCTTTTAAAATGTTCTTTTCTAAAATTTGAATGTAAAATATAAATAAATGGCATAACAAAATCATCTTAATCCTGCTTGTCTTGCTATTGAATAAGTACAATATTTTTGTCATATCTGATTATCACTTCTCAGGAGGTTTCTTCTTGAGACTAAATGCAAGCTTAAAATATGATGGATCTCACTCTCTTCATAATAAACTGAATACATGTCAACATTACCATGATTATGATAGTTGTCTACAATAACACAGATTGGATGCATGCAAGCCTTTACTTACGATATTTCTCTGTCGATGGATTTAACTTTCTCATCAGCAGCAATGAAAGCATTCCTAGCAATATCAGCAGCTGTAAAATAAAATTAGCAGTCAGACTATGATGACCGTTGTTTTTCTAAAATGCAATGCAAATCCTCATGGATCCAGACAATGGAAACCAATGTATGTAGAAGTAGCCAGTTCCATATACTGGTACACATTGTCTTACTCACGATATCTAATGTTACTCTACATCTATCCATTCATATGTATATGTGTTGTCAAAATGTAACACCATTTGGTCAAAGGACCATTTTTGAAATTGTGTCAATCTCCAAGAATTTTGCAAGCTGCCATTAAGGGAGTGGTTAACTCAACAATATTAGTATTAGAATGTGAATACAAGTAACCAAAACTTTAGTTTGTTTTGTTATGGGCCTAAAATACACATTGCTCAATAGTATTATAGGACTGTACGATCATTTGCTAAAGCATTCATTGCTTAATCATTCCTTAATTAATATTTAAAGCTTCATTCATACCGATACTTCTAACACAATGGCTTTACTTATGAACTTAAATCCTATTGGTAACACAATCTAATTCGATCTGAATATTATTTGTTTCAATTGTCATTGTATTTCATGAACAGGTTTTTCTAGATCTGTATCACTCTAAACATACCATCACAGTTTTCCAATTTGTAGAATGACTGGGTTCATAAAATAATAAACTTTGATGGCCAATATGTCACCTTAAGATCCTACATACACACCTTCTATTAGAACCTGAGTCTCCTCATCATAATCAGGCATTTTATCCTCTGTGTCTTCTGCAGTCTGAAACATAAAACCCACCCTCTGAAATTCCTTTTGATTAGTATGTGATAATGTTCATTAGTCACCGACCATACTTTTTCCTGAAAGACAATATGTCATCAGCAAAGAATATCCAAAAACCAGAAAAGTTTTGATTGGTTGTCAGTTATTATATGTAGTATCTTATTCAGTGTTAAATGTTACATTTGTAAGAGTTTATGTTTAATGTTACATTCTGAAATGAGATGATTTATAAATTTTCCTTACTATCATAATCAACTTTGAATGACTAAATAGGTTGATTTAAAGTATTTATAGAGATGTTTGAGAGTGGCACAAATATTTTTGTGGATATTATAGACAGCTCTGCGATCTTAGGTGTGGACAACAAACACACCTGACCATCACCACAAACCATCAGGTCATTATGTAATTATCTTACCCATTAAGATCAAGGTCATTTTGCAAATTGTTACCAAAGCCACAAAGGTCAAGGACAAGGGAAGACAATTTCATAATCCCCCCCCCCCCTCCAATTCTCAACTTCTTGTTGTCATGTTTTATATAATTATTCTGCAAATTTATCTCTTCATTTTAATGGTATGTGAAAACGTGCAGCAGTACATGACAATTTCATCTTAAAATTTCAAAGTGGATTTTGCTTAACAAAACCTTGATTTCAAGATAGATTCAAAAGAATCCTAAATGAGTTTACTAAATGGGCAAAATGTGATGTCAACACATTTATTTGCTTTCAGAGCTTTACCCAAATCTGATGAGGGAGGTTACTCTCTAGCTATCTTACCCCATTGTCTATCAGTTAAATAGTTAACCACATAATGACATAACTTATTCAAAGGAAATAGAACTGGAAATTTATATATGCATAGAAAGTTGTTAGATGTGAAGTAAAAATAAAATAGGATAATTCCAACCACCAATTATTTAGCCCTTACTCGCTGAGGAACACAAACACCAAGCAATTCTTCAATTTGTACAGGTTTCAACATAAACATTTGATACGATACACTTGTTCTCTGGAAACACATACATCATGAACAGACACAAGGATCATAAGATTTAAAACCAATACCTCATTCTCCAATATTTTATTTTGCACAATAGCTGCCTTTGCTCTGTCAATGGCTTCTTGCACTAAAGGGTCCTAAATTACACCAGCGATAAATAAATGTGAAAAATGGAAATCAAGCTGTGTCAAGATTTATCATTAGAAAAATTGAAGAAAAAATCACTGATTCAGTTGTATTTCTCTCTATAAAAGTATAAAACTGGGAAATTAGCATCTAATTACATGCAAGTTCTAATGAAAGTACCAATACATGAGTTTAGAAAATAAAACTCAGGTCAGGAAACTGTATTAAGAGAGGAATTTATGCCAACACCTGTTAAGATGGATTACCTGTATGTTGTTAGTAGGGGAGTCAGTTGTTACCAAAGTACCTTCCTCTGAGATGAATGGTAATGGTGTGACAGTACTAGGAACAGACTAATGATAAAATGGAAGGCCAGATAATGTTATATATAGAGGCAACGTTACATGTATTGACAGGCAACTTTCTCCTATGCTTATTGTAAACCTTATTTTACAAGAAACTGAACAATTTGTTTACACTACTGACTACTTTAGACACCCCTCTACAGTGATTTTTTGTGTAAAGTATATATGTTTTGTTTATCATTACCTGGGAATAATTTTACCTGATGTGATTATACTGAAATTATTGGACCATAATTCACTTAACAACGTAACAGTATGAATGCAATAGACACATCACTCAATATTAGGGCAAACTCATACTAACTAAGTAGTCTGTTCCACACAAAACAAACAGAATTGAGGGGTAAGCCTCAAACATAAAAAGCAGAAACGAAGCAACAGAGTAATCAGAACAGTATCATGTCGGAATATCCTATATCAACTTGACGGAGGTTTTCAGAATTAGACATCAAACTATTTTTGATGTAATTTAGATTTAGATTTCTGGACTTGATCTGTGAAAAAGTCATTAGATCTTTAAAATGTCTGTCCATTCAAGTGAAAAAAGACCTCTGTGCCAGTGGGAAATAATGTGTTATGTTGAGTGGAGAAAACTACAAATCATTCCAAACAAACAGTAACATCCATTTTTGTAAAAAGTAAGACATGCAGCCAGCTTAGACATCGGACATGTTTATGAGCACAAACAGGAATGTGGCATTTATACTCACATCATGATAATCATCCCTATCATCCATGTCATCCTCATCCTCCTCATCCTCTTCCTCCTCCTCCTCTTCATCATATTCATCCTCAGGGTCCAGAGGAGGGGGAGGAAGGGAGTTGGGAGAGTCCTACAAGGGAGGTAACTCAACATCAGACCCACCCATCTATACTTAGGTTTATAGTATTGTGTTAAATTCACAATATCTAATGTACAAACATATTCAATTCAAACAGGTCAATGATTTCCAAGACATATCACTGCACTTGCTCTAATAGAAATTCAGTTTTCAAGCACACTAAGTCTACTCTAAAGCCGGAGCTAAGTGCAACGCCCACCAAAAGAAGCAAAGAAAAATAAAAGGAGGGTCATATGGATCAATACAGATCATATTGGCACCATACTCCCCAATATGTTTCCACAAATTTAGATTGATGACTGTACAGATACCATAATTAGAATAAAACAGCTAAAATTAGTATCTTATAAATAACTTAATATGTTCAGATGAAAATGATCGCTACTATTCTGCTGAGGTGAAGTTGGAATTCCCAGACAAACAGTTTTCTAAGGGAGGGTATCTCAGATAGTTTTTGTATTCTGATATTCAAAGGAATATTGGGATATATCATGAGATATTGTACTTCAGTACACTTAAATGATTTTTGCAAAATAAAAGTGTACACAAGAGAGCACTAGCTGAATTTAACACAGTTATGTATTGAAATCTGCATCATTTTGAATTTGAGGTTCAACAAAATTTCTCTGCAAACTTATCCAAAGTTCTGTGGTTAATTCTGTCAAACAGTTGTCGAAAGTTGCTGCAATATATTGTGATACTGAAAATTATATTGCAATATGATGTCACTTGACAAATGCTGCAATATAATGTCATTAGACAAATACTGCAATATAATGTCACTAGACAAATACTGCAATATAATGTCACTAGACAAATACTGCAATATAATGACTAATAAACAGTTAAATTGGGAGGGATTATTAAATCTTTCTATTTTTTTAATTGGTGCTGTTCTACTTAACATGACACTAGTTTAGGAGAAATCAGAGTAAGTGTAGAGATGAAAATGTTATGAGTTACATGATGTATATATTTTTGTCAAGATGCATACAATGAAAGGATAAACATTGACCAATAATAAAAAATAAACTCATCAATTAAAACCAAATAAAAGTTACACCGCAACAAAAAGGCAGACAAAAAATGGTAAACTTTTAAAAATGAACTGTAATTGTATGATTCATTGTTGGTAAACAATCTCATCAGTGACTACATAGGCCTGACCTATCAAAGTTCACAAGCATTCAAAAACATTTCTCTATCAAAACTTTTGGTGACAATGACATACCAAAGGTTGATCTTACATAGGGCTGTACTCAGATATTTAGAATAAATATTGAGGCAGTTTCAAAAGCAAATATGTGCACAATGATGAATCCACCTTGTTAACTGCAGAAATTCTGAGAATCTGTGATAGCCAATTTGACCCCTCAATTTGCTTGGCTGAGTATCCCAAGAGGTTACCCTTGGTCTAGATATGTGTTGGTCATTTTCTCTAAGGTTCAATTGATTCAACAACTTCCAGGAAAACAGCCACTGACATTTTATCAAAGCTTATTACATTATTATTAACACATTCTTCTACACTATACATAAAATAAAAGATAATGTTTGTGGACAAAGCTTTCACAAAATTTATGTTGATAAGTCATTATGTTTAGAAACATTTAATGATTAGCCAATACAAGATGTTTATTTATTCATTAAACAATTTCCCATAATATACAGAAACAGTACATGTATATAAAACAAATTTGTGTCTATTTGATAGTCTTGTATTTATATTTTACACTATATAATGGGGTGTACAATTATGAGAATTTTCCACCAGCCCAAGGGCTAGTAAGCCACTTTTTCTCACTAGCCCTGATCAAAACCACTAGCCCAACTTTAGCAATTTTTCTATTATTGCTAAATGCTAATTATTGCTTTTCTATCATTTACTGTTTCCCCAATAGAATTAGTCATATCTGTGTTGTTGAATAAAGTATTAAACAGGTATAGATGTCTGGTTTCTGTGCAATAAGTTGATAATTAACATGAAATAAATCAATATAAATGTTTACCATTGGAACACATGAATTTTATTGAACTGGTACATACTGCATTGTAAATTTAAATTTTCTAACAGTTAAATACCAAGACTCAATCATATCAAAGTTCAGCAAACTGAAATATACTTTAATTGTAAAGTAAACTCATAAATCTAAGTCAAGATGTGCAGAATTTTAATACAACCAATTTTATTGACTAGCCTCTGTTTTCAGCAAGTTGAAATTTACCTAGTCACTGTGAACTACTACTCTCAAGATATGTGTACTTTATTCTCCCATTTCATTTCCACTGGGAAACACTTATGGCAATAAAGTACACATTGGAGCTGAACTATTGTGCTAATATTAATGAAATGAACATTACTTTATTTCTTACAGGAAATTGTGTGATGTTTTTATATATAAATTTCCAATCTTTCAAGTGTAAAGCTGACAAAAAGTATGGAGAAATGTAAACATCTTTAAGGCATACATATCTTCATGTATCTGAAATATTTTATTTAGAAAACCAACAGTGATGTTTGAAAAACTTAGTGAACTGATGGAACTGATGGTTGTAATATTTTACAACACTGACCAATTATCACATGTACAGCTATCAGAAATATGTACAGAAATAGGTTGGCTTTTAATGCTGGTTTAGCCCACAAGCTAGTCCTGGGCGTTGGGCTAGCGGAATTGTACACCCCTGATATAAACAACCTCAATCTCTAAAGAAAAATGAAAATAAAAAACTACTCTGACTTTATGAATATTGCTCAAACAGTTACAAATTCTAAAAGGAAAAGTATTACCAGGATTGAACAATACTTTAGCCAAAAAAGTAAAAAAGACAAACTGAATAGTGAAGGAAGGGTGAGAAATGCTGTATAAAATGCCATTTGATGACACACTCACTTTAGCTTCCTCGTCTGGGGGAGTGGCTGTCTCTCCCTGTGAGTCTGCTGGGGGTGAGGCCTCCCCATCAGCTTGACTTTCTTCAGGAACCAAGGGTTTGTAGATTTGTTTGACGTTTGGCCAGATTTTGGAAACAAATGTGTCCATGTCTACTTTATCTGCCTCTTCCAGATGTTCCTTTAAGAAAACAAAAGGCAAAAAAAGACATAAATTTTGGTAGTTAATTTACCTATTTAAGATACTGGTGTACTTTTTTCTGTCTTCTCTGCCTTATAAACATTTTCCTTTTAGAAAACAATAAGAAAATAATTTCTGAAGTTTTCAAGGTTGATTTCCAACAGCCAATGAACCACTGGCAGTTTTGAAGATTTGTTTTAGTTTCATCATTATTAACGCCCAGATTTTTGACATCAGGTTAATGGCAAATGCTATAACACCAGCAACAAATTAACAAAGAAGAATGACTAAGTTCAAACAATACAATATCACTTACATATTCTAAAATGATCACAATGCATAGAAATTATTCATTTCTGGAGACCTCCTGTGTGATCACTATTTTGCTGTTAGATCTACATAAATTAAGTCCTTGTGTTAATAATGCTGTGATCTACTGATATCATAATTACCTTTGCTTCCTCTTCACTGACCACACCATTGGAGTCAATATCAAACTCATTGTGAATGACCATCTCTAAGACATCAACACTGTGGCAACATATGTACAGGTATTAAGTCTAGTAAAAAGCATTCCTTCATATCAACAGTAAACAACCCAGGTTGTAATTATTTCATTAACCTATTTTCAATTTTGTTAAAACACAAAAGAAACTATGTAAAGACCTGATACTCCATATCAAAAGATTCTTTGACCATGATTAAAAGATCAGTGTTCTTCTATATGTCAAAAAGATTATGTATCCGTTCAGAGCATCATATGTACCAAAACTATCATGGATTCATCACCATGAAAGCTGGGATCATTTCATATCCAAACAAAATTGTCTTGAACATGGATTATCAGTTATACATATAACACAGACTTGTTTTTTTTCTTGTTTTATATCATGTTCAACATTACTTAGAAACTTAATGCAGTGTAATTAGAGTACTCATGAATTTTATTGGTATATGAATGTTTTGTCCCCCATGTGGTACTTACAAGTTATCATTGTTGGAGTCCAGTTCCTGGAAGGCTGTTGAGGCAGCAGCTGCCTCTTTTTCTGCTGATCTACGAGCTTTCTCTTCTGCATGTAAATATACAATATACTGTATTAACTCATCTACTATAAAAAACTAGTTCAAAGAGGAAATAACATTACAAATATAAATATTATAAAATCTGATAATGACAAAAGAAAATTGTCAAGTAAGTTGTGCAGTTTTCAGAAATTAATGAGTATGTAAAAAAACATGCACAAGAACAGCTCTTTTTTTACCCCAAGTTATAATATGAGATATATAATCAGAATTCATTGCAGGGCTCTCACACCCCATTTTGGGACTGGGGCCCCGGGCCCCGGGCCCTTAGAATTGGGAAAAATAGCTGCATTTTCCTTAGAATTGGGAAAACTTGGGAGTCTAAATTGGGAAAAAAGATACTATTTTGCATTGGGAATGGGGCCAAATATCGGCCCCAAATCTGGTAGATCGAGAGCCCTGCATTGCTTACCATCCCAGGCCTGTTGATGTTTATCTTTTGCTTCCTTCTCAGGAGCTTCAGCTTCTTCTTTCTTGGCTGTAACAGAGGTAGAAATTTTACTTCTCTTCAAAAAGAAATTTGCATAGCATTCAGCAGATAAAACATTTTCCTTTTTCGACCAATATGTATTATTATCAATTTCTGATTGTTCTGTACTATTCTCATGGAGATCAGGCAATTTCCCCTTTTTTGAGTAAGGGGAAGTAACTCTCCATTATCTATGTATATTACAGTAGAACTGGACAAACTTCAGCAAGTAGAACGCTAATTTGTACAAAATTGTAATCAATAATTGGTTTATGATCAATGAATTTTTAGATGCCAATGAATAAGCATGGTTTTTTAAAACAAATTCTCAGCAGTTCTAAACACTAGACATACTTTCCAATTCCTGGCGTTCTGCCTCAGCTGATTCTCTGTCTGTTTGTAATTGCTCAAGTCTGGCCTAGAAAAAGGAAAACAAAAAACTATGATCCTTTGGTTAAAGTTACTCTACGCAGCTTTACACAACCAAACAATACAAAGAACAACAAGGATGGCCATTACTTATGCAGCTTACAGACAACATTTATACAGCTATGCAGGCTAAAATAGAAAATCAACTATCTTGATCAAGAAAGTGACCTTTTTTTCTTCTTTCATCTTCTTGCCAGTTTCAGCAAATTCTTTCTTCTTTTTTATGCCTTCTTCTTGTAGTTTCATGATACGCTCCACCTCCTCTTTGTGTTTCTTCCCAAGTTCTCTATAAATATAAAATTATAACATTCTTGATGTTGTTCCCAACATCTAAACTGCAGTACAAACCTGTCCCTATAACATTTCAATTATTTTATGGCAAATCAAACCGATATGCATTTGTAAAGATGTGGTATGCCAATTTTTAGATTGTCAAATAAACTTTTACTTTCTTTTCAATATAAGTTAAGACATCAATTCTGAACAGAGTAGGAATAAACTCTTCAATACCCTTGAAATCTGCAAAGGTCACTACAAACTTACTGACAAGTGTTGACACAGGCTATGTTTCCTGAATATTCGTCGGTTCCATCACAACAGTCTACAATATCAAAATAATTATGTATTAATTCCGGTGCTACAAAGAATATACTGATATAGATCACAGAATTGAATTTAAATATTGTTTATAAACAAAAATCACATGTATGAAGCTAGTAGTATCAGGGTTTTCCATAAAAGCCTTGATCATTTGGCCGTCTATACCAATCCAGTTCCGTAAGAATGTTCCGTACACGACTACATGTACACGGCAGGCCAGCCTCCTACTTTCACTACACAGCCTACTACTAACAAAATTATGGAAAACCCTGAGTATCGTGATTTTTAACCAAGAAAATTCAATTCAGAGTAACCTTTTTCAATTTGAGATGAACTGATCACATTTTTTACTTAATTCTTTTGTACTGAATGTTTAACTTGACTTTGTTGAAACTTCCTTAATTACAATGATTACCATCGAACAGTTTAACAGATGAAATAAATCACTATAAAAATGCTAATGATAAAAGTTTCATTGAAGATCTTCAACAATTAGAAATGGCAAATCTCCCTACCACAAACACCATCATTGACACGGGAAGCTGGAACTATCAGTGGTCGATGTCCGGCATTGGTGCAAGTGAACTTGCCATTTGGGCAAGCAGATGTACCTAAAAATAATATAATTATTTTAAAAAGTTCACCACGCCTTGAAGATCTGGCACATAACAATGAGAGGCAATCAACCTTTCATGTGTGTTAATGGAAAAGAGCAAATTAATATATAAACTTGATTTATGAGAATATCACAATGTATCAGATGCACTACAATTTGGTATCTGTTATTCTCTTGACAGCAATTCAGCAAAAATTAAGTATAATCTACTTAAAAATTGCAATTTAACACAAATATCCTAGTACATCTTAACAATCATACCTGCTCAAAAGAGCAGATAACTCTGTATTGTAAAAAGATGGAATCAGCAACCATTGGTTGAAATCCTGGTCAGAGCATCAGATTGCAAAAGGACACCAAATGCCCAAGTTAAACCAGGGTTTAAATGACAGCAGAAATCTTAAATTGTAAATAATGCCCCACAATCTGATTAATCCAATCACAAATGTCTGACTTAACTAGTGCAGTTTACACAAAAGAATTAATTTACCTGGTTCATCAGATCCATCAGCACAGTCACAATAGTCATCGTTCACATAGGAATACGGGAAAGTCTGAGAGCCATCAATACAAACAAACACACCTTCATTGTTAGGCTGATAGTGGGATGCATCTAAAAAAATGAAAAAGTGTTTCAGTCAATTAAAAAACAATTTAAAAATAGGAATTAATAGATCTCCAATACTAAACCGTTTTTATTATTATTTTTTCTTTTCTTTCTCAATAATGATGTGTGCTGATGAAATTGTCACTTACTAGTCCATCTGAACAATAGAATCAGCTAATTTACGGAGGTTATACACATATTGACATCCATCATACAAACATCCATAGGTTTAAGAAAATTTGAAATCCTTGATTACCAATAATAAATCTCCACATTGTACATCATCTGCTGTAATGCCCAAAGAAACATTTTTTTCTTTCTCACATGAAGTCATGAGGTGGCATTGAGTATGACATACATCATTTTATTCTGTCTCTCTCTGGCTCTGATGTCTCATAAATGTCTTTTGAAGACATAAAATGATAACACAGTCTACAAGTGACCTTATTAGAGAGTGGGCTAATAGAAATTTTGTTTTAGTGTAGTGGTAGGGTATATGCCTTGAGATTGAAAGGCCCTTGGGCAGCCAGGATAGTTTTTGTTCACTCCAATTCCTAGTAAATAGACTTTGTGTCACTGACCATTCTCCCAATATAACTATTGTGTTAATTAATTGGCTTAGCATCAGTACAGTAGGTTATGGGCTGATAATCAAAACTAATTGAAAATTCATTAAGAAATGAAACCAATTAATCAATGGTGAAATTGTAAAGGGGATTAATGGTTAGTTCTGGAATGACTCAAAGTCCCCCTTGGAAATGCATAGATCTAGTATAACTACATATTTACAATAAGCAGTGTTGTTAGATTTCATCAGTGGTAGAAAATCCAACTAATGGTACAGAAATAGATTCTGTAGCTGGTATCTACCTCACTGAACATTATATGAGTCCTGGCACATGTCATCCAGAGCAGTATTGGGGAAGTGCCTGTGGACATAACCACTTCATAACAATATGCCTAGTTTATTTCTTACTCTTATACATATAAGTGGTCTTAGTCTACCAGCTGCATTGGCAAATCTTCAACATGATGCCTGTTAAAACTTTCACACCATACTAAACCTCCAATATTGTTGGAGTATCCGTTTCTCAGCTTCATTTTAAACACAAACCAAACTTAGGTCATTGCATTGATCATTTATCAAAACCTAATTTTTGCTACTTAGAAAATATCAGGGTATATTAAAAAAAAGTCCACAAATACACTTCAATCAAGGTAATGTGGTCAATGCATTGTGTTCGAAAGATTAACGAGTATATTCGTCTGCGATATTTTAAGACCTGTTGGTCCCAACTGTCCGTTCCTGCTATTGTATTAGTATGGTATCTATAGTCCACATATTATAGAACGTCCGATTACTGTGTGTTTAGCGAGGATTTTTTTTGTAGGGATGACATGAGTGGGTGGGGGGGGTACCCCCAACGAATAAACCATGGCTATTTTCAATTTGTCATGACTGAGACAGTCAGGGCGAAAGCATTACTTGAATCGGCTACTCCTCTTGGTCTCGGGATGGTAGCAGACGTAATAACTATGAAACAGTTTATCAGCAATGCCTTCATGATCATGTTGAACCTTTTCGTTGATAAAGAGTGACGTGCACCGGCAGCTTTCCGTCTGTGATATATGGCCGATTCTCATTGGTTGGTAATTGTGATAAAGGGAGACAATCTAAAATATTCTGTGGCTCTAAGAGTAAGGTATTATATTCTATAATACAAGTGGTTCTAGAGGCAATATTTTCGGAAATCTCAGTTGTACTGAGGATGATATCATAGCATATCTACCAAAGTGGGTAAATCTCCTTTGCAATTCACTTTTGCAATAAGGAAGCTGTTTTGTGGTGATGCAGAGGTCTTGGAAAACTTTGGATGTAGCAAGGGTGGTCTAGGGATCACGTTGAAGTATAACAATCACATCTCAACCATTTAAGCTTAAATGAGACATATATGATTTGATTAAAACTTGGAGGAAATCATAGCCATTATATTTCTTAAATTATCCATTGCACCAAAACCAGAAAAAAATACATTTAAAACATAGCATTTATTGTAATATGAATAAAAAAATATTGAACAAATATAAATAGAGACAGAGATTTCCAATTTTATGCAAATGTATTAAAAAAAACAGCAATTGATTACAGCGCAGTAAAATATTCATTACACATACCTGTCTATAAGGTCCCAACGAAATATCAGATACAAGGTTTTTGATGTTATAGAACTTAATACCTTGAACCAGTTAGGTTTAACGTTTTCTGCTTCACATCTTTCCTCGCCTCCTTTTTGAGTGTGTCAAGTGAAACTTTTGATCAGCGTAACCAGACATATATAACACATATATACGTCTCCGGCGTAACTTCACAATTGTTTACATTTGAAATACAAACGATTTATGTTTAACGTGTTTATGGCGCAGCCGTTTATTTATTTTAACAATTCTGCATTATACGTAAGTTACAATTGGAAAATAATAGGAGGCATGTTCACTAATGAGTGCAGTGTTAATCGTCATTTTGGTTTCAATACTGGAATTTTCGAATTTCCCGCGCTCTTAATCATATGTCGTAAAAACACTATGTATTACAGTAATCTTTGTTTTAACCTTTATATAACCAATATGGTACATATTTCACATACATCGAAACTGTGTACATATGATAAGCATAATTAGGATGTTTGTAACGTGATAATACATTTAAACATTTAGACATGCCGTAAACCAGATTGAATTTGACGTCATCGTCGAGAAAAATACATAACGGAGGATGGTCATGAAAACATAGAAGCGTGATTTCATCGAAATGGCAGATTTTTTTAAGTCTGCACTGGGTTATATTAGTGGCAGTGGTACTGGGGGAACTGACAATGATTTTGTTGGTCAACAAGTGGAACTAGGGGACCAGAAACTACGAGTAAGGCGTGTGATCGCAGAAGGTATGCCCTTGGTTCCTCCTCCCCCACCTGTCAGATGATAGTAGATCGTTTCACTAAAACCATTTCATTGATTGATATAATTTCGCCTGAAGCTAACTTTTCATGCTCGACCTGTTCTTCAAATAACACATGTTAATTCTGACGTCTTACATTGATACGGGCATTTGATTGTGAACGGTTAACAACCAGGTATAAAATTAGTTCAATGAAATTCATTTATACCGGTTATGCATGGAGAAAGTTCGGGATTGTGTTCATGAATCGTAGCAAATACACATGTATCCGTCAAACAGAGACGTCACTTGAAGATGTAGGGTATGCTTTACCATTCATTAAATATAATGTGTTGTTAGTATTTTTTAAAATGGACCTGTTGTTCAATTTTGTTTTCTATTTAGCTGTCGAAATAGGTCAAAGGGCAATCATTTACCCAGCGGCTGTTCTTGTAGCCAAGTAGATAGACTACAAGCTTAATATCTATCTGGCTACTCAGGTTTGACATTGAGTTTTATAGATGTGTTAAAAGAATACAGTTTTTGTTCAAACCATTTATTCTTCATAAAAATGACAGCGAGATGTGTTGCCCCTTTTTTTCAGATTTATATTGATAATACACTTACCATTAAATTAATTTAGGATTAAATTTATTAGAATTATACAAATTAATTCCATATGTCAAACAATTCCTTATACATTGTTATTACTTTTGTAACTTTTACTAGTGAAGGTCAGTCATGAAATTTCAGTAGTAGTTGTCACACTATTCTCGGATAAACAGAATATTATGTTACTTGGGGGTTGAGAATTGTGGTGACATTTTCTTGGAGAAATGAACTGTTGACATATGCTATCATTTATCAAAACTATTAAACCTTCAAGGTTACAATCCCTTTGATTTAATTCTAGAAAAGCCAAAGTTAGTCTTTGGTTAATAATTGCCATTTGTGTTTTATCCAAAACTTAAGGTTTCTAGTCAGGATCTATAGATTGAGTGAGGGAATTTCAAGTGTTGATGTATCATTCTGCTTTTGATGCTGCAATGATGAAAAGTTTAATTATTTGTTAATTATTCCATATCAGACGTGAATAATCCAAGAGCTAAAAAACTGGCTCAGACTTTTTTGGCAGTGTTACTGTGTAGTCCATCACTTCAAAGTATCATCCTGTCTAGATTCTGTTAAAAACTTTTTGAGATGCTCTGAATTCAAATTATTTTAGGAAAGCCATATAAACTGAAACAATGATTGGTATGTTGTATAACATTTATAATAATGAAATAATCAAGTTATATTAATTATTAAACACATGTTTACTGAAACTAACTAGGACTAACGAAATACCTGAAGGTAAAAAGAAATCATGAAACTGACTCCAGATAGGGCTTACTTGAAAGACTGGTATTAATAAGCTGCTCTTACGAGTCATAGTCTTGTAATGAAACCAGTCAGTTGATTTTGTGGAATATTTAGTTACCGACCATTGTGGAATATCATGCAGTGTTCTCACTTCAGTCGTTCTCATTATAATTCACAAAATGATTTTAGATTTTACTTATTCTTATGATATATAATGCAGAAGATAGCTTTTATTTAGTTCCCATTTGTTGAGAATCCTTCAATAGATGCAAGATAATCTTATCAAAAATGATTGTGAAAAAAAAACATATTATGGAGTTGGTTTGGTTGCAGTCAGAAATCCAAGGATTCTTAGTTGTGCCAAGAGCTAAAAGTAATATCTTATTTCCTCACACTGTCTTGTTTTCTTAAAAGATTTTCTCTGACACAGAAATCTAAATGTAGCATGACACTTTTAAAGTGAAGAAGAATATTTCTAAAACTAGATCAGGGTTATAATTATCAGAACATCAATTTTCTTAACAGATAATGGAATAAATTGGTCAACTGTATTTTGTACTTTAAATAATTGTTTCAGCCCAGTCAAAATGGAATAAATTGGTCAACTGTATTTTGTACTTTAAATAATTGTTTCAGCCCAGTCAAAGTATACATCAGTATATATACTAAAATTGTTAAATATATATTTTCACATATTCAGACAGTATTTGGTTAATATCATTTTCGCCATATACAAGTTAAATATTTAAAAAATGGTATAAGCATGATTGCCGATGCTATTAATTTTCACCTATTCTCATGAATTGCATATATATATGTATATATTGATTTGCACTTACTGGGAATGATTTTTCACCTTTTCTTTTGACTTCATTGAATAAGATTTGATCCCATTTGTTTACAGGCGAGGCAGGTTTTAAGGACATTGTATACTATTATATACAATGGATGTATCACAATGTACCACATTGCTGTATGATTATATTATTATAATTCTAGTATTTTCACTCAAAATTGCTACACAGTATTGGGATATGTATTACATTGTTGAATATGCATTCAGACTGGTATGGATATTATGCAATAGTGATATATTATACATACCTATTTTGGATACCTGGTACTCATAATTTTCAATCCTGTGAAATACTGGCTTGACTATAAATATGTTTATTTTGTTTTATTTTTATGAATCATTTTATTAAGAACATTTTTGTATCTCCTAGTAAGATGTCTCCTATTATCATGTCACCTATTATCATGTCACCTATTAACGTCATGTCATCTGCCAGTGCTTAATTTTGTATGGGATTACCCTGGTAGTGGGATAAACATCACCTTCTTACGTAATAGATAAAAGTTCTTTGTTCCCATGTTTAAGTTGCATTTCATCTACATGATAATGATATATGTATAAAACTTAGAGATGTTAACTGCCTATTTTTGATGCTGAATGCAAATTGCTGCTATCTAGCTATGGTAAAGTTTCAAGATAACAATTAATTACCATCACTGTTCAAATCCCTCCTTCATACAGTTTCTGAATGTGGGCTCCTTCTTTGTCCTAAGTAGTGTTTATTTTTGAGACTGACCAGAAACATAAATGACTGAGAGACAATCGCCTTGTACATTTTTGACCATGAAACTTTGTTTTCACTGCTCCTTGAGAAGTACTCAAATTTTCTATAAATGTTTCTCTTAGTCCCTGAAGGCACTCTTTCATGTGTGATGGAGGGGAGATGGCTAAGACAGATTTGTGGTTGTTGAATGGAATTCAAGAGGTGCTTCCAATTTTAATTTCCTATAGGCAATACTTTAATGTACCCTAATTGATGTTCTTACTGTTATATGCACTAAGAGGTATACCATATATGCCTCTGTAAACTTCTGTGCAACCTTAATTTCTACAATGCATAACTAGTTGACCAAAATTTAAACACTATCATACAGTAATATTGTGTTGTGATGGTCTTGCTCTTAATTTTCAATATGGTTACTATCTGGTTAGACATTTCCATTCCTCAGTTTATCAAAAAGCAAATTAACGTAGTCTGGCATTTCTTTATGAAACATTGATGTCAGTAGAGTAGAAGTATTGGATGTGTCCAGCACCTGGTGTAGACCAGTCCCAGAAGTTGTTTTCTAGGATAAATCTTATTATGTCTCTCTCTAGTTAGCTAGATTAGGCTGAAGTTTTCACGCACTTGACAAAAATCAATGTGAACAGTCAGGAGCACATAGAGCAGTCCCAGTCTGGTAAATCAATATTCACGTTGTCACAAAATCTAGGTGCATACAATGTAGTAATATAGGTAGAGTTTTAAGGTTTGTATTGGTTAGAGAGACATATGTATTACTGCAGGATCAATATTCTATCCTTGTGTATTTGCAATCATGATTCATTATGCATGCTTTATGTACATATCTAATCAGGGCCAGCATCTGTTTGAGCCAAGAGACTTGATCATGAGATGTAGTATACATATCATATGAACTTTTCAGATAACTTTATCAGGTGTTTCATTTTAAGGAAAGGGTCATTATTGTTGTTCTCTCCATTTGCAAATCTCCAAATAGATGTTTGATTTCATTAAAAAATATTATGTGGAATGTACACATGTTATGTTGTTTAACACCAGGCTAGGCAGATTCTGAAAAAAAAACATGATTATACACCTGTAATGTACATGTTTTGTGTATATACAGTTTGTTTTGGCTGGTATCAGATTTTACAAATGATAACACTGTTGTACAATTATTGACCTGTTTGCAGGTGAATACAAGGATTTATTAACCAAAGGTTTATTTCCTAAGGCCAGAGGTAGAGGGAACTATCATTTTTTAAGGTTAATCAATTCTCATAATCACCTGCTTACAGGTCAATAATTATTTTACTATATGATGACAATCCATGCTTTTGATTGGACAAGAGTTGTAGCACAGGTTACTTGATTATTATATTCACTTGTGAGATGCCCGACATAGTTTGGGACAGTTATTTTCACCTTGCCTGCACACATTCTGCCTGTTTTGTGTAACATCCCAATGTACATGTATTCAGACCTATGAGACATATATCAGGTGAAAATAACCAGGTGAAAATACTGGTCGTGACAAACTAGAATATAATGCAGTCTTTATATTTGATCTCAGGTTTTGCTGAGTAGGTATCTGCATACTAATGTCAGAGGTATTTTGATGTGGAGCAAATCTAAAAGTGGTTGAATGAAAATTTTCAAATGAAAATTTCATCATGTATGAACTCATTTAAACAACTTTTATAAGCATTATAAACATTAAGTTTAAACAATATCTTAACTAATGTGACTGATTTTCCTTCTGATTACCCTCAATCTTGATAATTGTTTGAATTTTAAGTGATTCTTGTACCTTCTTTGAAAATCCTTAAATGAACTCAAAAGTAATGATCACATACAGTTGTTTACAGAAATATAACTATTAACTGCCGTGAAGATGTTGAAGTCTTTTTAACTAACTTTATTATGTTGTATTTAAATATAATGATTAAAACAAAGCACCATTGCTTACAGGTGGTTTTGCCTTTGTGTTTGTGGCACAAGATATAGCAACTGGAAAGGACTATGCTCTCAAGGTAAATATCCTTTAAGATAGTAAGCTCTTATTTCACAACCCACCACACTCCTGACTGGATTGGCAGTAACAGGTGTAGAGCATAAACCAGTTCAAAGAACTGACCCATTTAGTATGGTCAGATGGAACATGGGTAGTGTATTTGGCTATAGGTGTGTGAGGTTCACTTCCAGGAACAGACTTGAAAAGGTATGGGATCACCTGCCTGATGGGTTTTCCCGGTCCTGGAAGTTCCAGTTTCCTCTCACAGTATGACATTATATGGGTTTCCATCCAGGGCAACAAAAGAGTAATTTAGTAACATGTTTTGCGATTGTTGTAACATAAAACTGAAACTTGTTTTAACAACCTCCACATGTCAGCTTTCCGCTCAAAAATATTGAAGAAAAACATGGACTAGGTCATTATTGTGGTGAAGAAAAAACAATTAAAGCACTCTACAGGTCAGGTAGGCAGCAAGTTCTTTGCCATAGAACCTACTTGAACACTACTTAAACCAGTTTACATATTGGGCATTGTTAAAGAAAATTGTGACAAAATTTATTCTGGAGTAAATAGCAAAGTTTGATTCGTTTTATTAGATATGAAACAAATTCAATTGGGAATGATGCCCTTTATCAACCTCAAAAACCCCTTAAATGCTCTAACATTGAATCAGCACTTGATTTATGTTTATTTAATTCATAAACATGCACAGCAATGTTTTGTTTGAACAATAGAATGTACATTTGTACATGTATTAAACCTTAAGATAATATCATGGATTTAGTCATTACTTATAGTTAGTGAAAATCCATATATACAAATATACATGTAGTTGGTGACCAAGCTGACTCTCATTCCTTTTCTCATATGATAATGAGATATACAATATTGCTACAATCAAAGTAAAAAAAAGGGGAGGTTACTGTACAAGACGTACATCTCTGAACAATTTTTACATATGTATATATATTTATTCCCAAATCCTTACCTGTTTGTTTTACAGAGACTTCTGGCCAATGATGAAGAGAAGAACAAAGCGGTTATGCAGGAGATCCGATTCCTTGTATCCTTGGTTACATTGCCTATAGTCTTTGACTTATCTGATACTGATAATGTCATATGTGTTCTCATATTCACTGGCTTTACTTTGTACATTAGCACTAACTGAAGACTAATAGTTATTTTCAAAGCATTTCTAAACCAGTTTTGTTCTCAGTTTATATCTAAGTGCACTAGTATCTTATCTCAATTAGTTTTGGTTAAGGAAAGTTCTTATGCTTCATTTATCTTGATATAACTTAATGCTCCATGAACGTATTTCATCTTTTTTTTTGCTATTATTCCTTATATCAAAAACAGAAAAAATTATCAGGACACCCAAACATCATTCAATTCATTGCTGCAGCTTCCATTGACAAATCAACCTCAGGTCATGGACAGGCTGAATATCTTCTCCTGACTGAACTGTGTAGTGGTAAGATCACGGGGTTGTAGGGGTCAAAGGCTTAAGGTCACACTAAAGTTTAGTGTTTACACCTTCACATGATGTAGGTGAATGATTAATGGAAAGTGTTATATATACATTCATTATGATTTGTTTTGTGATTTCAGAATTTTACAAATTAAATACATGTTATTAGAATTGTTCAGTACATGTTGTGAATATTTGCTGGTTTCTTTTGGGAAGAACTTGTTGATGATATGGTCTTTTCTGATGAGTTCCTAAAGAACAGCTTACATTTACAGGGGGACAACTTGTAGACATTATGAATCGACGGTCCACTCCCCTCGGATGTGATGAAGTATTGCAGGCTTTCTACCAGACATGTCGTGCCACTCAACATATGCACCGTCAGAGCCCACCCATTATACACAGAGACCTCAAGGCAAGTGCTGTCCCTGTTTCTTGTGTGACATCTATATCCGCCTTTTGACCTGAAATCTCAGTTGATATCAGCATTATTGTATTCATCTTTAGCTTTGGGAGACAGATATTTTTGTATTTTGCCCATCTAGCTTTACTTGATGAAGGTTACATGTTATGGTTGTATATTTTTATCACTTACAAGAATGGCATTGATACTGTCGCAAAACTACTTTAAGTTGGTTGTGCGTTTAATTTGTTTGTCCAGCAATATTTATAGAAGTCATTGTCTTGTAATTAACGGACATTGTTCTACTTTCACTGGCAATATCCCTATAACAATAACCTTATGGTTATGTGTTTTTCCCATCCACGAGACTTATCATAGGATAGATAGAGTATTACTTTAAAAGGAAAATCTATTATTATAGTACATTCAAGGAATTATTTGGGAGAGACTATTAACACACAAGTGACTTTGACTTAGCTTGATGAAGTACTATAGATTGCAGAAGATTTAGTGTCTCTGTATTAAATACCAAGCTAACTTTTTATATAGTGAATTAGAGTAAAAAAAATATGTTACATGTATATATACATGCAAAAAATTTTAATCCCTGTGAAATAGAAAACACAGGGATGAAATGCAAAATATTTTCCTCTGTGAAATAAACCACAATACAATAATGCGGTACCTGTTGTATTCTTGTTTGTAATCAGAGAATTAAAGACATTATTTCTTCATTATTTACATAGGTTGAAAACTTACTATTGAGTTCCCAGGGCAGTATTAAATTGTGTGACTTTGGAAGTGCTACCACTGCAACACACGCTCCTGATAACTCCTGGTCAGCCATAAAACGAAGTCTAGTGGAAGATGAGGTGAGTGTGTACTTTGAATTTCTACAAAAAAGGATATACTATATCATGTATTGGCATTAAGAGCAGGAACTAAAATGCATGATGCAATTCTTTCTCAATTAGATATTTACAGCTAAGTATTTGCCATGAAAGCTTATGAGATGGAAACAGCAAACAAAATGGCTCATTAACAATGCTTAACAGTACTGTGAACGTATTTCAGAAATAGCCAAACCATTTTAGTTGTCACTATTTGACCATACTTAACCATATTGCTAACAGTTCTTCCATATTACTGCGGTCAACTATGGTAAACGCTGAAGTCAAGCAGGGTCTATTATAGTCAGTTTTGTTACAGTCACAGTAATATTTTGGACTAACCACTGTCAAGCAATAGATTTCTTGAAGTTCAGACTACGTGAAGCACGATGTAGAACTGTGGTTGTACTACATCTATCTACCGGTATATTTGATAGGCAGATAAGTTCAACTACTGTCAACTATGGCAATCCTACACTACAGTCTATTACACACATAACCACAACATGTATCCACCATCTTGAGTCTGTACTTCGTTGTCCTGTTTGTTTATAGTAATTTCGTATGATGTTAGAATTGGGAGTGTATATGTCTAAAATAATCAGTTGTTTACTAAATTTTGTTTGATACGATTCATTACATGTAAAAGATACATATTCAGTTGAGCTTAAATAGTTCAAATCAGAATGTATAATTGTCTTCATTGTCTAAGAAAAATTTTGTCAGATATTTAACTGAACTGAATTAAAAAAAATTTTATTTATTACCGTGGTGCTGTACTGGACTTTTAGTCCTTCAAAAGTATATATTTGGAGATCATGTCTGTGAACGATTAGATATCACCAGATAACATACACATACATTTTTGTATATTGAATATTTCAGATTACAAAGAACACGACTCCAATGTACAGGGCACCTGAGATGCTGGACTTGTACCAAAACTTCCGTATCGGAGAGCCTGGAGATATCTGGGCTCTAGGATGTGTGCTCTACATGCTGTGTTATAATGTCCATCCCTTTGAGGACTCTGCTAAACTCAGAATCATAAATGCAAACTACACCATTCCTGAATCTGATACAACTTATACTGTCTTCCATGACCTCCTCAGTAAGTGTTGATATTAGGATAAAATACATTAGCATTTGCTTTCATTATGTTTTGTTGAAATGTTTCAAAATAAGAATACACCCTTCCAATATGGCATGAAAAAAAAGGAAGGCTCACAGATCGACAAGCTTCATTTAAGGTCACCAGAACAAAACTTAAGACTTAGTTGTCAGAACTATTGTTAAGGGTATATTTTTAGAATATCAAAACATCTCATTTGCACATACATTTTAACATGTGCCCTATTTATTGTAAAAACAGATACCTAATGTATAGATAGTATAATAATATAAAGTTGTGTTTTAGGTGATAAAAAATTGGATGCAGAATATGATGAAAATTGTTAGAATCAACAATGACATTTCATCAAGCAAATCAGATACTGGCTCTATTGCTATGTATTTCGACCAATATGATTTTCCTAGCCAACTGTATGATGCAGTTTACATGATTATTTAGCTATGCTATCTAATTGTAAATTTGTATTTGAAAGTGCTACCAGTATTCACTGATCTGTCTTGTACAATCTTTAATATGATACTCTATATTAAGAAATCAGTTTGACTTGCCAAGTTTAATTAATTAAAGATCAACCTGTTCTTTATTGTTTTCTTTTTCAGAATCTTTACTGAAGGTTGATCCAGATGAACGCCCAGATATTAACACAGTAGTGGACCAGTTACAACAGATAGCAGCGGCCAGAAATGTCAACCTCAAGGGAAAGCTGAAACTTGCTTGTGAAATGGAGCTTAATGTAATGGGTATGTGGTTTAAGGAATGGTTTGATAAATCCTGCACAAGGAAACATATGTTTATGTTAATTTCAAATAGAAATATAAGAAAGACCACATCAAAACACAGTATAGGTATTTGAGATGTGTGAAAATCAGGACTGAATATTTGCTTTTCCTGTCCATTACTTTAGGCTTTGTCTGTGTGACACCTTATCAGGGCATAACTATAATCTTTCACCTACAGCTTTCAGATTGAATCTGTGATGAATATAAAACAGGGATTGGTGTAATTTTTATAGTATAAACTTTTCCCATTGTTCATTCATTGGTCCATCCATTCTATTATACTGTGTTCTGAAAATTGAAGTCTTACCTTCAGAATCTCTGGCCAGATTTGGTTCATATTTTTCCCATAGTATATACATGTAGTATCATCACATCAAGTTCTACACCTGATCAGATCCTGCTTTGCATAGGAGTTGGGGCATGCATGTCTTAGAGACATTCTGTAGTTGTACAATGTGTCATTTGTCACTGCATGTTGTGTCATACTGGACTATAGATATTGTTTAAGTCTCAAATGAGTCTAAAAATCAACTTGCTTAATACAATATCCATAATCTGAATTCTTCATAACTATAGACAATGAATAAATGTCGGAACATTTTGAAGGTAAAAACAATGAAATTGTTTCATTTTGAAATAGTTCAAGTTCCTTAGCTATTTGTAAGGTTGAGAGAAAACTTAGTGAAAGTTCTTTTGTTTGGCAGAGGATAATGAAGTTCATATGCAACGTGAACGTGGTGGAGCTCAGCAACCAAGCAATGTTCCAGATTCTGGCGGCTCTGGTCAACAGTCAACTGCTAATATGCTCTTCAGCTCCATCAAGGGTGGAGCAGGAAACCTGATGAAGAATATCAAAGATGCCTCATCTAAAGTCATGGAAACCGTATCAGCGTAAGTTGATAGTCAAAAAATCTGTTTGATTTTGACATTAAACTATTCTTCAGTGAAAAGATAGATATTTGATTTTAGTTTGCTGTCAGCTGACTGTGCAAAGCACATTTAAAATTCTTAGTCTGTATTTCAATTTACTGGAGAAACATTTAACTAGTATATCATACTTAAATATATATTTTTATTTTGAAATCAGCAAATTTTACATAAATTACATACAGTTTTTAGCTTGCCTGTTTGTAAAAGAGGGAGAACTAATGTTGTTTCTCAGGCATTGGCGTTGTCATTGGAAATATTAAGATTTTGGTACAAGTGTTGAAGACATAAGTACATCACTTCATACTGATATTTTGTATCAGGATTATTAAATTAGCCCTTAATTCCCCTAATCTGTATAAACATGAAAGATAAATCTTAACAAGAAGAACTATGGGTGATTGAGGAGTTAATGCCATTTGTTATTTCTCCTACTTAAATTTTGTCTGGAGCATCACACCAAAACTATAAGAGATATCAACATGAAACTTTATAGGTTGATAGATTTCAATGAGAATGAGGGCATTGCTCAAGAAACATATCTCTCTTATGACCCTTTGTTATTTTTCATATTTAAATTTTGTCCCATTTAGGAAGCATAACACTTCTCTGATGGCCCTTGTTTAGATGAGCTATGCTGTTCTGCAACAACTCTTGTTCACTATTGAAACATTGAAACAATAATTTAGAAAGAAATGTTTTTGTTTTTCCAGGACAATGAACAAATCTGACCTTGATGTCAGTAGTATTACATCTCGAATATTAGGTGAGGAATCAGTTTTTTTAATATTCTAGAACATTAAGTAAAAATATTCTAGAATACTAGGTAAAAAGTCTGTTTATTTGTTAAAATGTAATGTTCTTGAATAATAGATCAGAAATGGGTTTAATTGTGAAATTATTTCATTAGTTTTAGATAAGGACTCAGTTTATTCATGAAAATATTCATAATATTTGGTAAGGAATCTGTTGTTAAGATAAGGTTTGATTTGAAAGACAGTTGCATATTACTTAACCTATAATCCTCCACAAGGGAATAAGGTCCTGTCTGAAAATACAGGGTACTGTCATATCTACGCTGTGAATTTAAATGAAAAATTCATTTATATAGAAGTTTTTTGATGAATTCTCTTTCAGTGATGTCATTCCCTGCAGAAGGTGTAGAATCTGCATTTAAGAACCATATAGATGATGTGAAGAGTTTCCTGGAATACAAATATAGAAATGGCTATGCTGTCTACAATTTATCTCAACGAACATATAGAGTTGCAAAATTTGAAAATAGGGTAAGAATTTTCACATTGCCTGTAACATCGAGACTTCAGTTATCATGCTTTAATGTAAAAATAATATAAAATTCATTTGAATTTGTGCGATTAAGATTGATCATTTCATGTTTATCAAATGTATAGGAAATAACGTAAAAGCATTTAATATTTATAATTTGATAGTTATTTTGGTTTGTTAACATGATGCCATTATGTGTCATTTTGACTTAGTCATGTTCAATGTGATATCAAATGATGTTTTAACAACTTACTGTAGGTATCAGAATGCGGCTGGGCAGCTAGGAAGGCTCCTACACTAGCCAGTTTGTTTGCCATATGCAAAAATATGCATCTTTGGCTACGACAGAATCCCAAAAATGTCTGTGTTCTCCACTGCCTGGTAAGTGAGATAAGAGATCTGGGTTGGGTTGTTATCCTGGGATGGAGAGTTATGTCAGTTGAGCAAATAAGTAAAAGAAGAAGGTTGTCTAGGGTTATCTTCGGTGGATCTTCTGGAAATAGGAGGGGCTTTGGGGCTTTAACAACTCAGAAAGGATGGGAGGAGAGGATGTGGGTTGGGGTTGGGGAATCAAGGATGGATAAGCATTGGAGAGATCTAGGGCATATAGTTATGTTGGGAACTATAAAATGTTGTAGAATCCTTAGGTTGTATTCATATGCTGTTTACTGAAAAAAGACAAGTGCCATGTTTTGATATTTATTTTATTAATAGGATGGTAAAGCATCATCAGCCACAGTGGTTGGGGCTTTCCTTGTGTTTACACGGCTGTTTGAGTCTAGTCAACAGGCTATGCACATGTTTACATCACGAAGGTCTGCACCAGGAGCTTCACCAGCACAGAGAAGGTAACTATATCATAGAACAATACACAACACAAATTCATCAATAATGGAAGCCTTTTAAAATACACAAGATAGCAATTGTTTGCCATAATATTATCATATGGTAATATGTTAGCAAGAGTATTTCGTAGAAATTTTCTTAATTTATATGAAACAAAGGAGTTAATAATTAGTTAATTCATGATTAATAAAATTTTAAATAATATTTAATTTCAGCTTAATTCTAGTACATGTAGATTTGTGGATATTAGATTGAGATATATATCTGTTGCAGGTACATCGAGTATATATCTGAGATTGTTGGAGACCCTCCCACTCTTCCACACAACAAGGCTGTTATGTTTAAGTCTCTGTCAATGTCACCAATACCACTGTTTAGCAAAATGAGGTAAGACTTCTGGCGTTTGTGTCAGAACTGGAATCCTTTCTTCTGTAATAAGAGTGCAATACAAGTCTGTATATTGACAACTAATTTCAAGTTACTATATATAGTATAGCATACATTTTCAGTGGTCACTTTAAATTGTGTTTGAACTTGTTATTCCTATATCTGTTTGTGATACCTTGAGTATGTTGTTTAAAGTGAGATTAGTGGTCTGTATATGTAGCACATACACTCAAAACACCCACACCAGTAAACAAGAACGGCTTTCCATGTGAATCGGTTGTGGCTGAAAAAAAAAAAATTCATTGTCAGCTACTTAGTAAAGAATGGCTATAAAGGCAGAAGAAAACACCAAATTTTTTTCTGGGAAACTTTACCACAGCAGATGGAAACTTATCAGACAAGAAAGCAATTAGGACAGTGCATGTATTCTGCTGGATTGACTGATGGACTGACCAAATGGAACTAGATTAAAGCTTTGCATGCTGTATACAATAAGAGAACAGCTGGAGTGAGACATTTCAGAAATACTGGCTTATAATGTCACTTTTTTCATAATTCTGAATTTTGTTTTGTATCAAAAAATGTGTGCTTGTCCATAACAAATTCAAGCGTTGAAAAAAGGTGTTCAGATACATTGTCACTTCATTTCTCTCGGCTTTCACATGTGTTCAATAAACAAATGAACTGCCTCATTTTCAAAACTATCTTGTCATGTTATCAGCTCTAAATTTTACTGAAAGTGAATAAAACACAATCAATAATAAGACTAATGATGTTTTTCCCTTTAAATCATTTATTATTTACAATGTATATGCCTTTACAATATTGAATATGACAGCTTTTTAAATCTTTTTTTTTTTTTTTGTGTGGTAGCAATGACATTAATATAAGGAAGCAAAATATGATATTTGATAAGCTCTTACATTTATGCCATGTCTTACTTGATACAGTTAAGAGCAGTCTTCAATAATCATGTGAATATCAGAATTCATGATATCATTACATTATTTTTCAGAAATGGTTGTCGACCATTTGTTGAGATCTATGTGGGTGAAGACAGAATCTTGACAACATCCCAGGAGTATGAAAAGATGCGAGGGTTTGTGATCGAAGATGGCAAGGCCACTATTCCTCTCAACATCTCGGCAGTTGGGGATGTCACTATAGTGGCATATCATGCAAGGTCAACCTTTGGGGGCAAAGTTCAGGGCAAGGTCAGTGTTTGTTAGGTCAACTTTCAGCAGCTCTTACTCAAAGAATAAAAGAAAAATAAAATAGTGAGAACCAACCCTCTAGATGTCTAGGAAAGTGGCATAATCCTGAATGGACACCGTGTGGTATTCAGGAGAGATCCTTGCAATGAAATTAACACATGAGTATGATAAAGGATTCTCAACATCACAGAAGCTGTTCTTCTTTTATTCCTGTCAAAATACTGTATTCATGGCATAATAAATCCTCTAAATAATTTTACTTCCATTTCAGATAATTTTCACTAATTTATGTTGACCATTAAGATGTCATGTTTTGTGAACTGCAACTTGCTACATGAGTTTGGTGGGTTTTTTTCGTTACAATCATCCTGATGACAGTCGCATAGCGGTTAAAACATGTGGACGATACATTTATAGGAATTAAAAGAGAACAGCTTCCTGGAGAATCCTTAATTATACTCATATGTCAAAGCAGAAAAATATTTGATTTAATAGAGGTATTTTTGAAGTACACAGGTTCTAATTTCAAGATTGGTTCTGAATAAGATAAGTGCAATATTTTTTCTTTAATATTGTTATGTATTTAATTTCAATTTCTGTCTGTTGCAGATCACATCGATGAAAATGTTTCAAATACAGTTACATACAGGAATGGTGAAACCAGGGACAACAAACCTTAAATTCACACAGTAAGTGAAAGTGCACATTTCATATCAAAAGAGCAAGTAAATAAAAACTAAGCAAGATATAATTCACTTCCCTCATATTTCCTTCTTAATCAAAATGGAGCTTGTCGATACATGTCAGGCCAGAGCAAAATCTACTTGCAATTAGTTCTATGACTTTTACCTGTTGTAGATTTGACCTTGATCAGCTTGACACAGCAGACAAATACCCAGAGATGTTCTGTGTGATGATGGATGTTGCCGTGGCAACCAATGAAAGACCACGTACCGATCCAAGTTATCCGTGGGAAAAATTTGATTCCTCAAAACTTAGCCCAAAGATTTTATTTTCATCGAAAGAGGAGCTACATCAGACATGCTCAGATTTTGGTAAAAGACCTGAATTTCCGTAGAAAAAGTGTACAACCGTTTTGGTAGTTTTTATATTATCTAATATATTATCTAATGTTTTCTAAACGTGGCCAAATGAAATTCTTCTAATTAGAGATTGTTAATGATAAGAAATGGCTTCTGAAAAAGCTCTTATTTGATATCTTTTAGGTGTTTTCCAAATGATAGAACCTTACTACTTTAATCCTGAATAATTTTGTGATCTTCATGAAGTCTTAACATATATCCAATTGTGACCTGAGGTCAGTTTATTTTCATCGTTTCTAATTTATCCTTGTCATATTCAAACTAAACAAACTTTTGTTATTACAACATTGGATTTATGACAACAAAGGGTTAGCAGTCGGTGATGTCTCTAATTGACTAATTAATGAGGATTAATACAAACAAACAGATCACACAAGCTGAGTCACTCTTCCACTGGGTAGTCTATTCATGATCAGTCAGCTGTAAATCTGACCTTGTTAATCACTCAAGCCATTTAACACGTCTCTGAAGAGTAGGACCAGCAGAGAACTATTAAGGGTTTTGTCTTTGTGGTTTAACTTTGGTTTTCTTAGGTGGACACCTGTCACTTGTAACATACAAGTCGTTGTCAGAATCTGACAAGTACTTGAGGGAAATGATGTATTTTTTATGATCTGTTTTATTATTCTATAACAGGTGTATCAAATCGAGCCAAAATGCGACTGACACGGTCATCTAGCCAGAGTTCCTCCAGTGAGACAGACAGCCCTGTTCACATGCAGAAGACACCAGAGAGACAGGTAAAACAGGAAGACAAGTCAGCAGAAGTGAAGGAAAAACCTGTGGCAATGTCTGGCAAAAATTTCTTTGCTTCACTAAACTGGCAAGGTGATACTAGCCAACAGGGTCTTGAAAATGATGCAAAGCCTAAAAGCTTGTTTGAAATGGAGTCTGAACAGAATCTGCTTGACGGTGAAAGTGATGAGGATGAAGACTTTGCTTCACTGTCACATGGGCGAAAGTCACATGACAAGAATGTAGGTGCACCTAATCAGCCAAGGACCCAACAAAATGGAAACGTAGTACATGCAGATTTGTTGAATATCAACAGTTCCCCAGCACGTGTTGAGCGTGATATAGATTTATTAAACATTAATGAACCAAGTAATTTAGACCTACTTGTGGGAAGTGATACTGAGGGTTCATCGTTTGAACCTTTTAACAATGCAGGTACAGTGGATAATAGTGACACTTTTGACCCATTCCAAAATCTAGGCTCATCCCAACCCCCGCAAAGTAATAACCAGACCAAGGGCAAAGCAGAGACATTTGATCCCTTTGCAGATTTGTCATCAAGAGCTCCAAGTCAATCACAGAACCAAACAGCCAATACATTTGACCCATTCCAAAATTTTGCTTCATCTCAAAGTAAAAAAGAGGAAAGTAAACCACAGTCTTCAACCAATCAAAATGGAGGATTTGATGCATTTGATATTTTGGGGAAAACAGACTCTAGTAGTAGTAACACATTTGATCCTTTTAGCCAAGTGCAATCAGAACCAGCCACCAAACATAAAGAAAAGGATGAATTCTTAGAGTTTATGGAGAGTAAAGTGGACAATACAAAGGATGATGAGCCAAACTTGATGGGTAACTGGTCAACACCAATAATCAACATTCCAGGAGGCACCGCCTCCAACTCCTCTGCAAATTTGACAAAGAGCAATTCAGCATCAAATTTTCAGCAACAGTTCCCAGGATCCAACATTCCGCGGAATAACAGTGGTACATTCATGGGTGGACAGTCTGCTATGGGTGGAGGAGGACAAACTGCCATGGGAGGGGGACGACCATCCCCATCATTTGGTAGCACAGGTAACCTTGGTCCACAACAGAAAGCAGATCCTTTTGCAGATTTCGGTAAGTATGGTATATAGTGCTCTGATTTATAGCATAACTAACATTGTACATGTATATGATATTTAACAATTTTGTCACACTTTCACAGTATAATTAAAATTCTTAAACATACAGTAATAGTGAAATCAGGTCAATTTGTCACAATTTTTTTTTTCAAGGGATCTTTTTTTCTTTTAAGATTTTATTCAGGTTGTGCATGTAAGTATGTAAGATGAATATGAGAGAATAAAAGCCCGGACCTATATCAGTCTCTTTCTATTGTGATAGTTATATGAATCATGGAATGTAATTTTAACCCATTTAGATGTCTGTTAGACTTTGAAACATAGTCAGTTTGTGTTGTTTGTTTGTAGGGAGTTTTGGGAACAAACCCAAGGGTCCCACACTGACAGGAGCCAAGCCTACTACAGTCCCACAGTCCTCCCAGCCTCAGCGTCCAGCTTTCAGTGGTAGTGGAGGATGGCAACAACAACAGCAACCTCGCAGTTCTCCCCAGGGATCGCCCAAACCTCAGCGCCCTGCCGCCCCGCCTTCTCAGCCAACCAAACCTAACTATAACGTGGGCTACACTAGTGTACTTGGCAGTCGGGATGAGAGGGGCACTAGGAAACCATATTTAGGTAACAATGAAGCAACGAAGAGCAACAAGTAGTTATGTTCCCTCAACAAAATAAGTGTCCCTATTGAGTGCAACAAGTAGTTATGTTCCTTCAACAAAATAAGTGTTCCTGTTGAGTGCAACAAGTAGTTATGTTCCCTCAACAAAATAAGTGTCCCTGTTGAGTGCTAGAAGCATGTTTACAATTGCTGTACTGTTGAAAGACTTCAATGTTAACTAATATAATTTCTAACGAAAAAAATCTTTCATCTTACAGGTACCAAGCCCAAGTTAGGCGCCGACACATTTGGGGACTTACTCGGAGATCATCAGTTCACGAGCACCAAGACGGGCGAGCCTAAGTCCCTAGCAGACATGAAGAGAAAGGATTTAGAGGAAGAGATGGACCCAGACAAACTCAGGGTAATACATCAGTTGAATAGTGCTATGGAATAGTGTATGGAATCATGTTTCTTCATTGGAGTTGCTTTCCCACAAATGTATGTTATACGCATTCTTAAGATTGAAGTTTCTATTGTAATCTAAATGTTATAATACAGATGAAATAATTTTTTCCAGATCCTGGACTGGATCCAAGGCAAAGAAAGAAATATCCGAGCACTACTTTGTTCCCTAGACAAGGTCCTGTGGGAAGAGGAAAAACGCTGGAAGGGTGTTGGTATGTCTGAATTGGTCAGTGCTGACCAGGTGAAAAGAGTTTACAAGAAAGCAGTGTTGTGTGTCCACCCTGACAAGGTAAGAATTGATAATATTTACTGCGTAAATTCCTTCTTTTCATTTCTCAAATGTTGAGAATGTTTGTCTCTAAATTTCAAAAGCATAAAGTGATTTAGATTTGGTCTAAACTCTTAAAGGCATAATGTGACTTGCATTTTGTCTCTTAATTTCAAAAGGCTGGATGTGTATAAGTTTTCTCTCTTCTTTTAAAAAAAGAGTAAATAAAGCTAAGACGTTGATTTTTTTTTTTAAGTCCAGGGTAAATAACCCTTAATATTTTTGAAGTTTTAAGCTCCATATTGAAGGTTAGTGAGTGATCTAGACCTGAAATTGAAATTTTATTTGAAATCATTCTGACTTGTAAGGTCCAATAATTGAAAGCCAAATTCCAGCCAGTGATGAAAGAATGTAATTGATTTTGTAATTCCTCATCCACTCTCAGGACACATGCTGAATTGTTAGCTTGTCATAGTCCTCTTTAACTTAATCTCTAGTTTTATTTGCGACCTGCTTTTTCAAACAATTTAACAGTCATCATTCCCTTGCAGCTGACTGGGACGCCATATGAAGATATAGCCAGATTGATATTTATTGAATTAAATGATGCATGGGCACAATTTGAAGAGGAAGGCATGAAATCACTTTACTAGGACCTACAAACTTGTGAATGTTCTTGTACTGTTATATCCAGCATACATGTAACACCTTAGTGAAACTGATTTCTCTGTTGTGTTGTGATAGGAGGTATATGCAAGATTTGTATTGATGTAAGCATTTCTGTACAGTATACAAACAACTTAATGGGACAGCTGACCTCAAGTGTCCTGTAAGACCTTGAGACAGGGTGTTCCATATATATGATTAAATACCTGGAATTTGGTTGATAAAATATTTCCTGTGCATTTGAGATTTTGACAAACTATTACTAGGGAATACTCTGGAAAAATTTAAAATAAAAAGAAATTGCCTTTTTCAGATAGCAGTTGCTTGAAAGACAGAGTTGCATATATCTCAAAAGGACAAAATCTAAAATGTTGCTAATATGTATAGATAGGGATTCCTGTCAGAACATAATTATTCATTTGTAAAATTATTATTTATCATGGAATGTTTCATTGATATTGTTGATCAATTTAATTCTTTTCTGTTAAAAGAATAAATAAATGAAAAAATAAAAAATGACAGAAGTAAATGAGAAATTATTTCTTATTTAATTTTCTGTGTTTGATTACTGCTACTATAGCTAAACACCAGTGTTCAGTTCCCAGTGGTTGATTAGTAATCTGCGAAAGAAGAGGACATATCAAACTGATACATACTGTTAACACTGTGTTCATGATACTTCTATAATGTATGCTCATGTTCCATATGCTTTATATTATTAACCACATAATATCTTTTCTTAATTATTAACATTGCCATAGGAATCTTTTTCATCTTCATTTTCTTTCATTATTATTTTACCAAAAACATGATTTTTGATGTTGTTTGTTGACATTGTTTTTAAATTTGTCATGTTTATTGTTTTATCGAATGCTGTAATTGAAAAGTGGAAACAAGGATTGTCACTTTACAAATATGTAACGATCATTTCATTACCAAGTATAAAGCATACTTCATGCACACCTGTTAATCTCCATGTTTTTGTTTTGATATATAACATAAAAGTTTTTGCTGTGATGTTAAACACTCCATCATGCCATACATATTTATTTCCAAAGATTTTGCCATTCTCAAATCCATTTCTTTTGTTGAATCAGTTAAACTATTTTTCCCCTGTTTTCAAATTCATTCATGATGCCATACAAAAAGTGTACTCATATGAACTAAGATATCTTTCATTGCATAGAAAATAGTCATGTTTTCCTATAACAAATTGATACCTGTAATGTCCTCTGTAGTGGACAGAAATGAGCATGACATTAATGACACCCTTTGTCAAATCTTGCTTTACATTGGCTGTTTGGGATTTATTTTCATGGCTGAATGCAGCTCTAGGTTTGTAAATTAGCACCTACACAAAGAAGATACATGAAACAAATGAGCTAGTTTTGACTTAAAAACAAATACCACAGTACTTCAAAAAATAGCCAAATCTAATCAGAATTGAAATGCTATTTTAATATTGTCAAGGTGTTTAGTTCAGGTTTAACAAAATATTAAGCCAATGTTTTTTTAATGTTTTTAATGTAATGATATGCTGTAAAGCCCAGCCCCATTGTTAAAACTTTTAAAAAAATCTCTGTTGCTCACATGCTTGTTAAGATTAAATCTTGTTACTTTGATACAGTTATTTGGTTCTGAAAACAGAGCTGTGAACCTGGCTATTTGTTATTTTTATTGAAGAAAAGTGATATTTCAGTTTTTGATAAGTGTTGTTACATTGGAGTATTAGAGTTTTACAAATGTATATTGTATGTGCAGACTTTTTCTTCAAAGCATGATTTGAACCTGATCTCATGTTACGGCTGGGACGTCTTATCAACCTTGTGTTAGTGTTGTGTCTGTTTGGTTAGTTGATATACATGTAAGGGGTCTGCAGAGGTTAAAGTGATATACAACTTCTACTTACTATCCTTATAAACTATCTTTTATCAACCTGCACAAGTTGGGATTATGAGGTTAGGAGGAATGGGGAAGAATCTAGCTTGTAGAATCAAGGGGATAATTCGAAAGTTACTGCTGTTAAGCTGAAACTAGTTCTCTGTAATTTGAATTAATTAATGGTAACTGCTACCTTCACGTACTTAGTACAAGTTCAGGTGTTTACCGTCTTATCGTAGATTTATAAACAATGATAATGAGACATGATGTTAATCACAGTGAATCAGATGTTATTTACACTGGTCTGTATGTGAAAAATCTAGCAGTTTTGTTGCATATAAATCACATCCTAAATGTACAGAGTACGGAATCACTGAACTCATTCCACAGCATGAGATTACTATATGTTGTAATATTATTCAATGACTTTGACCTTTTTGTATGACCTTTGTGAGGAGTTTTTGTTTGTTTCACTTCTGGGTTTATTGCTCAGTATACAGACAGGGTCGTTTTGAGGTGGGATCTCCTTATAGTTAATGGTGGCTTCCTCACGGAACATCATGCAGAAGGTCCATCATACGCTATCCAGAGATTAGTGTTGTGCCAAGGAAACAATCATGACACCACAGGCTGGTCAGTAATATCAGCTTCCTGAGAAACTCAAACTACCCTGCTGGAAAGGGACCAAACCACACACCTTAGAATTTTTACCTAACATTAATTCAGTCATATTCTTTACCTACTGAAATCTCTTGAGGATAAAGCACCTTTAAATCAATAACAAAAAATCCGTACAGGTCCAAAAATTTTAACAACTGTCTGAGTAAATCATTGAAAAGCTTATTTATTCGGAAAAGATTTTTGTAGAAAAGAAGTTTATCAAATATATATATTAGGTTGGTAGATAACAGGTGTCTGTTAACTGACTTGTGTGTATGTATTGGTATAGAACAGCTATAGACATTGTAGAAATCCTGTGCTGTATTGTTATATAAATTACATTAGAGATTGAAATATATATACCAAGTGCAATAAGTGTTTATCATAATGGTTTAGGTTTGTCTGTAGGAATGTGTACATATCAACTGTCTATGACATTACCCAGTTATAATGTACTTGTATTGTAGGGATTGAAAGGTATTGCAGAGAAAAGTGTGCATCTATTTCTGTTTACTTGTTATTTGGAATAACAGTAATTAGGTAAATTAGAAAGTGTATTACATTTGAAAAGTACCCTTTAGAATCCTTCATATTTGCGTAAGAAGATACATGATATCAGTTTTTTTCTATCATTTTTCAGATGGAACTGTTAACTTTCATTGTGTCAACATTAAGTTCTTTCTTGTTGATATAATAAACATATGAATTTCATTTTATATAGTCATGAGTTAACTGTAAAAGGAAATCTGATGCAGAATAAACATGTAATCAGTTTTGCTTGGAACCTTATTTTTATCGGAAATGTGTTTATATTTGTTTGGCAAAGTGTGATTTAAAGGACAACTGTAAATGCCCACTTATTTATTATAATGCCATAATTGTAGTGATATGACTGTTCCATCACAAGGATCACTCTATGAAAAGCATAGGTTTTTATTTGTTCAAGTAGTGTAAATGTTAATATAAAACTGCCTTGATATGGCATTTACATGTGTTATAAATGACAAAGCTTTGCAGTCAGACAATATATTTATATGAATGTGTTTATATTCATCAGCTTGAATTCTTAATGCTGTACCAAGACAGTGTAATTGTTAAAAATTCTTTTCATTCCTAATAATAATTACTTTATCACAATGGGGATGCTGGTCTCCTCAAAACATTACTGTTTCGTTTATACCATGTAAAATTACCAGTATTCAGTGTATGATTAATTGCTCAAATAATATTTTTGGGAGATATGATACAATATTACGGAAATACCTATTTCTGGGGCCTACTAAGCAATATACAGCAGTACATGTAGTAACTATTTCAGTATGAACTGTCCAGAAGGACAGAGAAGTTGAGGGAGAGTGCAAGTACCAAAAGATAGTTCATCTGCTGAAATGTTCAAGTGGAATACATATGTACTTTTAGTCTGTAAACTGAATAACATGATGTTCCTATTTCATATAAGCCGGTTTTCTGTGAAGTTTGAATCAAAAACTGGGCTTCATTCTAATTTCTGTGATTTTAAAGACCATATAGACAGTGGATAATATTGTTTTCCTCTACTACTGGTATTGATTTCCAAAGTTTTGTACCAGTTTTACCCGTGATCAGCATAGAGGGCAGGAGTAAGAGTATATCAAGTGTCAGACTATAATCTGGTAACTGCAGGGTATCACCTAATCACTAAGAAATACACTGTGCAGTGAGAAAAATGTGATTTGTTAACTACATCACACCTCTTCCTTAGCATCATCATCATCATCCCAATTTTGCCACAGAATCATAAGTTTAGATCATATGTTTGGTATATCTTTATTGTGTGGATAATTGAAGCTGCACTAGACTTTCAAACTGATGAAAAAAATCCTGTATTTTGAAGTTTCCAACTTAAGTACATGTATTTACAATTACATATATAGATATGCTTATTTCACAAAGTATAGTTGTATATGTAGAGGCCCTCCCGAGTTTTCCACAAAAACAGTATCTAGTGACATTTGTGTATTAGATATCACATAGGAGACTTGTCAGATATTCACACCTACACAGGTATACCTGTGAAGTATTAATCCCTACATACCATCCAAGCCATCATGCATAATCATCAAATTAACACTGGCAAAGTGTGATACTGAAGTTGTACATTGGCTCAGAAATCAACTAACTTGTTTAGTGTAATGATAATTGTAGTTCTAAATTTCTGGGATTGCTGTTCAAAATTTGAAAGCCTTGATGTATATGTTGTTTTTACACTCGTGTGTAATGCAAATCATCACATAATTGTGAAGTGTAACATACATTGTCATTCTAGTGTAACTATGGGTGCCTGCATATACCAGGATTTCAAAAAAGAACTCATATAATCACATTGATTGAATTTAAATAGGAAATGATTACTCCCATCTTCTGTTTGAATAGCAAAGGATTGACACCTTTTTATCAGTATTGTTTCATCTGGATTAATGATTGTTGTTAAAGATCCTGGTGCTGGTTGAAATCCCTCGTAGATTTCTCCTCGGGGTGTGTCAGGTTTTGAACAGTATAGACCAGTTTGTTATGATTGTTAGTAGTTCACATGGTGATAGGGATTTTCATTAGTGTTTCATACCAAGAGAGATATATTTCCTGTATATCTGTAGTTACTAGTGATGTAATCATATGTGACAACAAATGACTGTTTAAAAATGTTGTATTGTTTGTATATAGGATAGAGAGAATGAAGTATTGTACTTCTATATGACACATATTGTTTGTATATTTAGAAGTGTACATGTGTCACGAATAATGAACTAAAGTAGCAAACATGATCTATATGTTGGTGTTGTTATTCTTTAACCTAGATTTTGGAGGGAATAGAGTTTTCCCCCTATGTATCCTCAGACTTTCATAACTTGCAATCTGGTCTATTTTCAAATGATTCATAAGATTGTTATAGGTCAGTTAAAGAAAATCCTTCTGACTGCGACCTGGAAAATTTATGTTTCTTTGAGAAACTAGAATTTTTTTTAAATAACTTCGGCAGGCAGTTTCTTGATATTGTTAAAACATGGATTCAACTTAAAAGGGTACACTTTTAAACATATCAGTGCTGAGCAGGGAGCGTAAATAACCATGCAATTTTACTAAATTTGGTTCTGTATGATATGGAATGTTTGTGGTTAAATTTCAATTACCCTATTCACATAATTCTTTCATCTGAAGTCATCATTACTATTTATTAGCACACAATATGATGTGCAATCCAAATTGCCACGCATCTGTGGTCCATCATCTATCTGTCAGTCCTTAAAATAATTCTTTATCTCAATTTCCTCTTAAGTACAGAATTGATCTTTTTTCAGAATTCATATGTAGGTTCTTTTTGGTCCCTAGTTGTACCCTTTTGAGTTTAGGATTGATCAGAAAAACAAAATGGCTGACAGAAATCATCTGGGATTTTGACAGGAATAGTTTGTTATTGCTTTTTCTTGAATTTTACAAAAATTTCACAAAATTTGAAAAACTTATATGTAGGATTCCCTTGATCCTTGATTTTGGGCCTGTCATTTCATATTTGACAGTTGAAGATTATTCTTGCCTCTTTCTTGAAAATGATTTCAAAATTCATATACTTAAGAAGAAATGAAAGGAAAGAAGGGAAAAGATAAAACTTTTAAAGAACAAACGAAGATAAACAATGGTGTGAAGATCCCTCTGGAATCCCATTTTATTTAATCACCTAAAGCCATGAAAATTGAACATCTTCACAAGCATTCCATTTTAAACAGCACAGTATATCACAGCCTTGGCAAATGCCCCGAAAAAAGTCTCCTTCACAAAGGTGGCAACTATAAGAAAAGAAAGACGATAAAGAGATCACATGATGCCTTTATCCTACCCCACCAAACAGAAATATCTACACTTCCAGTGAGGGTAAGATAGAGGTATCTTGCATGACAGTCTGCACGTACAGGAAGTGACATTTCAGGTTTTTGAAATTGCTAATGACCTCATTTTTATGACATGCTGGGGTCATTGATGTAATTAACAATTGTCATCCAGGCCTAATGATTATACCATTATAATGTTGCATGTTTATTTATTTGCTTATTTATTTTTAAGGGGGAAAAAGGGGTAGAAAAAAGTGGAGGAGATACCTGACAGTCTAACCTTCAGCAAAGACAAGAATCTACTCCTCAGGTAGAGATTTCTCTGTCCTATGCTCCAACTAGAGTAAGTTCTTATAAGTCTTATTATACAAGGGGAACAGTAGGCAATTTTTAGCATTTACCTGGAGGACTTAAATGAACACAAGCAAGCACTTTACAAAAATCTCTAGTGTTGTAGCAAGTTTTAAATAAAATTACAAATGTAGTTAAATTACAAATTCATCTTGAAAGTATAACCCAACAATTAATATACCAGGTATTATAGTCCTCTAGAAAGTAGGGAAATTTATTGCAACATTTTAATCAATTAAATAATTTCTTTGAGTCCTTTTTCTGGAATTTCCTTTATCACATACTTATACGAATTAGAAACAATATTATAACAACAGCTTAGGCATTAATAATTAAAAATATTAATGCAGGAAATGCCAAGTCCTCGCTCATCAACAAACATCAGAATCAAAGGGCCATAACTCTCTGAAGGGTATGACAGGAGAACCGATTCCAGCCAATACAATTGCTTTAATTCGATAAGATTCAATCAAGGAAATACATGGAACATTGGTATCATAACAGAATTAACAAAAGAATGTCAGCAACTCTTTAATTTTCACTACTCCCATTCATATTAATAAGTATCAAATAAGTAAATTTGCAGGAAAAGTCAGATGTGATAATTAACCTTTTAAGCTTCAATGACGACTACCCTGATATGAACTGGTGTAGAATTGGTGTTCATTATAAAATTATAAGGTAATTTGTAGTCATCACAAAATGGTCATACCATAACTGGACGATGACTTCTTGAACACCAAACTAAAGCTAAGCTGTTTCTATCTTTCGTAAATAACATCACTATTTTTTCAGCAGGGTTTATCAGCCCATAGAGAGCTATGGTCATTTTGAGGTAAGTTTTCTTGTAGTAGCTTGTTGCCACCTCACTGAACAACATGCAGGTGGACCATTACACAATATTCAAAGTAACTGGGGTAAAGTGTTTTCAGGACCACCTCTTACACTGCATTCAGTAGAGATTGGGTTTTTCATATGTTGTATTGTTGCTTTCATGACAATTTCACAATAATATTCTACAGTATCTTGCAAACATATTGGCTCAATTAATGTCAAAGCATTTTAAACAGTTTAGTATATGAATGGATTGGTAAACCATCTATAAAGTATTTGTAATGAAAACAACAAATAGAAACTTATGGATCTTATTACACCTTAATTCAATGCTTTGGAAGTACAACAAATATAGTGAAAAAATACTGCTTAAATGCATCAAGTCCTCTAATACAGTTAATTGAATGTATCATAAACATGATTTCTGTGATGTTGAAAACCAAGAAAGAATAAATAGTCAATAATTGGTTACTTTAGGAATTTCTTGGCATTGTCATTTCTCATCCGTCATCCTTCAAAATACTGAATAAGGTAGCAACACTTCTAAGTTTGTGATCATTTGAAGGCACTTTCAGATTCAGTCTAGAGTTTAAGAAACTATTTCTTGATCAATGTCACATCATTGTAGTGTTCTACTCCTTCAGTTGACTCGACTTGCTTGCAGCTGAGATGATAGTACATCAAACAGCTGTTTCATATTGGCTGGATTATTGAAGAAGTATGCAAACATCTTTCTCTCTCTATGAAGGAGGGGATCATTCCTCAGCGTCTGAAATTTAAATACTCATATCTTAAAGTATTGACACATTTGCCAAGTTAATGGAAATTATTTTGACAAAATGATGATTGTTTGCTAGTCTTCCATCATGTTTCAACCACTTTGACCAATCAGATGTATTGTACTTTGAAACAGAACTCAATAATAAAAAATTCATGTAACATCTATGTTAGACCTTTTTCTCAATTTCTGCTTTAAATTACATTTACATTAAAGTGATATTTTTTGGTGAAATATTTTTCATTCTTGGTTGTCTCAACTACCTGTTTCTTAATCTCCAATTCCTTGACCACATCTTTGATGGACTTTTCCAGTCTTTTTATCAAGTTGTCGAGTGTGGTTAGAGAGTCCAACAATTGTCTAGGTATCAGTGTTGGCTGACCACTTGTGGTACTTGAACCAGCATACACCAGATCCAGACAGGCCATCAGATTACTCTCTCTGCAATAATTATCATCTTTTTAAATGGATATTCCAGTCAAGTCAGCAATCAACAGGAGGACTTCGACAATAAAGAAATTGTATATAGGGTTAATATCAGATAGAATGCAAATTTATCATAACTTGAATTAAATAATTTCTCATGGTGGTTCCTGGTCCTTGACCAGTTGTCAACCTATGTGTTGATATTTAACTAAAAGATTCCTAATTGGTTTAAAGCAATCACTTTTCAAATCACAGAATATATATGTAGTAGAAAATTGTATAAGTTGCTGTAGATAATGAATAACAATACCAATTTAACATCTGATAAATGGATTAAATGGATGAGATCTAAACTGTCCCTAAGACTGCCTGCAACATAAGAGTGCCGTTGGAACAAAAATGTGTCCTGACAATTTGACAGCTGACTTATTTTGTCCATTCACCAAAAAGGGAACTGTTGTCAAGACTCAGTCATTTGCATAACTTTGGTTTTCAAAAGCTCTAAAAAGTTGTCAGTCATTGTCTCATTGAGTCATATTAAACAAAATATAACAATACAACAGAAATGAGATCCAATGTCTGAGTGTCCTGGATTTAGTGAAGGTCGGTATTCTTCTGTAGACGGATTCCTGATTAAATACAGGGTGCATATCAGGATAATTATGGAAGTAAACAGACCAGATGACCAGACAACATCTGATGAAATACAGGGTTTGTATCAGGATAATTATGGAAGTAAACAGACCAGATGACCAGACAACATCTGATGAAATAAAGGGTCCATATCAGGGTAATTATGGAAGTAAACAGACCAGATGACCAGACAACATCTGATGAAATACACGGTCCATATCAGGGTAATTATGGAAGTAAACAAACTAGATGACCGGACAACATCTGATGAAATAAAGGGTCCGGGTCAGGATAATTATGGAAGTAAACAGACTAGATGACCAGACAACATCTGGTGAAATAAAGGGTCCATATCAGGGTAATTATGGAAGTAAACAGACCAGATGACCAGACAACATCTGGTGAAATAAAGGGTCCATATCAGGGTAATTATGGAAGTAAACAGACCAGATGACCAGACAACATCTGATGAAATACAGGGTCCATATCAGGGTAATTATGGAAGTAAACAAACCAGATGACCCGACAACATCTGATGAAATAAAGGGTCCGGGTCAGGATAATTATGGAAGTAAACAGACCAGATGACCAGACAACATCTGATGAAATACAGGGTTTGTATCAGGATAATTATGGAAGTAAACAGACCAGATGACCAGACAACATCTGATGAAATAAAGGGTTCGTATCAGGATAATTATGGAAGTAAACAGACTAGATGACCAGACAACATCTGGTGAAATAAAGGGTCCATATCAGGGTAATTATGGAAGTAAACAAACCAGATGACCGGACAACATCTGATGAAATAAAGGGTCCGGGTCAGGATAATTATGGAAGTAAACAGACCAGATGACCAGACAACATCTGTCAGAAGATCTCAACTGGATTTATTGGCAGTTGACATGTTTCGATATACTAGGTATATCGTCATCAGGTTCTGATGGACAGTGTGATACTTACAATAAGTCTAGTCTGTTTTCATGTCGGACTGCTGTAGACATCAGTGTGTGTTGGGCTGCATCACTTTCACACTTCAGTCGATGCGCTCCTTCAACCAGCCCATTAAAGGTTAGGAACAGTTGATCACTTCCTTTATCACCCTTGTCAACTGAAAATGTGAGTATGTCATAACTAACCTCTCATAATTACATCAATTCCAAACAGAACTTTTATTGTACCTAAGTCTAAAGAATTGGCCAAGAACAACAATAGAACTAATGTGAGAGTACCCAAATTGTGACATTTTAAATCTATATTTTCCAAATTTCTGAAGATTAATGTATAAATTGTTGCTAGTTTACCAACCAGACTCCCATTTTCTGGCATGAGGAAATTCTTTGTACATGTAAGTATATTTTGAAAAGGCTTTATCGAGACTTCTAAAAGGTTGCAAGGATGAATAGTTTCAAAATTGAGAAAAAAAAATCAGTCACACAAGTCAAAAATATCTCGTAAAAGCCTTGAAAGGAGAGGAAAAGCCACCATACCCTCTAAAACATTTACTTACCTAACATATGGTGAAGCCGTGATGTAAATTTGTCTCTGGAGTCCACTGTTCCTCGCTCATACTTTGACACACTCAGGGATGGTTCCTCCATCATTGACTGAAACATCAACAAGTTTATATGATACGTTTGTTGGGTTTATCTCCCCATGAATAGAAAGGGTTATTTGGTGGATGGTCTCTTTGGTGGCTACCTCATGGAACAACATAAGGGAGACCTGTTCCACACCATCCGCAGTAATTAGAGTAAAGTAGCTTTCCAATGTACACAACCATGCCAGCAATGACCGGTCCGTTTCTCAGTTTAAAAGATACAATTATATAAATTTTTCAACACTTCTGTAGCAGAATACTTTGATTTCTTACAAAATGTATATACAGAGTATTTGATAATAGTTCTGATAGTAAACAGAAATGAAGTTGCGAGTTATTTTGTTTAACATTCTTCCACAAACCCCTTACTACATAACATGTGCTTTCTAAATTAATTCAATATTTTCATCAATATTAATTTGACAATACAATACTACTGACAAGCTTATTTACCATTCGACTAGACCAAGAGTGTAATTGTAACTGTAGTTGCTGTCGGATGGCTGTCAGCAAGCGATGTGTGTCACGGTGACCTTGAGTCTCCACCTCAAATGCCATTGTTAAGAACTCATTTCTTGACCGCTGTCTGACCAGCTCACTGATAACCTGAAGTCACATGACATACAATCTGATATTTATAAATAAAATACAATACTCTTTCCTGACAAGATCTTTGGGTCCAAATCAAGGCCGTATTCCTTACTGTAGTTATTGCTTACTTTTCCCAATCTCAGAATTGCTAAAATCTTTAAATATGGTATTTTGATGTGGACATAAAATCCAGCAGTCCATGTTCCAATTTTGCCCCTAATACAGCAGTCCATGTTTCACATTTCCCTCACTACTTTCCATTTTGCCATACCAGGTACAAACAAGAATATGAGTGAAAATGATGAATGCTCCTGAAAACAACTACCAGTATATTGGATACAGAATTTGACAGGGGCCATAATTCTGTAATTGAGAAGATTCAAGCCCTGAATTTGGTACATTGCACATCCTCTTAGTAAGACAAATGTTCACATCAAGTTTCTTTATCCTAGTTAGTTATGCTCCATGCACAAAAAATTAAATAAAGGCCAATAACTCTGTAAAAAAAGGGTTGCAGACCCTCAGTTTCAAACACTGCCAAGACAAATGCGTACATTAAGTTTCACTTTCCCAGGTGAAATGAAAGCAAACTTAGGCTCTGGGCATGAAGTTTTAGCAAAGGGCACAATGTCTGTAATTAAGAGCTTGCGGACCCTGAATTTGGTACACTGTTTATCATCTTAGTAAGACCAATGTATACATCAAGTTTCATGGTCTGTACTTGACCGTAGACAAAGTGAAGCTTCGGAGACTAACGGAAAGATGGACAGAACAGCAACTACATGCTCCCCTGAAAAATTGACAGGAGCATAAAAATTGCTAATTTCTGCCAGGTGGCAAATTCCCAAATTGGTCAGGAAAACCAATGCAAAAATCTAAAAAATAAAAATTGTTAGACTTCAAATCTGGATACTTGTATGCATATATGAAATAGACTTTAATTCCAATAGGTCAGTAAAGACCAATGCTAAGTTTCAACTCTCAATGCCCATGTAAATCTGGGAATATACTTAATAGCAATATTCATCAAAGCAGTGATATATAAGGTTACGCAGAGCATTTAAAATGTTTTATTGCATGCCCACATGTGACCATTTGTATTTAGTATAAAAAAACAACAAAAAGTATAATTGCATATATCATTCCCTCATCCTTCACACCTATACTAGAAGATAATACACAAGTATACACAACTGGTTTATTCATAATCTATCCGTTAAACCTAGTCCCAGTATCAATTAGCAGTAAGTTTATCTAAAACTTTCTGTAGACTTACCTGATCCTGGTTGCATACAAAGTAGTCTTGCCGACTCAGCTTCAGGTTGTAGTCTCCTGTCAGTATCCTTGCTACCTGGGAGGATGTGCTCTCCATGATAAGGGAGGGAATGTCAGTCTCTCGTAGCTTGTAAAGGTCTCGATTAACCTGACTCACATTTTCATGTCTCTCCTGACACTGCTTACTGGAATAGAAACAGAACCATAAAATATGTAGACTAGAAGACATGTACCCACTACTCCTACGCAAACTAGAATTTGATCAGGTGTAGAACCTGATGTTATGATACATCTACATCAAGTAACTCAATACAGTCTGCAAAACTAGAAAATCATACCGCTTAAACTTCTGAAATATATCCATTGGCTAAATGCCATACAATGCATCATCAATGCCATATCAAACAGGACACATTACTCATCAATCAGTAGGAATTATTCAGAAATTCTGTCAAAAGTTTTGAACTAAAAATTAACCAAAGCCATAACATTGTATATCATGGGGAATACAACCTCATTTAATTACCCATCTATCGATCAATATGACAAGAAGTTCTTGCATACAAAATTAGGAAATGGTATGTGATATGGTATTTAAGACATCTACTTTATACCAACAAATTGACAAGCCATGAAAGGGTATCTATGGTAAACAACCTGTGTCTCAGAAAGATAATATGTAATGCAAAATTATAGTTGTTTAATAGCAATAATAGGGCTGGAATACATGTTTGTCAACTTCTTATTGTAGTAAATCGTGCATTGCATGGTTCAATGAAATATAAAATAATTTATATTCATTGTAAACTTCATTATCATTCATCCCCAATAATGAAATAATATTACATTTATTGGTATTTTACTGAGCAGCACCAGATAACGGTGAGCTTATTCATACCTTTATTCAAGCAAAGTAACCAAGAGCACAGCATTATCATGCAAGTATTATGTATGTTTGGACCAATATTTGGTAAAACTGTCATTGAACTATCATAACTACTATCTAGCATTTCTGATATAATCACCATGAATATGAATGTGAGGAGGGGTGTGTCTCTTACTTTATATCCTGTATGTTGGTTCCAAACTGTCCAGCTTGGATTGAATGTAGTAAATTCTCTGCACATTTTAGACACTGACTTGCTACTGTGTTCTTCATTAAGGCATCAATTCTTTTAGACTCACTCTTGGGATACCTGTCATGTATCGAAGTCTTTATAAAATGAGATGTATTTTAATCATTTGATCATTCAGCACACAAGTAATGGGACCTGATGTGCAAAGTATTGGACAAGAACATATTTAACTTTAACATGAAGTTTTTATAGCAACTACATTTTAGAAATATCCAGATTCTCAAATCTAATTTTTCAATTGCCAAAAAAGCTATATTTACTCTGGCCAAAACAAATAAATTTCTTACTGGACTTTAAATGTCCTTGATAAAAGAGGGTCATGAAAAAGATCTGTAATTTTAGAAACTCCAGCCAAGTTTGAGGAAATTTGTACGAAGATTTTCTGGTAACTTCATTTCTGTAAAAGCTCCAGTAACTTACAGATCCTGTATCCTTGCAAGCTCTTTACATTCACTGAGGTTGACTTCTTGTCGCTCCCCACGGATGAGCAAACTGTCTGGATCACTGATTTCCAAGATCTGGTATCGTGAGACCTCTTCTTCTTCACCAGCTATCTCAGATATACCCTGTATAGACATCACATCTTGTATACTTATTCTAACACAGTGGTCTGTCTTTAGCAAGACACTGATTACAAAACCATAATTTTTTAAATTCTGTCATTATAATCCTAACTTGCCTCCTTTTTCTTGAACCTTGTGAAAATTACTCTTAAAAACTTGTTAATAAGTGGATGTCAAAGTTAAGCCTATCTTGAAGTCTGTAGTTTCTTACATAAACTTAAGTGCATTTGCTTTACATACACTGTGTCTTATTTTTTGAGTTTTTAGGGAATTCTTGAGACCATTATGATATTACTGTCCATTTTATAAGTTAGAATGTTTAATGTTTATTGAATAATCCAGAAAGATATCCTTCTTCATATAATCTTAAATTATGTAATGTACGGGAGGAGATACCAGCAACTTCATTCAAAGAAAGTCAACTGTATATTCTAGTATCTTTGAACAATTATCTCTATACCTCAAAGAACTGTTTCTTTGTGAAAGCTGTCAGTTCCTGTGAAAATTTCTCCTCTGCATTTGCATATTCACCAAGTGATATCTGGGACAGGAAATTGGGCGAGTTATTTCCATTGTCAGACTTGTACAGGTTGTGAAGATCCTCAACAGACCGGACCAAGTTTTCCACATTGGCATTCATCTGGACATGAAGTACATTATTTAAAGTTCAATTATACTTCATTTGTTAAGATGCTGGGTATTTTTATATCTTTAATCATATAATTACAATCAAGTGACAGTAAATTACAAAATAAGAAATATTAGTATCAATCATCTTAAAGGACTGTAGTTTCAAGGTATATAAATCCATACATATCTATGACATTAAGTTAGAAATAAAGACACTTACATAAAAAAAATCTACTATTCTGAAATATTCTTAAACTTCCATTAACACATACATACATACCAGTATACTTACGTATAAATAAGTACAGCCAAGTCTGCCTTTAAGACCACACAATTACAATAACTACCTGTTTATAATGGCTACTGGTCCGAGTACAAATGTAATGAAATTCACATTAACTGAAGCCACTATATAAAGATTACATTTCTCACCTCCCTTGAATGGTTTTTATAGACAGGTTCAAGAGTATAAATACCTGTGTGCTGTCCGTTCGGCATTGCTCCTTACAGTGTTTAAACTGAGATTTGACTTTGGCCTCTGTGCTCTTGACCTTGGACAATCGATGACTAAGACTTGTCTGATGTAAACTGATGATGCAAAATACTGGTTATAAATGATTACTTGCTCTTCATAGATAGATATCAACTTTAATATGCAAAAGTTAGAGAGTAATTAATTCAAATTCTGGATAAAATTGTAATGAATTTGAAGAATCTGTTCAACACAACTATGGCTAGATATTATTCAAAATGTGGATGACGTATAAGTATGAGGACTCTCCTGTGTGTGGACACATTTTAGTGTTATATATGTCTCGTCTTGATCAACAAAATGTTTGCATCAGTTAAAAAAATCAAGGGAAAAATATTCAAAATCATATGTACTAAATAAGCAGCTGGTGTACATATGATAATTTTTTTTATCATACTCACCTCAGCTTATTCCTCTTTTGAATTAGAACCTGCTTTCTCTTCTTCTTTATCCTAAGGTCATGCTCAGTCTGATTAATGGCCTTTCTATAGGTAGGCAAAAAATATTTGGGATTAATTTCAAAATTACGACAGTAGGATGGGAAGGTGTTATACTTTAGTATTAATGTAACATATCCAAATTTCACCAAATAAGAAATGAAAACCAGCAACCGTTTTGAAACATTTTTCAAGTTTTCATCAAGTGTGTGTTCACTGATCAATACCCATTTTAGCAGTGCAAACTCATAAAATGATGCATTTCTTCCCTATGAGTCTTATGATTAAGTCAGATCAAACAAGAATCTCTTCTGAATTCATATCCAATCTATTCAGGTTCATTTCGCTTTGGTAGGAGTTTTATAAGCAGTTTTTTATGTAGATTGTTTGTGCTTTGGATTTCACAAAAGCCAAGTTCATATGACGATACTGTCCATCACTCTGAAATGTAATAACCAGGACAGGGCACAATGACACCCATCTGGACTGCATCATACTGACAATAGGCTAACCAGTCCTTACTTTTAACTCATTTAAAGTTTGATTTCATGTAATTAGTTGAAAGTACTAATTCTATAAACTTTGATAAAAATGTTGGGGCATGGCTGGTTACTGACCTGAGCTGGTCATCAGTGAGATTATCCTCCTCGCCGACAGTGACAGATCGTAAAGCTTCCTCCAGCTGACTTCCTTGTAAAATACCCTCCTCTGAATCTCTAAGCTTCTCATACCTGCATGAGTAATCAAATTTCAGTGACACATCAATGCAGATTTCAGAGTGGATGGTAAGTCTTTCCTAAATTTGTCAATACTAAATGATATATCATTTTTATGAAGACTTAGTATATGCTGCATCAATCTGGTAACAATCCTGCCCTGATATAACTGTTCAGTACATTTTCAAGCTAATGATACATCTTTAAACCCATTCCAACTTTGACTAAGAATATTTTAAGCATTGACCACTTGTTCTTTTCATCTGGTGAATCATACTTTGATGTCCTTAATTACAGATTATAAGTTGCAATTCATTTTCCTACATATATGACATATATATAACATGTCATATAGAGACCAACAATTTGGATTTAGTACAATGCACATGTATACATAAATATGTAAGCTTCAATACAATAAAAAATAAATTAAAATCTACACAAAATTTATGAACATGCTGACAGTAATTTATTAGTAATTTCCTGAACAAAAATCAGACTTACTCCTGAATATCTTTGGGATGAAGTACATTGGTGTTGCCTACGTTATTACAAAACCAGTCCAGAAATGGCGCTACCCCATCCCCCTCAAACATCCACTCAAAGCTTTGGGGGTCCAGGCTCTCAGCCTTGGGGTAGCCAAGTTGAATCAGTGTATCCACAAACTGTCGTCCACTCATGATTTTGTCTTAAAGGTGTTCATAACTGGACTTTTCTGAAAGTATATCACCAAAGTTTCTAAGATTAATGAAACTAATTTAGAATATGCCTGAAATGTTGCAGTAAAGATCCTAGCAATCTCTGAAATATTTTACTCATTAGGAACCTATAACAGATCCGTTTGCTCTTGCACTGACCTATTTTCATAGTGTGTTACAGAAGTTTGGAAGTCTAACACTGTGCCTCCATGGTAAAATGTTTTCTGTCAAATGGTCAGTAAATACCACTAACCTCAGTCCCCGATTTGACCGGTAGATTCCGGTTATATTACTATTTAAACAACTTTGCTGGATCACAAAAATGCTCTTTTATATGGAGATCCTAAGATTACATTAAACATTTGACGTTGAAGTTGATTTACCACTATGCCAGATCTTGCATTTGATGCTCCCGCGGAAGTTCTTTTTCAACGAATATGATTGGTCACCATAAACGGAACTATTTTGATTTCTTTTTTTTTCAATATAATCATTTGATGTACCTCGCAATGCTTTAGCGGTAAAAATCATATCTTTTGTATGCAGATAACATACCGTAGTATACGTTTTGAGTCCGAACTTTTTTAAACAGTTTAGTCCCAGTTCCGGATAATGACATACTAATAAACTCTAAAATTTTGATACAAAAGCCACTTCCGTTCATTTGAAAAATGGGTCAAAATGAAAAAGGCGGTATAATCAAAAGACGAAAACAAGTGTAATTCTCTGAGGATTCAACTACATGTTCTAGCTATGGGGAAACCGGTAAAATCTTCATGTTATTGTTTCCTGGTTTTAACTAGAAATGTTCCTGATTCATGCATTTATTTCGGAAACTCTCGTCGATTCGAAAATGTGGGATATTGTTATGTCAAGTTGTCAACATCTGAGAATATTTTTCTGACGACATTTATAACAGACCAAAGTTTACGAAATAAATTGAAATCGCGAGAAACCAGGGCCCGTATTCATGAAACCGTTCTCATGCTCAAGCATAGATTTTGTGCTCAAGCAGACTTTTTCATAATTCGCCTAAATCATATAAAATAATACAAATGTCAAATATAAACATTGAATTAAACTTTGATTTGAAGTCCCTTCAAAATTTATTTTAAATCTTTGGCAAAATCAGTCTTATTTATCAATTTTTAACTTTAACAAGACATAAGGCTTGAGCACAAAATTCATGCTTAAGCATGAGAACGGTTTCATGAATACGGGCCCAGGTTTACAGATTGCTCACAATTTATTCATTGAATTTCAGTCTGTTAGTATTGGATTTGTCCAAAGCACTGGTGATGTTGCATCAATAATCAATATGAATGTCTTGGGATATGTTTTCACTGTAAGCTGCATACATGGAGTCCTAAACTCATTATTTTTGGTTTTTCTACCTAGGATTGTCTCCCACTCGTCTTCAGTTTAATCAACAACCATTTGGGAATAAATACCATGAACATGTCATTTCAGCAAATAATATAACCAAATTTTAAAATCAATTAGACAAACAATGGAAAATCTCCTTTACTTACAGAATTGCAATCACATACTTATCAAATTGTGTAATTAATGTATATTTGCAAGAGGACTATGCATAATAATTGTAATATCTAAAATGTATTTTTGAGTCTGGTATACAGGACTTGCATATATATAAGTCCTGAACTGGAGATGACACATCTTATGATATCTTATATATTTGAGAAATTTAACCATATGAGATAAATACATTTGGGGATTGAGCCCATATCCACCCCCACGGTGCCCGCAGAAAAAGTCCTGTCATCAAAGGCAAAGAGACACACTACAAATAGGATTTTGTGTAAAATAGACCAGAGTCTATATATAAAAGATACATGGTTTTCATGCATTTTTTTTCTAATTGTAATGTGCCTAAGGTAGGTATTCTGTTCTGTTTAATACAAAGAAAACTGCCCTTGTCATGATACATATAGGAGAAATTTTTGAAATAATATTTTACTGAATTTCTCCCCTGTCTGTATCAACCTTATTTTACTTCATTGCAGTACCTCCTTAAGATAAATTGAATTGATTGTAATATTTTCAAAAAATAAATGTATTTCAAAAAATGTTGTACATATTGTTCTCTTAATTCAGTTGAAAATTATTTTTCAGAAGAAGAAGAAAGATTTCTTTGTCAATCCACTGAAGAACAAAAATATAGGATGGTATGTACAGATTACAAAAATGTTGTGAAATGCATACAGATATGTATTAATCCTCTTGTCATACCCATAGATATGATGAAATGTCAGTTGTTAGTGTTAGTAAGCTGTATCAAGAATCAATTGAATCAAGGAGAATTGAAAAAGAAATATGACATGCAAGTGTTTGATTTTAGGTGCATTATGAGTTGTCAAAGTTAACATTCTTAAGAGTAAATTTCTTTCATAAAATTCTACAGAAGTCCTGTCTTAACTGCATGGTTACCTTGAGCAGTTGTAGCTTCTGATCATGACTGGCCAGGTACAACAGTTATTGGTTTTCTGCTGTAATTTTTTCTGTTTTACTTTGTGTTCCTTGTAGGCGAACAGGAAAAGACCTTCTTGCAGGAAAAATTATCAGAGTTAATGAGCAAGGAGTTGAAAATCTGGAGGATTACTATTCAGAATCAGGTATAAGTGGCAAATTGTTATAGGTTGAACACTCAGTTGGAGATTGACTATCATTTTGCAGTAATTCAGTCTATTTCACTCCATTAGAAATGATCATTAGGATTTCATCAATAATTCATTAACCATAACAAGACAAAACTAAATCACACTTGACTGTAAATTAAAGTCTTGTTAAAGATCTATACATGAAGCGAAAAATGTTAGTTCAAACAAAGATGTTTGAATTACTATTTCAAAAGTTGAACATTGTGACATGTAAACACATATTCTTGCTTCAATACTCAGTGCTTCATGACATGGGTATTAGTGATGGGACAGTGGTCAAATTTAATTGAATATCTAATTATTTAACCTCATCGGAGGCAATGATTGATTGTAATTTTTCATACCTGATAATCAATCATAAGTACCATGATATTTATATTTTCTTGTGTTTTAGCAAGAACAAACTTCATGTAATGCAGCATAAAGATGCTAATTGACAATAATAATTATCCTTATGCAAATTTTAGTTAAGAGAGTTATTTCAGCTTAAGTCACAAAAAAAAAGAAAATATCACTGCAGTGGAGAATGCATTCACTTTCTATGAATATTGAACACACAATCAGTTGATAATGTAATTAATTACATCAGGAAGCATATCTGATTTTAACTGATGATCAATTTCAATAATTAAACAACACTTAATACTGCAATTATTTTCTATTGGCTCATTACTACTTAAAATTACTTGAAGATGTATTTCTTCATCTGAATATTTATGTAGAATTTCAGACTATTTGATGATTGATATAATAATGTACTGTATTAGATAGAAATGCTTAGATTAGGTTTGTTCATCTTGCAGATGCAGATTTCACACAAGATTTGACAGTTAATAATTCTCGGATGACCAGAAGTTCTAAGGAGTTTAAGTATAAGTCTATCGATGAGAACAAAGATCCAGAAAATGAAGCTCAGTCTCAGAGTACAAAGTTTGAGTCAAGCCAGTCAGGGGTCAGTTGTAAAATAAGGAATAAAGACAAGCAATAAGAGCAAAATATCAATATTATTATAATCCAGCTCCTTGTTAAACAAAATAAACAAAAGAAAAATCTTGCCAAAGTGATAGGCATATTACCCAGTAATACCAGGTATTAAAGCATGTATACACATTGACATCAAATACCTTATTGTATAAAGTTTTTTTTTCTGGATACAGATATATAAAACTATTAAAGTGAATGTTTACTTTTTTACATGATCACAGACTTAAATATATAGTTATGGAAAGAATCATTTACTTCCTGAATTTATTTGTTTGTAGCTGAAAGTAGTTTACATGATTAAGATTATGAAGAGGTATACATTTCATTGATAATTTACTCTAATTTGTCAACACAGTTTTAATTACTTTCTTTCCTTTGATTCATTTGCTTTAATACAAACATTTGTAGAACCTATGGAAATCCTACTCTCTAAAAAGTATTTTAATGTCTTGATGCACTATATCTCATCCATAACTTTAAGAATTTCCAAAACTGTCCAAAAAAATGAAATAAGATGACAAAGACTGACCTCTCATGAAAAAGTTTTCATCAAGCACAAATGTCACATATTTCTTTCTCACTCAGCAACTTGGATCAAGTCAGTCCTCCAATATGTTTGCATGGCTCAAGAACAAAAACATTGGAAGGTATGTACAGTTGTATAAAAATTTCAATACAGACTTATTGGCTTTACCTACATGTGTAACAAAAAATATAACAGTCTTTGATAGAGAGATTAAATACTTATGTGGTTCCTGGAATATTAATGAGACTTCCTGGTACATGCACTAACATTGCTATCTTATCAACAGGAGGACAGGGAAGGATGTTCTAGCAGGGAAGGTGATCACTAAAAACAGTCATGGCTTTGATAACATTGAAGATTACTTCTCAGAATCCTCAGGTCAGTATCTCTTTTTTTTCTCTCTCCTTTTTTTTTGTGTTTGAAGTATAAATGTTAAGAATAATACATGAACTCTCTTTAAGATTTTGTAGTAATTTGTGTAGCAGTAATTTCACAGTTTCCTCAGTAAAGATAATAACAGATAAAACTGTAGATCTTGTGTTGGATATACCATTAAAGAGAGAAACCAATTGTTTAGAATGTAACATATTTTGTATCTTTAGACAGAAAACACAAGTATTATATAGCCAGTACATTCATATAACAATTTCTAATTCATTATATGCTTTTTTGTTTGAAGTATACTAAATTTAAGTTCATTTTGAACTGAAAAAGCACATATTCAAAATGATCATTGAATTATTCAACAAAGACAATTATGTTATCTATGTATTCTTATCAAGAAACTGAATAATTGGTCAATTAGAGTTTTTGAAAGAAGATTCGCAATGTAAAAGGAGGGGGTTGGTGTGGCTTTTATATAGTGTTAATTACAGTCTTGGTTACTCAGCTGTTAGAGCTATATTCTTTGGCTCAGTTGGTAGAGCTGGTTGATTATTTCCAGGTTACAGAAATTATCTTTCAGTAACTAAATTTGTGTAAAAGAATCCAAGTTTATCATACCGACATATAGAGACAATGATATTAGGTAGAAATGAAAACAAAACTGATATCTTTGCATTTGTAGGATATATGTACCAAATGGTATCAAGTTATTTAGAAAAAAAATTGTCAGTTATCATTTATTGATGTCAGACTGTTGGTGTCAGGTTTGTGGAATATTTTGTCTTTCTTTGTTTTCAGATGCGGAGAGTATGTTTATGTCTAAGAGTCGTATAAGTGTAGGATTAGATAGCACTGATGTTGCCATGGAGAACTCAGCCCATCCTGATAGCTGTGTAAGTTTTCTCTGAATTTGTAGTATGAACTATTTAATAAGTTCCACAAATCACTTGTTAGTCTAAATGGTAATGTGCAATGGGTCTTAGTGTGAGTGGAAACTTAAAGAAAATGAAGAAAAATCACATGATCAAACAGGTAAAGCTGCCTCTTCTTAAATCTGTTTGAGAATCAAAATCTTGCAATTTGGATTATTTGAATATCACACATAAGTTTTTAACCTGTCTTTTCATCATTATACCACAACTCAGACAATAATGAATTGTTTAATTTTAAAAAAGATAACCTTGTACTTTTGATTGACTTTCTTTTTATCATTATTCTTTTTGGAAATCTTATATATTAAAAGGTTTTCTTAAGCAGTGATGTTTAAGTTTAAATAATCCCATTGATATTAGGGTGTCTTAGGTACACAGTGTTTGCCCTGTGTACTCGATCATTGAAACCTGACCTGTACCCAGTTACCCACAAAGGAGTAGATGCACTTTGGCTCAAAATTGGCCTCAAAAAATCTTTTTTTTAATTGTTAGAAAATTCTTTAATCATGTACCCATTTGTGTTATTTAACAACTTATCAGTTGAAATGCAGATAAAGATAGGTTCATAACGCGTGTGATGACGTCACAAATTTCGCGGGAAAACGTCACGTTTACAAAAAGTCACGATTTTTTTCGATATTTTATGACTTTGAACGAAAAATTAACTACCTCCCCAAGGGTGTACCAATTTTATATTTATCATTGAGAACAATTTCCACATTATGTTTGCGATGCTCAAATATTTTTTTGGTACATGCCTGGGGAGGTATTTAAAATAACAAATATCTTCTGAATTTGTAACCACATTTCACGATTTTGGTGAGATTTTGACGTTGCCCAGCGTAACGTTAGCGTCGAGACCGACTACAAGATTGCGGAAGTAAATGGATGCTGAAATAAAAGACAAAAACATGAAAAATGACTTGACTTATGTTTGTTAATAAAATTAGATAATAATAATGAAAAAAAATGTATTTTGAAAAATGACAAAAATATCCATGGTAACAACTCCTAGATTTTGCAATCTCCTAGGCCCGAGTCTCATGCGCTACATTGTACGTTAGTCTAAACTCGCATAGAAGATCTTGCAAGTTTCAGCCTACATTTGAAGTATGTATACGTAGAAGAGCTGTCAACACATCTGCACATCTTGTAGAAGTTGTCTACTTCTTTAACAGGTATGTAACAATATTATGTAGAAGATATCCATGTTGTGTATTCGCGACATTGTCGTGATTTGTTTACGTTTGTGCATATGAGCAGACGTCAGATCTGACTTCGAAAAAATAGTCATTGTAGATATTCCTAGTGTTTTGATAAGTATGCAGTAAGTAAAAATACAATAACAAGTATAAAAAATAAAATAAAACCTTTTCTTTTTTTGTTAGTAAACGGTATTTTCCATAATAACGTTGTCTGAGTCTGCGTCTAAAAATAGAATTTTGCAACCAAACAAAATGCAGGGATTTATCGTCAGAAAAAACATAATGGCAAAACTGTATTTGCTACAGTGTTGTTTTCAAAACATACACTAACATATAAAAATGAGAAAGTGTTCCTATATACGAGATATAAACTAAAGTGTCAATTCACACACCCATAATAAAATCAGTGTACATCCGAAGTGTGTTGGTTTTGATTTATATTACTAACAAAATCATCTCTGTGACGTAATCAGCCGCTGTAGTGTAATGGTGAAGGTGCGATGCTCTGAAGGTGTAGTTTTGCCGGGGCGAGTTCAAATCGCGGGCACACAACATATTATTCTTTATTCTTATTTTTTTTCTATAACTTTCACCTCAATTATTCTCGATTTTATTAGTTATATTCATCAATAATGTACTGATAGAATTAATAATTATAAATATTAGAATATTTTCAGGACGTTATATCATGTTGCTACATGTATTTTTCCATATAAATATCCTTGCATTCTAATACAAACAATTATATTTGCATCGATAGTCTTGGTGTTACAAATATTTCTTTTGGAGATATTGTAACTCTTACATCGCGTCATTTTGCTGAATTGTTATCGACCAGGGGTAGTTTTTTTTCTATATATATGTTTTGCGTCGGACTTACTTTTGCTAGCATCAAATAATCAGCATATACGTGCAGAAACTAAAGTGTTAATCTTATGGGCTAAGGTATAATTTCTCTCATTTATGCTATTATAAAATTAATACGATGAAAAATCTTACCATGCATATTTTCTTTTGAAGAATCCCAGTAACATAACGATCCTGAGGACCTGAATTCAAATATTTTTATGGATACATTTGATTCAGAAATTAAACGTAAGTCTTCTGCTTTGTAAGTTTCGTCAGCACAATGAATCGAACATTATTATATTGTGGCTATTTGATATTTTTGACCTAGCTTCATTTTTGGCTGCAGTTAGTTTATTGGCTTGTATATTTCGGGAGAACTCTTGTTATAATGGCACATCCCTGAATAACTAAATGAAGTATATACATGTACATGCTTACATGTATATATAAACGTGATTATATGCTCCAGATATACTGTATAGCCAGTATCAATGCTACATGTACTGTTACCAAAAACAAATTACGGGAAACATACGAAACACTGGCTTGATATATATTTTTTTAAAACAGATTGACACTGGCATAATATACATTAGCTACTCTTTAAAATAAAGTTTTGTAAAAATCAGATTTTTCACCGAACTTAAGAATTAATAGATTATTTATTTTCATTATTTTCATTCTTTAAGGTTTACTAGTGACGTAATAGGAGACAGAGAGTAGCGAGAAAATGCCTGGAGATTCTTGAAGTTACATGTAAGTGTTTTAGGAAGTTCCTGAATTAATCTTATTTCTATGCTTCAAATTGTTAAGTAACAGAAATCTGAAATACTTGGAGGAGAATTCTCTCATTATCATGTTTATTTCCGTTTCTACTACAATATTTTATTTTTAAAAAGGTGACTGATATATGTATTGTAATAAAAACAGGTTTTTTTCTATTATACATGTGTTTAATGTAATTGTCACTGTCTGTCTCCCACCAATTGTTTGTCCAGTCTTTCCTTGTTGGCTATTTATGAAGAACAATGATAAACATTTTCGATTACTTCATATGAGTCCAGCTACCAGCTTCTAAAATAGCTATTATTTTATTATTTCATACAGTATATACTGTATAATAAAGCAATTATTGACTTCTAGTAAAGTAATACAAATATTTAACACCCAGTCAAAGCAATGCTCATATCTGACTCGGGTCCCTGTTAACACATCAATTTACATGTTTGATAAATCATTGTAATAACATTATGAAGATCAGTATTGCATGATACACTGTATAAACAACAAGTGATGGATACAATGTTTCATATTTATTCAACATACAATAAGTAAATGCCCAGACGCCCTTTAGTTTCTGATGTTTGGGACATATTTTAATATAGTTAGTATCTATTTGTTTAGGATGCCTGGAAAGGGAGAATTTCGGTGTGTTGTTTGTTCTAAGAGAACAAAACCTGGGGACAGGCGCTTCACTAAAGGCAAGGAAAACTCTTCACTAAGAAAATATTTGTTGAAAACATATATGATACAAACAAAAGAAGAAGATGTCATTTGTGGAAAGTGTCGTATGTCATGTCATCGCTCAATACTACAGCGTCGTACACACATCGCTCAACACCACTCTTCAGTTGAAGCCCCTTGTAATAAATCAACAAAGAACATCCTTTCATCGCCGCGGAATATTACACTTTCAATCCCATCCACTGGAAGTAGCCACAAAAAATGTTTTGTATGCAATACTTACCCAAAGAAACTGGTGGTAATATCTCGTGACGCGAAATACGACCTCTTCCTGCGAAAAGGGGTTTTAGTTCCGTTCGGAGCAAGATGTTGTAGTCATCATATCGAGGATGGTCTATTGCAAAATGATGCTTGTGAAAACATTGCTATAAAAAGTGACCTATCTTCTCTTAATCGTACTGAAATAGTGGCATTGATTTCTAAGATTAGAGATGTAGCAAATACACAGCAAAGCAAACGCATTGACTTTGACTCACCGCATGCCCTTTCGAATGAAGATTTCATTACACTAACTGGACTATGTACACAGCATTTTAACGATTTGTGTACTCACTGTGCTGGTTCTGTGCGATCTTCAAAGAATAGGAGCATTAAATCTTGTGTCGGCATCTTTCTTACTAAACTAAAAAGTGGCATGTCAAATAAAGTCCTATCAACAGTTTTTAACATTGGAAAAGATTCTATTCGACGTGCAGTAACATCGGCAAGAGTTGCACTAGCGAAAGACTTTGTTCCATCAAATTTGGGATTTCAGCATGTTAGTCGACAAGATGTTATACTGAAACACACAAGACCACTCGCCCAAACATTGTTTGGAGGACTTATGGAACCAGCCATTCTTGTAATTGATGGCACCTACATTTATATACAAAAGAGTGGCCAATTTATGTTCCAAAGGAGGAGTTACAGCATGCATAAGCACCGGCCGTTGGTAAAACCTATGATGTTTGTCACCACAACAGGTTACATAGTGTCCGTGTTAGGTCCCTATTTTGCCGATTCCAAAAACAATGATGCCAGCATCCTGAATCAGATTTTAAATTCCAACATTCAAGAAATCAAGGAGTGGATTCAGGAAAATGATGTGTTTGTGGTTGACAGAGGCTTTAGAGATTCCATGGACCTCCTACAACAGCTAGGAATACAAACAGAGATGCCTTCTTTTTCCAAGCAAAGGAAACAGCACACTACCGGAGAAAGCAACGCTTCCAGGCTTGTTACTAAAATAAGGTAAGGTCTCTCTTTGTTCTGAGTAACATTTTACTAACTTTACCAATTGCTTTTACAACATATTTATAACTTATTTGTATTAATATATCATTAAAATGGTTAAAGGTAATTCCCAGTGAGAATTAGATACTTTCGATTTTATAAGTTGAACTGCATAAACCTGTCCATTTAGAAGATGTCGAAATTGAAAACAAAATTTATTTGATATAGTTACCATCATATGCATTTGAATACTGCATTTATTCACATTCAAAATGCATCTATTTACTATTTTTCAGATGGGTCGTTGAGGCTGTGAATGGACGGTTAAAAACCTGGAAATATTTGGATCGTGTGTTGCCAAACTCACAGATTCCATACATAGGCGATATTGTCAGGATTGTGTGTGCAATCTTCAACAAGTTCGGTACACCAATAAGCACGGGGGATGCAGAGCAAGATCAACTGCTAGGATCGAAAATGTTGCATTTGTCACGGAAGCAGAATTCTCTTTGGGAGAGAATTGAACGAGAAGGCCTTTTCAATCGACCTAGTAAGTGGCAGAAGATGGAGACCACAACTGATATCATATTTCCTGTTCTGACAGAAGAAGACCTGCGGAATTTGACACTGGGAGTGTATCAGCTCAAACTGGCACGGTCCTACACACAGGAACATATGAGCGAAACGGGAGGATATGAAGTATCTATCTGTAAAGTAGATGCTAATCTGATCAATGCCAAGATACAGAGCCGACATTTTTCCTCAAAACTTTACCAATTGTGGGTATCATTTGATGATTGTAATGTGCAAGGATGGTACTGTACATGCCGTGCTGGGGCGAGGGTGGTTGGGACTTGCTCCCATGTTGCATCCATCTTATGGTATATGGGATTTGCACGTCATTTAGACAAGTCCTTTGACTTTAGTAAGGACTGGACACAATATTTACAAGATGCCAGTTATACACCAGACCCAATCAGTATTGATGAGAGTGATGATGAAGGTAACACGGAGGAATAAAACAGCACAGCTTTACCGATGTAGCCATGTAAATTACATATAAATTTCGGAATCTCCAAAAATGTAAATACAAATGCACGATGGTCACTTGATCGACTGAGGAATTGGCTTTAATCTCGAATGACAATGTATTTTGTTAGTGCATAATGTTTATTTGAAATAACTTTTAACTTTTGTAAGAATCATTAACTGTAACATGTTTGATTTCATATCCTTTTCAAATTAACCAAGAATATAAAGATAACCGTGTACGGAAGTATTGACAAATTGATGTACTGATTATTGCATGTACCGTTGCTATGGTGAAAGATTTAGTTGCTATGGTAAGACATGGTTACTGTGGAATACCACCTATATGCTCTATTGTATCATCATATTTACATTTTTAAGATGTATCATAATCTAAACAGCCCTTGAGTATTATCATCAATTTTCTGTGTCCATTATTGTATTTATTACAATCCGTTGCTATGGAGAGAGTTTGGTTGCTATTGTGTTGCTAGGAAATCTTAAACATGTAATATATGATGGTTGATCACAAATATGATATGATTTTTAAATCATACCATTGATATGTAAAAATTGATTAAATATTTTCACCAAATAATAAAAAAAAAACAGTGAAATATCACTAAAATGTGCAAATAGACGGTAAAGAGTAGGTTGGTTTCCAGGCCCGTTGCTAGGCAACGAATTGTCTTGTTTTTTTATCAATGTCATATGTCCATGTTTGCATGATATAAAAATTAAGAAAATCTTGTTTTTTTATCATGATCACCACAACTTCAAGAAAGTCATATGTCCATGTTTGCATGATATAAAAATTAAGAAAATCTATGCTGGGGCCAAAATTGACCCTTAATGCATCTACTCCTTTACGTAACATGATCACCACAACTTCAAGAAAGTATGGCACTAGTGATAAACGCTGATTTTTCAAGTATTTTTGGCTAACTAACATGATTTAGACTTAACATGGTAGTCCGGATATTATCGACTATATCAAGAAAATGACTACTACAATGTGTTTTCAGACTTTGTAGAGTTACAATTATCATACACTTCGATCAGGGAAGCCTTATTGTTAAACTGACGATGGTTAGTTTGTGCACATGACCAAGGAATTCCGAGTGTCAGGTCAAGTCTGTTGTGCATTTCTCGGCCTGAAGGAAGTGTCAACTTACATTGCAATAATGTAGCAATTCATACAGTAGAAATATATGTTTACATGCATATTAAACATTGTTTCGTATCAACAGACAGCCTACAAGAGTACAGAGGTACTTGAAAGCATTTTATATTGAACTTTACCATGGTACTATGTAATACTAACTTGGGTAACCAGGCACACATTTTCCAGCCTGGGTCAGGATTGAAACAGCGTGACCCGGGTACTCGTTACAGCCCTAATTGATATTGTGATTTTTTCCCTTTCACGGATGTTTTTTACTGTCTTGTGCACAGTTTTATTTGTCATGTACAAATATATCTGACAGCATATAACAGTATTAGTCTCATTTTCCTACATATTATCTTTGTAGATACCTTCAACTGTGTCAGATGATCAAGTCTCTTACAACAGGTAAAACTTATTTTCCATCTTCTTCATCCAAGTAATGCATTATAAAACCTAATTGTAGTTTGGCAAATTCAATATAAAGACTTAATGAAGTTGATATTCTTAAACATGTTTATTTTTAATATTCTTAAGCGATTGAGTATCACAGTTTATAATTTTTGTGCACATGTAAACCGTTTTTCGGTTCTTGATTAATTGAATTTTTTGTCTTTTAATATGAAAACATTTTTGTTGGGTCAGATATCGGTTTAGTACTAGCACAAGTATGAAACCATCCATATAGTCATACAGCAATGCCTGCCTGCTTTTATAAATTTTGTGGTTGATGATGATGACAATATCAGTTTTCCTCTGTGAATCGATTCCAGAAATCTGTCTTATCTTCAGCAATAGATTTATTAGTTAATTGATTCATTGCAGTAGTGAATCCATTTACAAGACAAACAGCACTCCTTCAGCTGCCAGTCTAGCTACACCTACCTGTGGTAAGGAAAGCTGTAAATCTCTTCCATTCAATGAAATAAGGAAAAGATTTCAAATTGAATGAGTTTGTAAAACTGCTTTTTTACATGAAATGTGAAACTCTTTTGTATGGAGATTTTCTTTTGAATGACAGTGTAGTGGATCTCAGTATCAGTTTTTTATCAACTGAAATATGTAAAATAACAGTGAGGCTGTTAATTCTTTGAAAGTATTTGTGATGGTTTTGACGATAATCATTTTTGATAAATTGTTATTACAGGACTAATAACTTTTGTTGCATTGTTTTGTCTCTGCCATTTAGTTCAGCATTTTTTTGTTGGTTTTATTTTTCTCAAAACCTGCTGTAAGATGCTGAGGAAGTTTCACATGTGTTTTCATGTGAATATGTAGATGTCCACTCAGAACGTTTTTCTAGTCTTCTAAATTTGAATACCGTAATATTTCAATTGGTATGTCATTGCAGGAATTTCTTGTCAAGTATAAAGCAATTAAAATTTCACTCGTACTTAATGCTGAAATTCTGAAAACTTATGATATTCGGTAAGTTAGTTTCAGACATGTACCTGTCTTATAGTATTTAGGTTATGATTGGATTTAATTTGATTTTATTTTCTTTCACAGAGTCTTCTGATGGAGAAGGCGACACACCTACAAACAAGATGCTTGATAGCTGTGTCAACACAGAATCCTTGTGTAGACCAGACAGTCAAACATTATTTGACCAGGAGGTCAAAGGTCCAAGCAATGATAGTCTGGAAAACCAGGAAATGTCTTCTGATGAAGAAATTCAGTTTAAAACAAAAAGTACAGAAAAATCCAGGAATAATACAATGCTGTCAGAACAGATAGAAAAGCCTGCTGTTGCAGATATAATATCCAAAGACATACCTGTTTCTGACAAACTAACAACAGTTACTGCTATCACTGAAAAGTTGACAGAGACAACCACAGTCATGAGCAAAACATCTGAAGTCACAGCTTTAACAGAAAAGTCAACAAAGAGTTATGTCAGTAGTACTATTAACATAGGGGGAAATGTGACGGGCTCTCTAACCAAGACTAATGAACCAAGTCTGGATTCAACAGGGCCAATTCCAAGCTTCAAAACACGTAAAAAGTGAGTAAATTATAGTGTTTTGTTTTCACATTTACCTAGGGTCTGTTCTTTAATGCAGCAAAAATCAGATCATCCTTACTTAAAATGTAGCATTTCAGGCATCTGGACATAATACAGGCCTCAAAAGGCTTAATCGAAGTTCGTTAGAAAGAAAGAAAAAAACCAGTAGGTCTTCCCTTATTTCAAATACAAACAAGCTGGGTCAAACAGAAATGTAAACGGCCCTGGACTAAATCTATATTTTGTTGTTTACGGTTTGTTAAAAAAAAATCTTGATCTAGATAAAAATAGATTTCATTTTGCCAGTTTTTTGTTATACAAATACTACATTAAACTGATTGTTGATAACGTAAGTGTCACACAAAGTCTAGAAAGTGAAGCTGACAGTTTCTAAAATTCAAATGTAGGGTCAAATGTGTCACGACCCAGTTGATTTCTCTGTGAATGTTTGAATATGTGATCTGTCCTGGAGGTTTGTTTTTGCAGCATGTGATATCTCGTGGGTTGCCTTAATTTGCTATAATACAGTCCTTGTATGGGTATGATCAATGTCCTTTTAATCTGATCATAGTATAACCTAACCCTAGATATATATGATCTAGTGCATTTACACATTGCATTAACACCTGAATGTATTGGACTCTTACACCAGTACAACATCTATTTTACCCAGGTACTCCAGATACAACTATATTTGTTTATATTTTACGTGGCAGGTTATCGTTCTCGGCATTAGAGAAGAGCTTTCTGAAGAAAGAGGTACAGAAAAATAAAAGGTAAAAACATGATACATTTATTTCCTTTATAATAAGTTCACTTAACCACCATCTACATGAAGGAAAAGTTCAAGTCCTACATACAATGTATCAAGATGCACTGCTGTCACAATAGAAAAGACAGATTTTAACTATCCTGTTTTTTCTGTTATTTTTAGCCTCACATAAAAATTAGAATAGAGAAAAAGCTAGTGTAAATGCATTTCTAAGATTTCTATGAATTCCATTAAAAATGTTGAAATCAGAATATCAAGGAATTTTGAAATGCTGGTTGGCTGGTGTTTGAATTTAAATGTTGAAAACGGGTTTCCTTTAAAGCTCAAGACAAAAGATTTTCTCAATTTAAACCTTTGGTTATTTACAGGAGGGGTAGTAAGGTATCCCCTGTGGTCAATAGTAATCCCTTTAACAAGTCAGGGACCAAGTCAACAAGGAGTTCTGTAGTGGGGGAAGAGAGCAGTGTTCAAGATTCTCTTAATTCAACGTATGATGTAGCTGTTGAAGAAGAGTTCGGAAAAGTAAATGACAATTCTTTATCAAAATGTGGGAAAACTAAACAGCAATCTAAGGGAGGTGTGAAAGTAGCAGAGAAATCTCATTCACAGCAGAGAAAGTCAAATAAGAAGCGTACATCGAAAGCTAGGGAAGAGGAAAACACTGTTGGTGAGAGTGAAGTTACAGAGAAAGTGGAAACGGCAAAATCAGGAGTGAAACGGAAGTCACAAATTGGACCAACTGTATCGCTCAAAGAAATGGAGGAAAGCATTGAGAAAAATTCTCAATATGCAGATGGAACATCCATACGGAAAAGTCTTAGGCGTAAATCTGTTGGTGATGGCTTAAAGCGAAAATCTGTTGGTGATGGCTTAAAGACAAAGAAGGAACAAATTGTAAAATCAGTTGAGAAGCGGAAATCACAAATTTCATCAACAGTTGCTACAAAAGTTAATGAGAGCTGTGAAGAATCATCTCAGAAACCAAGAAGGACATCAAAACTAAAAACCTTAAAACGAAAAAGTTCATTCCCAAGTAAAACTTCAAATCAAAGTGTTGTGATAGACAAGGAGAATGAAGGATCTGAAGACTTGGGTGATAAACAAACAAAGTCCAAAAAGGGAAAATCAGCATCTTCCAGAAAGAGAGTTGTGTCACAGATAAATGAACCTGAAAAAGTGGAATATTTATACGATTCTGACAATAGCAGTTTGATTATCAATGAATATGAAAAAGAAATTGAAAAGAAAATGAAATCTAGAACAAAATCAAGCAAGTCTATCATGATGTTAGGGAAACATACAAAATCTCCAGGAGGTGATCAGAATTTGCCTTCAGATGGAAATATTATAAAAAAACGAAGGACATTTGTGTTAGGTGATGATGATATGGAAACAAATGAAACATTAGAAAGGAGCCAAATGGATAATGCTAAAAGTGATAATGATCCAAATGTGACAAATCTACCTGTGGTTACCAACTCGGGGAATAAAATTGCCAAGAAGAGAGGACGATCCTGTAAGTCTCTTCCAGGGAAAACGTCTTGCAGTGTGGATATCAATAGGGATGGAAATACTTCTGACAATGCTTTAGAGGATAATTTGGTTGAAACTGAAGGAAGTGTTATTAAAAAGCCTCTTAAAAGGATTGGTAGGAATAGTAGAAAGTATAGTCCTCAGGTTAGATCTACTTCATCTCCTGTTTTAAATGTCACGGGTAACAGACGTGTTGGTAAAAAGCAAGACAAGCACAGCAAGAAATCTATATCTGTACCAACTCGTCTATCAAAGGATGACCTTAGAAACAATAGCTTTCTAGATACAGGTAAGATATATGTACGGCTGCTGAAACCATTGGGATGAAGTACATGTTTTTGTGGAAGTGATATTGATTCTGTCCACATTGTTTGAATCTATTATGAGATCATTGTTATTACCTGACAGGCTCTAGATAAGATTACTTTGCGTTATGCATTATTATACATATATTTCATAAGATTATTAAAATTGCTTATGTCTGAGTTTAGACAAATGCAACCCAAAATAAAATTTTACCTATGGTCTAATAAAGATTGTATGTGCTCTGGTTTTACTATCACAATGCTCTTGTAAGGAAATGGATTAAATTTGCTTCTTTAAAAAAGTGCTGGGACCTGTTGCTTTATTCTTTTTTTCAAATGTTTCATGTAGAAGATTAATGTGTTGTCTATCTATATAGGTAATCTTCAGAAATGTAATATCCAGACTTAGCCTTTCATTAGTTTAACTTATCCTTAAGATATAGGATTGAAGGCACCATCAATCTTTAAATAGATGGTTGATCTACTGACAATATGATCCCTAGAAAATTTGAACTTTTGCAAATGAATTTTCTTTTATGGTAGACAATGCTGCTGAAGCTGATGGGGATGTACCTTTTGAATATTTATCTGACCAAGACATATCTGATGCAAACGCACTTGAGAAACAGGAGGAAAACAGGAGAGAAAAAAAAAGAGGAAAGAGAGGTAATTATGTATTGTATGATATTTACCTTGATAAGCCCATCTATATACTCTAGTGATTTTGGGGACTCAGATGTTTGAGTCCATGGCTCATTGGTTTCCTGTGGGCCTCATTCAAATCTAGGGACTCCACTATATCTTTTACATTTTTTTTCATATCTTTTATCTTTTAAATCTCATACAGAAATAAGTGATAATTATTACAGTTGTCAAAGAAGAAGTAACAGGATGCTCAAGCTCCCTTTGCATCAAAGGTTAACAAGGAGTGGAGAGGAGAATATGGGATATGTTTTTTGTACTTAAATATGAAGCCCAGTCATCAGTTTAAGGTGGCTTGCAGTTCAAATTACTCTTTCATTCATGCTGCTGTGAATTTTCTTCTTTCATTAATAAAACTATATTGTAAGGTCTGTCGTATTTGACCTTCTTAGCATGGAAATAAGCTACTACACAAAATCTAAATCCACCATTAGAACAGTGTAATGTGTTACGTAAAATGTAGAAACATTTTACCTTAAATTAACTAAAAAATATGTATCTGTAAAAACTAAACAACTGTCAGTGATTTACTGGTAACTGATATTTCAGCTGTGTCATCCAATAAGAAACTAGACCAGAAAACGAAAGGCCAAGGTTTATTAAAGCAAACGCTGTCAAAGGCAAAGTCTAAGAAAGGAGTCGCAAGGAAAAACAATGTGTTGAAATCAGGAAAATCTGAGTCAAAGAAAGGTTCCAAAGTGAAGAGCAAAATTCAGGAAAAAAAGGAGGCAGCAAATGAAACAAATGATGTGTCTGAATCCAATGTTTCTAAAGCTAAAGGTAGAAGGAAGCAAAAAATCAGCATTGGGTGTGTTGACACAGATTCATTGAAATGTTCTCTAAACATTTCTCAAACTTCTTCCACTTGTTCAAAAATTGTAGTAGAGGCATCGGATGGAATCAACCAAAATAGCAACTCACCGATGGCAGATGATTTTGAAGAACAGGAAGTGAACCGTTTGGACACTGAAGAAAATGTTTCAACTGTACAGTCATCACAAAAAAACAAATTGTCATCAAGGAAAAGAAGTATGTCCAATAAAAAATCAAACAAACGAAAAAGTGGAAAAGATAGAAAAAGTGAGGTGGAAGATTCTGATGTCAAAGATATAGATTCAGTGCCTCCTGATAATGATATACCCATGCTCTCTCTTTCTAAAAAGTCAGGTCTCGGCCTTCTAGCCAGCACCGTGCAGTCCCCTCAAGGTAGGCTAGTCATTGTTTACATTGCTTCATTCACCTGTTTTAGATATTTTGTAAGTTCAGTTATATAAATAGAAATTTTTCCATTTGCTTTTAAACCACCATTTTAAGATTGTTAAATTTTTCAACAAATTAAAGAGAAAAACACCAGAATAAGAAGTTCTAAGAAGTCCATTATTATTTTTTTTCACAATTTCTGTATAATAATCCTTTTGATTTTTTTATAGCATATATGGTATAATATATATTTATGCAAATTTATGTGAATTATTTCATTTAATTGTAGGTTCTTATACACCATTTTCTGCCACACCTGGATCGGAATGTAAGTACATGTGACTGTTTATATATCAACAATGTTTAATTTGATGGAATGCCTTTGTCCTTGGCTACTTTGTAATTAGTTGTTGTATTGAGTGGATACATGACTTTTTGTGTGAGGTTCTGTTCATAGTATGAATTATTCTCTATATAGTAAGTAACCACTTGTAACAACATCAAATTAAAATTGCCTTTTACTTTGGATTCATGATACCCTAAAATCCTATTCATGATATACTTATAAACATGATGGTCTTTTCTACTTGTATACCAGAAAGATGTTACCTGGACTATGCCGCAACAGTTTTTCCTGTGAAATGTTCTATACTTTCAAAGTACATGTATAAAAGAGATTGAAAAAAAAACTATTCAGAATTTTACAAAAATTAATAAAGGCATCACAAATATATATATAATAGATTTGTTTCGACAAAGTTTGCCAATTAATATCATAATCTTATTATTTAATTTGTCATATTTTTACCATTTAACAACAGGAATTAAAATGCTTGTTAGGTCACCTGGGTAAATTTGTTTACTTAAGGTAATTACATGTGTTAGGGTCACGCTCATTGTGGTTTCCTAATTATCAATGGATCAGGCCACATCAAATGTTTCGTCGCAGTGACCAGTCAATTAATTTTTCTGTAGGTTTTTTTTTTTTTTAAAATCTGATCTCCAAAAAGTACCTGCACACTATACGCGAGTGCGCACTATACGCGAATATTTACGGTATAATAGATTTGTTTCGACAAAGTTTGCCAATTAATATCATAATCTTATTATTTAATTTGTCATATTTTTACCATTTAACAACAGGAATTAAAATCATACTGTAACTCTTTATTGGTAAAGTTTTAACAGTTCAAATTTCAGTTTGCAATCATCTGGTGAAAATTAGGAACTTGTGAAAAACCATATATACTGTATTACATTTTGGTAGTCAAACTACTAAGTTGTTACTTAGGTATAAATTGCTCACAGTCAGTTTTGCTTTTTTTGCAGTCACCTTAACTAGAAGGGAAGAAATGTTTCGCAGTGGTGTATCATTTCGTCAGTTGAAAGTTGAACGATCAGCAAAGAAATCTACATCAAAGAAAAGTAGGTTTTGAAATAGTGATTTGTCAAATATGTTGTTTCAGGTAAATTCAAGTATACTTTGTATTAATTTCATTTATGTATCAATTTTTTGCATCAGTGAGTTAATGTTTACTGTAACAGTAATAGCTGTTTCAAAGAAATATGATCACTATTAGATAAATTGGGAGATTATTTCCAAAGTGTGAAAAATGTGTTGATTCTCCATCAGCATCCAATCAACACTCTTAAGTTATATTTAGAACATATTGTTAGAAAAATATTAGTTCAACGGCAGCCAAGTTTGGATTATTTAAATTTTTGGATATATTGGCAATACATTGTACAGTACAAAAATCCAAAAATAGAACAGAATTAGAGAATATGCAAGGACTTGCTCAACCACTTTCAAATTCACTTGAAATTTTGAAGATATCTTCCAAAAACACTTTTCTCAAACATATGGAATTGGTTTTTGGTGCATTCAATTTACATTTTTTTCCCAAGACTTTTTATTTGCTTTTGATTGTCAGAAGCAGGAGCAGCACGACATGTGATTAATCCATGGAGTTTTTGTGTTATCATTTCAGGTAGCAGGATATCATTAGATGATAAAGATGATGACATAGATGATGACAAAGATGATGAAAGTGATATTGTTGATGATCAGGATGTGCATGATGAGGGTGATTATGAAGATGAGAAGGAAGATGACATTGCCCAAGAATTGACTGACAATGAATCTAGGGAAGTACAAGAGGTTTCTGTTGGTTATCAAAATACCTCAACCAGGCAACAATCATCAGGCACAGGGTTTAGACCGACTCCAATATCAGGTGCCTCACCGAAATCTTCTCTTTCTCCAGAAAACCTGACCCCATGCTTGGTTACCCCTGGTAGAAAGAGTGCAAGTAAAGGCCGCCGAGTCACCATCAACCACCAAGTGACAGAGGCTGTGTATGATGTCCCATCTGACTTGTCATGTGAGTGGCTTTACAATTTAATTAAAATGATTAGCAATTATAAGGAGAATATTGAAATTTTTTAGTCATTGCCAAGCCACCACCAGATAATATGTTAGAAGGAACAACCTGTAGCTTTTTTTGCTTTGATGTGCGATACATATTTCTGAAAAAGAAGTTTCTATATGACTTTTGTCTGGGGGAGAGGAATTAGGTCAAATTCAAGGTCGTTGGTATGAGAGAAAGCTATCGTATTTAGATTTAAGAACATGTCATACTTTTCTGGTTTCAGCATCTGACACACCTGTCTCCTCCAAGAATAGGCGACGCTCCAGTATCCCTGGTATGACCAGTTGTATAAGTATTCACTTATTGTTAAACATTTCAACAACACCAAGTTATATTCTCATGAAAAAAATTTTTTTTTAATGATCTGCCATAAGTTTTATGTAGTAACTGTTTTGAATTTGTCATTATATCTTGATGCTAATTTGTTGAAAACTAAACAAGGTGCTGAAATTGGACTGCCAAATTAGGTATGTTTACTGAATAATTTCAGAGAGAGTATTGTCATAACGTTAAATCTATTCATTTTCTTTTTATAGCAGTGTTTGGTTTTGATATTTCAATGTGAATGATTTTTATTTTGTCTAATGCTCAACAAGAAGGTCCAGTATATATAGATGTACCTATTAGTGACATAAACTCTAGTGTAAGGGTTACTTAGTCAATGTGTCTATATTCAGGTGGTGACCAAACAACATACATCTCGATGTCGTCTACACCTATACATGCCTGTGAGAGGACAACAACAGAAACACCACAGCCTTTCCAGAAACCAGAGAAATCCAAGATCAGTAAGTTGTAGTGTTTTATATTGTCATGCTAGTCCTCCCATTTTAAAATTAAGGTGTTTATTCTTTCCACTCTGCCTAAGTTTAAAGTTTTTATTTCTTCTCAAAAATTATAAATAGATGATGAGACTTCATACTTACTATGTAAAAAACATTTAAGGTGGATTTCACAGCTATTAACAATTTCTTAAGGCTTGTTCAATGTCTTCAATGAGACAAACAAGTGTTTGAAGGCAAAAAGGAAACACTTCTTACTTGGTTCTTGTATTCACTGAAGTCATAACAGAAAAAGCATCAGAAACGTCAAGGGTCAAGTTGGATTCTGTCTTATCTTTTGAAGGTTAGGAGGCAATTAACTTCAGAGTGTTAACTCCTGAACCCCAGTAAATAGTAGAAAATCAAGATTTCATATTTGCTGTATTGTTAGTATTACCAGACCCATCGCCTCCTAACGGCCTAAGGCGGTCACAGAGGACACGAGTGCAGACTCTGGAATGGTACAAGAATGAACGAGTTGATTATAAATACAGAAAGTCAGGTATGCAATTTTTGGTTGTTTCCATTTGTTAGTTGTAGACTGAGGCCCAAAATAACTCTTAGTTGTAATTTATACAAGTTTTTCATTTTATCTGGTGAATGGCATTGTCCTTACTTTGTCTTTCTTTATCAATTATGTGGATGAATATGAAATCTGAAATGGCTATCTTGCCTTCCTGTCAGTTTAAGTACGGTAGTTAAGATATCAGAAGACAAATTATTGATGCTTGCCCTTTAGACCTCTTGTTTTATGTGCAGTACCAGTGTAGATTTTATTCTGTGTTATTGACATTACAGGAGGATTTGTTATTGGGGGAATCATTCCCTCACAAGAAGCTAAAATCTTGGAACTTGAACAGAAAAAGAGAAAAAATTTACGAAAAGGCCACAAGAAACAAAACAGTAGGTATCTTTTTAATACTCATTCTCTGATATATTTCAGGTCTTATATCTGTCTAAACTTTTTAAAAAATACCATAGCATGATGTTTGAACCAAATTTGATGTTGATTACAGGAACAGACCTATATCCATGATACAATAACTAAAGATCATATAGCTGTCGTGTCCAACAGAATTTGTATATATATATATATATATATATATATATTGATGTGACAAAAATCCTGAGAAGAATGTTAGGTGTTGATTGTTATTAAGATATTCTACAACTACAAAAGACAAAAGTGTGTAAAACAAATCCATGAATGTTTGATTTGGAAATGAAAAGTTGTGATGACACAGTAGTGGTTTTACAATGTCATTATCCTACAGAGAAGAGAAAGAATGTTGGGTCACCACCTCGGAACTTGTCTATGCATGTTGATATTCCATCAGACTTGAACCTAACAGTATCGGATGAGATTCCTGTGATAAATCCGGAGACAGAGGAAGAAGTCCTTGTGGGTAAGCAACAATGATATGATTTCTGTGATTGAACCTAAGACAGAGAAAGTCTGTGTCAGTAAGTGGTAGTGGTGATATGAATGTGATGACCCTAGTTTTTTTGGAGAGTGGGGGGAGAGTTATGGTTTAACATCTGCAAGAAACATTTATTATTTTCTTAACCTTGATGCACTTTTAAAAAGGTCTTTGATCTCTTCCTCCTCCCTTTTGGTGAATGTAATAATATATCATTATACATGCTATGAGTATATGTGAGTTCTATCCCTTGCACTGGGGATGTTAACAATGTGCCACAGAAAGTCATATCAGCATTGACTTCAACTTAGATGAGGAAAGTAATGATGAGATGTTTTACAGAGTGTTTTGCCAGTAAAGATAGTGGAGTATTTGTTGGTCCATCTGGGAAGCAGCCCACACCAGAAGACCCATTTGTGATGTCTCGTGTCCTGGACCAGAGAGGGTTTGGTACTGGAGTGTTATTGTTACGCCCCCTACAAGAAAAGACAATTCAGATGGTCAGCAGAGGCACTCTGGTAGGTGGTAACATTAACACCAGGATTAACATTTCTTCCTATATTAGGGTCATTTTTTTTCATTCTATAACCATTCCATGTTGTCTTTTTCTCCAGGAAGACTATTTTTTAGATCAGCTTCAGATTTTGTGGAGGCTCTTCATAGAATATTTTGGGGTCAAAATAGGGGTGGGGGTGTAAAATATAAATGTTGCATTTAATATCTTATAAACTCAATGTTAATGTAACAATTCTTGTGTTTGTGTTTTTTGCTAAATAAGTATCAGGTTTTAAGAATTAAATTTTTTTTTAATCCAAATCTCATGAAGTAGGTTAACATTTATTTAATTGGTAAGTCTTTTTTTCACATGAGATAGTGTTGAAATTACCTAAAAAGATCAATTGACCATCCTTGAAAAAATACTGACTACCAGAAGGTTATCATAGCTTATACTTCACAAATTGTTTAATTCTAAATGACTTGATTACCTGGCCACGACACCCAAACAAATCATATAGTACACTTTTGATTTTAGTTGCTTTTTATAGGAGACCACTTGTATGCCTTTCCAAATATCACATATTTTAAAAATCAGAGAAGTTATCATTGCAAAATAATACCATTGCCAAACAATGGATGAGATAAATTGTGCTATCAAGAAAGAATTTCAGTGTAGCAGTCTGAGATCTAGAAGTTTTTGTAACTGTGAAACATTTTACAACTGCTGTCCATTTATCATTGCAGATTTTCCTGTTGGATCGGGGTGTGATAACAATGACAGTACACAAAACTTCTGTTGTCATGGAGGCAGGTGATTCAGCCTTTGTCCCCAGAGGTCAGTAAAACTTTTTTTTTTGGTCATTTACAAATTTCTTGACCAAGAGAATGTTTCCAAAAATAAACTTTTACTATGGCATATTTAATGTTTTGAAGTTATTTAGATACTCACAAATAACCCTGCCAATTTTACTGTTTATTCACATGATCAATTACTCTGTACATCTCCTTTTAATTTGTTTGATGTAAAGGCAGGCCAAAGCTATTGCCAATCCTAAAGATTTTATTCCATGCTTGGAGTAGGATTGTCCCTCTGTCTATCCTGTGAGTTTATCTGTGGATAGACATAATGCAACTTCTTGACTAATTTCTGTGACACTGGTTACAAATTCTTTATACCACTTCAGAATAAAATCGGGAAAGAATTGTACTGTTGTCGAGTGATTTTCGTGGCATATGTGTGTATGGAAAGTCCCATGAAATAACTACTATCTGTGTATATTTGTTGGTGGTTTTATATATTTTGTAAATTCTTTTTCATCAGGAAACGCATACAGTATGAAAAATCTTCGCTCAGAAGAGGCAAAACTTTCCTACACAGTTTTAAAGGAATCCTTTGATGAAAGTGATGCATGAAAAGGTGAAATTTTTAACATACCATGTCCTTAAAGGATATCAGGTGGACACTATCCTAACAGGATATCAGCCGGAGACTGTCCTAACAGGATATCAGGCGTACACTGTCATAACAGGATATCAGCCTTACACTAGTTTAAGAGGATATCAGCCAGAGTTGACATACATGGAGTTCCTAACATTAGGGAAACTTGAAAGTATCAACTATACGGTTCTAATGTGGCTTTCTCTACACAGATATTATTTGTATGGAATTCTTACATTACAGGCCAAACAGAAGAAGAAACAATAGCTTCTCGCAGTGTGGATGGATTCTCTGTGTACCATTGTTTTCCTTTTAATATCAAATGGTACACATCAACTTTTTATTAATAATGTAACAGAATTTGTGTCTTTTGTGCAAATTTTGAGATCACTATTTACTTCTTATGTTAATAAAACGGTGTCGGATTGACAGGAAGTTGTTTGAAATAATATTCTTTAATGTTTGTTTCAGGTAATTGCTGCCATACATGACATTATCCATTTCACACTTTGGACATTAAAATCATGTTTGTTACGATGGCTTTTAATTTATTCTTCAGGTGAATTAGATTCTTACAGAGTTGTGTATGTATCATTATTTTGTAGATTGTCATTATTTATCATCAAATTCATAACCAGTCTTCTCATATAAATCAAAATTTTATCACTCTGGATTTCTTTTCTCTCACATAAAAATCATGTGTATTGATATACTCAATAATACTTAAAAAGTAATATTCATTTATTTTATTTTTCAAGTGCAAGTACATATATGAGTGTTAGGCCAACTCCATTCCATTTGTGTCTTCTTGTTCCAATGATGGTATGCATAAGCCCTGACCTTATCATTATATAGCATAACTTTGATTTGTGAGATGTGTATATATTTGTTCATGCATACACATGTTAACTTTCACAGATCATGTCTTTTCAGAAACGATATTAGCATGACATGAACAGATTTGATATAACTTGAACATATTGTTGCTAGGTATGTTTGATAATGAGGTGTACATATACTGTATAAACAAATATATATAAAAAAAACTGTTGTTGACTGTTATTGGTTTTCTCATACATCTGTCTAAATGAAGTGTATATTATAACATGTACCTGCTTTTAAAAACCATTTCTCAATAAACTGACCTTCACATCATCCATTGTTAGTCCCTTGCTGGGGCAACAGAAGGAGACTTGAATGTATGTATGTCTGTCTGTCTGCCTGTCTGTCTGTCTGTCTGTCTGGTTTCCAGACGATAACTTGATTAATGGACGAAACTTGATACAGTGCTAGGTTAGTAGGAGACAAGTGTGGGATTGTGTTTTCTAAAGGTCAACCATGAAGGTAACGTGCTAAAAATAAAAGTTTGGTTTCCAGATGATTACTTGAGTTTGGGATGATCAATTAGGTTGAGACTTGATTCTTGTTAGTTACAATATGTTCATTGACAATTCCTGAAAATAGACATTTGTAACACACAATCGTCTCCATGATAACACCTGCAAAGAAGAATGTGCTTGTATCATTTATCTATTACAATACAATTTGATACAAACACTTGTTAAAGAAATTGACATGTACATGATAATGGGCTATATACTACTTCAGATTCCCATGTCATGTTCCAATCAAGGTATTTGAAGAGTTGCTTTAAAATCTAATTATGGCACGGCAGGGGACATGTGTTGCTTACAACACTAACTGTAAGCTTGTTGTCTGTAGTTTTTATGTCTCGCCATTTCTACATTTCCACTTTCATTCATCGTCATCTGCTCACACAAAATACTATGCTATGTTACATGAATAAGGATTTGTTGTGTACTTTTCATGGTTTTGACCTATCCATCAAATGGCAGACCGTAATATGAAACCAAAACATCAGGTATACTGATGAAGTCTCACCAAACATCAGGTATACTGATGAAGTCTCACCAAACATCAGGTATACTGATGAAGCCTCACCAAAACATCAGGTATACTGATGCTCTCTCACCAAAACATCAGGTATACTGATGAAGTCTCACCAAAACATCAGGTATACTGATGCTCTCTCACCAAAACATCAGGTATACTGATGAAGTCTCACCAAAACATCAGGTATACTGATGAAGTCTCACCAAAACATCAGGTATACTGATGAAGCCTCACCAAAACATCAGGTATACTGATGCTCTCTCACCAAAACATCAGGTATACTGATGCTCTCTCACCAAAACATCAGGTATACTGATGAAGTCTCACCAAAACATCAGGTATACTGATGCTCTCTCACCAAAACATCAGGTATACTGATGCTCTCTCACCAAAACATCAGGTATACTGATGCTCTCTCACCAAAACATCAGGTATACTGATGCTCTCTCACCAAAACATCAGGTATACTGATGCTCTCTCACCAAAACATCAGGTATACTGATGAAGTCTCACCAAACATCAGGTATACTGATGCTCTCTCACCAAACATCAGGTATACTGATGCTCTCTCACCAAAACATCAGGTATACTGATGCTCTCTCACCAAAACATCAGGTATACTGATGCTCTCTCACCAAAACATCAGGTATACTGATGCTCTCTCACCAAAACATCAGGTATACTGATGAAGTCTCACCAAACATCAGGTATACTGATGAAGTCTCACCAAAACATCAGGTATACTGATGAAGTCTCACCAAACATCAGGTATACTGATGCTCTCTCACCAAAACATCAGGTATACTGATGCTGTCTCACCAAAACATCAGGTATACTGATGAAGTCTCATCAAAACATCAGGTATACTGATGCTCTCTCACCAAAACATTAGGTATACTGATGCTCTCTCACCAAAACATCAGGTATACTGATGCTCTCTCACCAAAACATCAGGTATACTGATGCTCTCTCACCAAAACATCAGGTATACTGATGCTCTCTCACCAGAACAACAGGCATACTGATGCTCTCTCACCAGAACAACAGGTATACTGATGCTCTCTCACCAGAACAACAGGCATACTGATGCTCTCTCACCAAAACAACAGGCATACTGATGCTCTCTCACCAAAACATCAGTTATACTGATAAAGTCTCACTAAACTTGGGTTTGTTTATTCTGAATGCATCACCAACAAGATTTAAGACATCAAATCAATTATCACAACCGACGATATTCGTAGAAGGGGTTGAATCATCGATTGTTAATGTAAAAGGAAGGAAAGTGCGAAAAATTAATCTTCTACATGTGTGCGAATCGAGTAATCATGAGTATCCTCAAGCTAATGCTGTATCATGGTGTCCATGTCAGCAGCCTACCTCAAAACGTTCAGTACCATGGACGTGCTTGTAACGCCACAAGATTGCGTCCTACATCGGATTTATTTTGTATATAATCACTCGAGATTTATTAGTGATCACTTGTACCGAAAATTCATTAATTGATGTTTTTGCATATTTTTTTAATAAATAATTTCTAACTTCCTCACTTTTCTACATCAGCTTACTTATCTTGATATTTCATTACAATGAAACCAACAGATACACCTTTCCATTAAGGTATATGAGATCCATGATAATCTGAGTTTCCCTAATCTCTTGTTTTTCCATTTCTAGATGGTAACACCTTTTCTGATTCCCGAACTTACGGTGTTTATATATATTTATGTCGTGTCGATATTTTAGTGCTTGATCACAGTGTCGTTATTTCCATGCAATATGTCGGTAGCTGTCCAATTAAGGTTCATAAAGACTGAAGGGTGATTGTAAACTACACTGTAGTAGTCGTCTCCATTTTTGTTATAATGGCTTAAAACGTAGCCAGTGTTATTCGAACATTTCATAACGGGCAACATTAGTTGTGAGCTATTGAAGGCAGTGGTTAGAAATATCGTCATATACTCAGGTATGGTGATGGGGGAATTTTGAATACTGGAAATGAGAATGTTAATAGCGTAACACAGTGATCTCAAAAACAAATCTCGTCACTTAAGAAAAAATGATTCACAAAATATGCCAATGTAGTTATCAACGTTTCATTCATTTTATTCACTTAACTTGGCATTTTTTGAAGTAAAAGTGACTAGAAACATATACTAGGACAAACATGTTCGGAAAACAATATTACTTATGTTATTGTAATATAAGGTCACATATTTAAGACTATCACTTCCTGGTGCTGATATATGACGTCAGGAATGATATACGTTGCGCTTTATATACGAGGAAGGTGTTTCAAAATTTTTAATTCAAACTGTCTACCTTCCTCAAAGAATTTTATAAGTATATACATAATCACAATTTCTACTCCCCCTATCGCTCCTGTTTATATTGATCCCCAGTTGTACAGCGATCGATTTTGACTGACCTCTGGGCAGTCGCTATAGACAGTTTTACTGTGTTACGCTTTGGTTTTCATATACAGTGATATGATAAAGGTCTGATTGAATTCTAAATAACCATATTTCATCATGTAAAAGTGTTTTCAGATTTCATTCCATATAAGCTTCAGTATTATTTTAACATATACAAGGTTCCGAGTTGTCTCCACTTCTCATCTGTACATTCCGCTAGGTGACTACACTTGTTTCAACATGAACTGTAAATATAAACAAGAAATGGACTGGACATACTGACCATGTAATAACCAAATAAGGTAAGTCTCTGTTGAGCTACCGGATGGGGGTGGGGTTGTTTCGGTGTTAGAGATATTGAATAAAACCAAAAATCAAGACGATCTTTAAATATATTGTTTTAATTGCCGTTCATTTAAGTATTGATAAACATACAGATATATGTAGAGAATTATAATGGACATTTGTTGACAAATGTTTTAGAATCCATTTATGGCATGCAGCTTTGTGTGCTTTTGTCAGTAGTATCTATATGTTGTACAAGCTAAAAAAATTCTCGAATTATTATGAAAAGTCCTAACTATTCAATAGATCTATTATATATGATATATAACCAGTAGTATTAGTTTGTTCCAGAGAAGTGTCTATCAACTTCTTAATAACTTATTATCTTCTTCATGCAAATGGTATAAACTTAATGTTTCTGAACACCACGCACACGCTAGTTAAAAGCCACAGAAACACGCTTACTTCGGTATACTTTTTACCTTGAAAATGTCTCATATTTCTTGCAAAGGTAAATCACAGACACATGGATATCGTCTGTAATGTCTTGTATGTAAGCATTGGCAGAATTTTAAATATCCGTCCAAGCAGGTCGAGTAACAGCCATTAAGTACATACCCTAGGCTTTATACTAGTTATCTTGTTCACAATTCCCAGTGTAACTTAACAAGGTTTGTTGAACATCAAAATATATATATATAAATTATTTTGATGATTGCACCTTTCTGGTATCGCCGGACATCATGCTCTCTGTTGTTTTTCTTGGCATTATGTGTTTTTTATTTCTTATCACTTTGTTCTATAAATTTGGTAAGATAACAATACTTTCAAACAACTGAGGTAGGCCCAGCAGGACCTGAACATAGCTGTGTATATACGAACACAACTGTTCAGTACAATTTTATTAAAGTTTCGACAGCTTTAACAACTTGTTTCTGTTTGACTTTTGAAGTCGTCAATTGTGTAACTTCTATGTCGATATTACACTATTTTGATTTTCTATTTGCTTTGCAGTTTCAAAGAAATAACTGTTTAATAAAAAAAATGTAAGTATTACGAATAAAATAGATTAAATTTATTTCTTTTTAATTTGATTAAGTTTTAACACATAATTATCAAATTATATTATTACGTGTTGTATTAGACGGATGAACGACCTCAATCCTAGTTTCAAACATGTCGATTACATCCCCGCATTTCTTAACAGTCTAATTACTTTTGAACCTATTTTAAGCTTTGAAGCTATTTTATATACTTGGGATCTGCCATTAGAATGTTTATCTATAGTTTGACATCAGTAATCAATCGCTGATCAGCATGCGTTCCATTTAGGTGTGCTGAGAAGAACGCCCGTTTTCACTTGACCTACCAAGAACTATGGGATGCTGTTCGTTTTCACGATATGGCCCAAATAGACACCTGGGTCAGTGAGGGGCGTGACCTTTTTGATGACCACCATATGACTATATATCACATTGCTTCACAATGCGGAAGCGTTGAGTTTATAGAAGAGCTAGTTCGAAGGCATCCTTCCACAACCCATCTGATTCTGCGCGGTAGTAAAGATGTTGCTGTGACCAGCCTTCACTGGTGTTGTGTTAGTGCCAACGGTAAGGAAGACAGGAGCCACAGTGTCGGAATTCTAGACGCACTCTGCACTGCAGCCGGACCAGGAGCAGCAATATTTGGTACAGGAGACGAAGATGTGGTTACTTGGACGGACTGGGCAAGCGAGGACGAAAATCTAAAGGAATATATTACATGGAGAAGATATAACACAACAGGTTCTCGAATTGCTGTCATCTTTCTATGCTCCTATTTTTAAGTATCTCTATTTTTACACTTTTATTTTACAGAACTTTTGTGTAGTTTCATGTTAATTTAAAACGAAAAAGCTGTGGGATGCAATTTAATTCATTACCCGACATGTTTCTATTTCTTACCAAATTTGAATTGAAAGGTGCTTGTCACGAATGTGTCTTTAAGATAGCCCGTATGTTGATTATTTTTTTCTCGTCAGTGAATAATTTGATGTTTGATGTTTGAAAAGCCGCGAAGATAACAAACATCTGATAATTATGATGTGTACAAGAAATGATACAAGTATAAAATATGTTACTTGGACTTTTATATTCCGAGTTTATCTTAACATCAGTTTTTGATAGAAAATTAGATTTAGATACAAAAGAGTCAAATTATGAATTAGAGCTGATCCGTCCTTCCAAGACTTGTCAGTGATGGTGATCCTTAGATATTCCCTTTACTGAACAAAATGCATTTTGTGCAGCCCAATCATCAAATTATCGATTAAAATAATTTTGTTATCATATCTTAAAGATAAGTAAATGAAACACAGATGGTCTTTATATAAATGTGTTAGTGTCACTTCTGTTTTTAATCTTTGCAGGTTTACCTCCCGAGATACGGCGTCTAGACAATCGTTCAATTCACCAATACATACAAACGTTTGGCAGCATGGGGAGTGAATCCGCCCAGAGATATAAACAAGCCATCCAAGGAAGGACAGAAACCTCCTACTGTATCCGTCTGGTCTTCCTTGGGCACGAAGGTGTAGGGAAAACAACATTGATGTTGCGGATGACTGACCAGGACGTATCTAAATTGAAACCCACTAATCAGCTCGACGTCCTCCTCAATCTGCTGATCATTGATCGTATAAGCAATCAACGCAAACTTCTGCAGCCAGGAATGGAACAAGAAGTTACACGCCAGAGGCTCAGAGATGTTATTGTCGATTCATTTCTGTCCGAGTCTTTATCGGAAACTGAAGGTATTATACATGACTTGTTGTGAAGAGATACAATTATTATCTTAATGATACATTCAGGAATGTATGTAACCACTTATATGTTAAGTTCTTAGCGATATATAGGTTTTATCACATAACTACTAGGTGCAATAGCGCCCATTGTATTATTTTTAGGTCATCTGACCCGAAGGGTCCGATGACCTATAGTCATCATGCTTCGTCCGTCGTCGTCCGCCGTGCGCCGTCCGCCGTCCGCCGTGCGCCGTCCGTAAACTTTTCATTCAAACGACTTCTTCTCAATAACTGGAGGGCCCAGGCAACTAATATTTAGCCTGTAGCTTGCTTTGATGAAACCCTACCAAGTTTGTTCAAATGAATGACCTTGACCTTCATTCAAGGTCACAGGGGTCAAATGTCTTTAAATCTTCAAAGGACTTCTCAGTAATCAAAAGGCCCAGGCAACTAAAATAAGGCCTGTAGCATGCTGGGATGAAGGACTACCAAGTTTGTTCAAATGAATGACCTTGACCCACTTTAAAGGTCAAATATGTTAAAATCTTTAAACAACTTCTTCTCAATAACTAAAAGGCTCAGATTGCTGATATTGTGCCTGTGGCATGCTGGGATGAAGGGCTATCAAGTTTGTTTAAATGAATGACCTTGAACATCTTTCAAGGTCACAGGGGTCAAATATGTCAAAATCTTTAAATAACTTCTTCTCAAATACTAGAAGGCCTAGGGGGCTAATACTTGGCCCATAGCATGCTGGCATGGAGCCCTACAAAGTTTGTTCAAATGAATGACCTTGGCCCACTTTCAAGGTCACAGGGGTCAAATATGTTAAAATATACAAAGGACTTCATCTCAATAAGCAAAAGTCTATGAGTGCCGATATTGGGTCTGTAGCATGCTGGGAGGAAAGGCTACCAAGTTTATTTAAATGAATGACCTTGAACAACTTTCAAGGTCGCAGGGGTCAAATATGTCAAAATCTTTAAATAACTTCTTCTCAAATACTAGAAGGCCTAGGGGGCTAATACTTGGCCCATAGCATGCTGGCATGGAGCCCTACAAAGTTTGTTCAAATGAATGACCTTGGCCCACTTTCAAGGTCACAGGGGTCAAATATGTTAAAATATACAAAGGACTTCATCTCAATAAGCAAAAGTCTATGAGTGCCGATATTGGGTCTGTAGCATGCTGGGAGGAAAGGCTACCAAGTTTATTCAAATGAATGACCTCAACCCACTTTCAAGGTCACAGGGGTCAAATATGTTAAAATATACAAACGACTTCTTCTCAACAAGCAAAAGTCCATGAGTGCTGATATTGGGCCTGTAAGATGCTTGGAGGAGAGGCTACCAAGTTTGTTCAAATGAATGACCTCAACCCACTTTCTAGGTTTGGCTTGCTTTTTGTCAGATGACCGTTAAGGCCCATGGGCCTCTTGTTCTGTCAACCGGGCTGTGGTTAGCTGAAGGTTTTAGTCGTTACCATCGTGATGTCACCAAAGAAAGCCATTTGGAATGATAACATCGCCTATTGTTAGTCTTATAAAATAATATTTTCAATAATGAAGGTTTGTGATAAACAGAATCTTATATTCGTTTCCATTTCTCATCGCGAACGTTTCTTTATACCTCTCCAGATCCTTGGTATTAGTAAAACGTCTCCTCTCCATTGCATTTCAAAACTATAATATGAAAACCCCTGTAAGATTCTATATAAAAGTTTGTGTAAGTAGAGAAAAAATATCATCTAAACAAGACACTGAACAAGTTAAAGAAAACGTTACCATACAATTTTAATGTATGGAATGCTACGGTTACGTGGTTATGCCTTTTTTATTCCGATCTTTGTGTTTCATTACGATATCGACGTTGGGAATTTCATTATATTTTATATGAAAAGCCTTGTACATACTAATTCATCATTTATTTTCTCAAAAATAAATGCATACCTGTATCCGACTCAAATGTACTGTCAGTTATAATATAAATGCATGTTTATGACGTTTTTATTTTGTAGACTTCAAAACATCGGATGATAAAGCGAAGACATTGGGTACACTTAATGTTGATATCGTAGCCAGCCGTGGTTCCTCTTCTGTTGAAAGCCAGACATCCTCCATCGTGACCCCAACCACGCCCTCTGATGTTACCTTTCTGCCGATCACACCAGTCTCACCTTTATCACCGGATACAGTCTTTGCTGGCCTTCCTACAGTTACCCCACCAGCCCACACAGAAGCAGCCATTGTCATGACGACTGGACCAACAGAGGATTTTGGACAGCGAGGACACAAAACTTACGTCAGCGTCTTCGATTTTGGTGGGGAAATGATGTTTTCTACTTTCCAACACATTTTCCTGAACACTAATGCAGTGATACTTCTTTGCTTTAGTTTACATAACTGTTTCGAGAACGACGCGATTTTGGGTAAGTAGGATGTACAAATTACTTTGAATTCCATTAATTCGATGAGATCGACTTCATGAATGTGTACAATCTATCTTTATAATTTGGTTACAACAGATTTTGCTACGAGAAGAACGGAAATCTTTGAAAAAATCTTATCAATTGCATATATTTATATATATACTTTCTGTCAAAGTCTATGGCACAAAATTAGCTTAAGATGGTATGATACCATGGGGTTTAATAACAGTACAATGATACTATAATTTCAGAACGTGTTTACTTCTGGCTGAAATTCTTGTCTACATTTTCGGATGGAAATTGCAGATATCAACCACCAGTGCTTCTCGTTGGAACTCATTTAGACATGGTGGAGGAGGTACGAAAGAGATAAGGTTATGATAATGGCGACGAGGATAGCAAAACCTACTACATCCTCTAGTGTCAACTGAATTTACCATTTCCGCTTTGTTATTCGTCTGATAGTATACACCTTTTAAGAACATTTAAGAATATATGGAAATGCACATACACGATTTTGATGAATTGTCAATTGTCTTTCTATAAAAAAAGAAATCTTAAGATTATTAAATTAGGATATTTTACTATTTATCGAGTAAAAGTTCCAACCTATAATTTATTACCATTACGACGATTTATGTAAAACTGATTTTCATGGACATTTGATATTAAGGCAGTTTTAAGAACACTATACAAAATAATATACTCGCTGAAAGTGAAAGTAAAAATGGAGCAAGCAAATAGATGTCTTGAAATGAGTACAGCAAATACAAAGGCGCAAGCAAAATGCATTTTAGTCTTAACCTTGACGTTACCAGAGCCAGAGAACAACGATCAGGAAAGAGGTCAGGAGAAAAATCAAGAGCGACCCGAAGATAGCTCGAGCTTTCGACAGACATGTAGTCGAGTTTGTGGTGATCGACAGCACACAAAATGTACGGTCAGCGTATGATGGTCTCTGGAACCTCGTACTGGAGGCGGCTGTGCATCAGTCGCAATGGGGGCAGCTACTACCAGCTTCTTGGATCACACTGGAACGGGACCTGATGCTCCTGAAAGGTCAAGGAGTAAAAGTAGTAACTTTGGATGAAGTCAAGACCAGAGCGAAGAATCTGGTGGTACCGTTGGATGAACGCGATGTTCTTGCTATGCTCGAGTGAGTAGTTTTAATTCTATACGTTGTAATTACGATGGAGATCCAAACCTCAATCAGGTTTTGAACATTTGTGTATGTATAAAGAGATGAAACACTCCAGTGTTACCACAATTTATTTACACTTAACTCTTCTTTTCGGCATTTCATACCATAACTATTATTTCCAGTCATTAAACGAAAATGACAATACAACATTATCAAGTTTGTACTTTTTCTCCTTTTGTAGGTATCTTCATGTCATACGGAGCATTTTAAGTTTTCAATTAGAAAATCCGGATTCGCGCTTAATATTGGACCCACAATGGTTGATAAAGGCTTTCAGAATGATTGTGACCACTGTGAAATTCCGCCAGGAGGGATTAGACATTGATCTGATTACGAAATACGAAAAAACTAGAAGATTGACCTTACCCTTTGTCGATGCTGTATGGACACATGGGAGTGTAGACGGATTCATGGAGTTCCGAGATACAATTTTATTTTACTTAGACCGTCTTGAGCTGATCGTGAAACCACTTCCAAAAGAAGGTGAGGCATCCGTCGACTACTATATAGTGCCGTGTTTGTTAGATGAACCAAATCCCGATCAGATAAGACCATTGTTAGAACAGAAAGGAACAATCAAATCACCAACACTTTGTTTCGAATTCCTTGGACGTTTCATACCTCCAGCCGTGTACAACAAGATTTTGGCTTCTTGCATACATCGATTCGAAGTTCTTCGAATGCCAAACCAAGACGATAAATTGTATCTGCAGCAGGGGTTGGCGTGTTTTGCAATAAGTGGGCGATGGAATATGGTACTACACTGCAGAGACTCCCAAATGAAGATTACTTTATTTTCCAGTGTTGTTAAGAAGGCAGAGGAAGGAGATGGGTATATGGTTCGAATCATTTTGGAAAGTATTGTTCAAGCTACAATGAAAAGATCTCAGCAGGGTCACCTAAAGTTTGATTATTACGTGAGTGATCACTTTCAGGTGAAAAATGACGAGATTATGGTAAAAGTTTTACTGACGACACAGATGACGAAAACGAGGTCCCGACGGTCACTGGAAAGAGCTGTTTGGTTTACTGAACGAAAACAGGTATAAGGAGTTGAAGACATCAGTGTAAAAAGTGAAAAAAGTTTTACCGGCAACCCCGAATATCAAATGTTAGACTTTTTCAGACAAAAACAATTACTTCTATTAATGATACTAAGAAATAAACACTGGTAATACATGCATATTTGTTTAAAAGGACAGACGTAAAACTATCAATGGTTATTTTCCAATTTACATTTGTACTCCAGTTTCCATCCGTGCTTTCCGTTTTCTTATTTATCAATTTGATAATACTAGTACACTTAATATTTTCATCCTTTTTCTGTTACAGATGGTGAAGCCCTCTCTATCAGGTACATTTTCATACGCAAATCATGCAGTGATCAATATTTTATCAAATATTTACATGTAGACATAATACAACGTACTGGAAACATTTTAAAGATTATAAGGCATATTGAAAGAAAAACTAAATTGATTCTTCGTTCAAAACAAAACTAAATTGACTTCGTTACCAGGTTAGTAAATTTATGTTACAGTATTTTTAATAAGCAGGACTGGCGACTTACATTTTTTACTGAAACATACAAAATTAGACTTAAACAGATTTAAAAAAAAATAAGAATAATAAAATAAATTACATAACTTTCTAAAAATCACGAGCACGAGATTCAATAATCAGTCTTAACTTGGCATGATCTTATTTTTCTGACATGAAAATTTTATTAACGAGGCAATGAAAAACAGCATAATCGTGTGACTAAATAATGATGAAAATAATAATAACAGGATGTACAATGCAATTGACTTTAAATGTGTGGCTGTAAAACTGCTGTACTAGAGCAATTCTTAACTCGTGTGGGTTAAAGAAATGTATTTATTGTTTACCAGTTTCACAATCTGAGCGTACCTTTCTGAGAAGATGTCCAGTGCCAAGGGAGATAATTCGAATTGCAAAGTATGTTGGGAATACTTACACTCTTTTTTTTGGCATCATGGGAATGAACGAAGTTAGAGTTCAACAACTCCGGGAACAATTTGAGCATGGACAACGACTGGATTTTCTTTCTGTGATAGCAAGAATAACGTTCGCATGGGAAGATGAATTTGGAGATAAAGCAAACTTTATGCTAGTGAAAAATGCATTTGAGTACTGTGGACTTGACCTGACTGGATTTATGGAAGAGATTGCGCAACTTACAAGCAATAGAAGAACATTCGATGGTATACATTTTACATTCACGTTATTAAGACCAAGCACACCCTTCATGCAGTTTGATAAATTGAAAAAAAATGAAACTAAACATATTTCTTCTAGATTGCTAAAATAGTATGAACAATATTTTTATTTAACACAAAATGTTTTGGTTCATAAGGTTCTTATCTTGATTTTTTTCGCTTGGATATGACGCACTAGGAATGACATACTAATGAAAATGATAATCTCATTTTCAACTAGTTGTAAAATGATCAATTACATGTAGGACAAGTATAGGAACATTTCTACGTCGTTTACAAAAAGACATTTTCTTTTCTGTTGTAGATCTTGGAATTCCTGCTAGCATTCAGAATTCACGTCCATTCGACGATGAACTATCCGATATATGTATGATCATCCTAAAAGGGTATTTCATAGTATTCATAGAACTTAATGTTACCATAGAAGCAATAGAGCTAGCAGAAATGGATCACAACAAAGCCTTGGATTTAATTCGGTTTCTACTTGAATATTGGATGGAGAAGTTTAGAGACGAGGCTACAATTAGAAAGCTTTACTTTGCCCTCAAAGAATGCAAAAGAAATTACACTAAACTCCGAGGTAAATTATGAAGTTCATCAAATTCATTTTGAAATTTCCTGTTTCTCATTTTGAATCGTAAAGGCAATGCTCTCCATATACATACATATCTACACTATTGGATTTAGTCATGAGAATAACGAAAGTCTACAATTTGCTATCTGATAACTTGCGTATGATTGAAAATTGATAAATTGCAAGACCGAAAAACATGTACAAGTAATTTTAAGCATTGACCAAGAGACATGTTCTCCTAGTGGGTGAATATTGCCATCATCTACCATGCGAACAAGTCGAGTTGATTGTGTCACACTAAGTAAGCACAGAATTGAATTAGCAGAATAAGAAAATATTCTTGTTTCGAATTATTGGCCAGAAATCGACTTCAGAAACCTAGAAAAGAATCAATTGCTACATCGACGTCATCCACGATCACTATACTGGAAGTACCTAATTCTAACGTGGAAATGGAGATTTTGGCTAAGATTTTGCTTTAAAACTCATGCTCTTCCTTAACGCCCGAACATATTACAACCAGATTTTGTCTGCAATATCACTAGGGATAGACAGTGATTTCATGAATGCAGAAAGTTGATTCAAACCAAGGGGATTTTGGAACAGGGACCAGAATGGGGAATTGGCTGATATTTTGCTTTGAACGCTAAACATCCCTAGCGTAGGAATATGTTTAAAACAAGTTTGTCTCATTCGGAGTGGGCAATCATTGGCCTTAGTTTCAAAACATTTTCATTTTACTCGTAGGGACTTGGTGGCGAGAAATTTAGCTGAAATTCCAATGCCGATTTAAATGCCAAATTTGGTTTGAAACGTCAATAATTTCTGAAAGGAATTATTCGATTGTCATGTAACAGTTGAAGCCAATGGGTCTTTTTTATTTATTTACTTTCCTTATCGCCGTCCACAGGTTTTTTTTATACAGATTTTAAAAGTTGTTAAAATTATCGCATATATTCTATTTGTTTAATTACAGATTTGATGAAACGAAGACCACTTGTGTAAACGGTGAACATCATGAAAGCAACCATATTGACTGGAGTAGATGCTCTTCCAAGAATAAATTCCGATACCTGGCCAACTGCAATTTTCGTAATCTAGTTTCAGTTAGTCACTTTAGCTAAGCACAACTGACCGGTTACTCCGAGTCTAAATGCATACTTGCATTTAACATGAAACCGTCTGATTTGAGCGAACTTTTGTCAAATGCAGAATCATTCATGTTGGTAATTTGTAGGAAGAGAATATTATGGTTTGCAAATAAACTTTCTAAAGATCCATTTTATTCCATACTTCCATATAATGAAAGAGGTTGATTTGATTTTCCTTGGCTCTTGTGATCTTCTGGATCTTTCATCTTGGCAAAAATGTTTTCGAAAAATTGATATGGAACCGACGAAACTACATATATCCAAGCACGATTGTGCTCTTTAAAAACACTGAAAATGTGGAAAGAAAAATAATAATAAAAAAAATTCCTTCATGTTATCACAATTTTAATGCTAGGAACTCATTGTTATAGAACATTTCTTATTACATATCAATTGGGTCTAGGAAAGCACTAGCAACCCTAACAATGCGATTTTGATTAACATGAAATATTGTTTGGTGTACAATCAACAGGTCACATACCTGAGAACTACAACAATACAACTATAAGCAGTTAAACAATCAATTCAGAATGATGTTCCATCTACAATACACTTAGATAAGCATTCGATATCATAATGTCTCTGATCATGGCTGTGACGGTAATCTCCAGTCAATGTCGAACACATATGTAGAATATATTGAATAAAACATCGTACTCCATTACTACTCTGTTATTTTGAAAGAGAAATTACTTTGTAGTTTTTAAAGCAAAATTTGGAAGCGTTTTAAAACAGTCGTTAGTGTCATAACGCTGTTTTATGTAACCAACTTGTTATCCAGACCAGGTTTATTCAGCTATTGTCAACATTAAAGGCTACATTTCTTTGTTTTTGTACTTTTTTTACCATAAAGATTTCAACAATGGGTCCGACAAAACAACCATTCAAGAACAACGACCGCAAATGTAGCATATGCAATCTTAAACACAACGATTAAGAAAGAGTTATAGAGTCAGGATGTCCGCAATAACGTTTTAGTGTGATAAGATAGCCACCACTACCATCTTATGAGTGATGTATTCCAATTAGTTAAGCCCGTACGAATTTCGCATCAATAAGTCGAAATAGGCATCGTTGTCAATCGAGGCACTAACGCCGGCGTAGTAAGATATGAATTCACGCTTGGTGACCTGTAAAACAAAACAAAAAAACATTAGTTCAGTGTTACGAGGACATTTTAAGTACGTAATCTTTCAATAAGATATCAAATATTTAAGAACATAAACATTTTCAAAATTGGAACAACATCCAAATTTTAGTTATTTATAATGTTGCAATATTTTATCGCGTATCTTAAAATAAACGAAGCTGCTGATTTGAATATCAACATGGACAAAGAATTTCACCTTCGAACATGACGAGTTCTATGAAAAGGACCGAAACATTCCTTCAACGAAGACACAATTTAATTCTATATACCATATAATTGGTAATTTTACGTGTCATAGTTGTCGCGATTGCTAATAAACTGTCGATTTATAAAAATAAATGAAAATTTCGCGATCTAGGTGTAAAAGGACATCTAATACACACGCGTCTCATTATCTTACTGGTTTTATTTTCACGGTCAATTAATGTACCGCGAAATAGCAAATATCCGCGAAAATAATTGACTAAATTATATTGTTTTGAACACCTGCCATACCTCATACTTAGTCATGACTAACATCACGCGCGCTGTCATGATTTCGATCTCGAGACGTATATAAAAAAATACTTATCTATTTAGGAAATGCACATACAAGCGACTTTGCCATACATTTGCCAAAGTGTACCTTATAAAATATTAGTTCTATCCAAACTACGGAATCAAGATAATATTTTATAAAGTTAAAATAATTAATTCAATATCATAATTCAGAATCGTCGCCTATTCCATTAAGTAAAACATCTTTATTGAATATTTTCCCGAAACAAAAATTTCCGATGTAGTGGTGAAACAACATTTTTGAGGTTTCTGTTTATGTTTTCCCTTTTAAGGCCGAGTGCCACAGTATTTTAGTGTTTGCCTTCAAATGAGTCGCACACATACAGTGTAATTTGTGACATTGTAATAGTGAAAAAGAAATACTTACACAAGTTTCAGTGTGACATTCCGAAGAACTAGGATCCTCAGGTATCATGCTGTGACTTCCCGAACCAAAAGGTGATAACTCATAATGTGAACCCAGATTTGTGAGCAGTTTGTAATGAAATCAGAAGTGTAAAAATCATATCTTCGTGAGACGTCAAGTTCATGCTGTGACAGTCAATATTTCACAAGAATTCCTGGTACCACACAATCAATGATGCGATTCATTTTAATTAAATAGGTTAATTCAACGATATATTTTTGACAATCTTATTTTCATCGAAACTAATTATCGACAAAGTCATCTAAACCGACACATCAACATTTGTTTAAAGTGACAGACATTCGAGAAAAAAGTTGAAATACACTAATCAAGTCGTCAACAGGTTTATCTCCATCAAAAAATTCAATACCACCCAACGAGTTATCTCCACTAAACAAAATCATCTCCATCTCCAACAAAGTATATCTCTACCAAATTTATCTGCACTAAACAAGTTCATCTACGTCAAACATGTCTATTACACGAATTAACCTCCACCAGACAACAAACAACTTGAAGAAATAACTTTACAGAATTTTTGTCCTGAAAAATTTATCAATCACTATATAAAGGTAATACAAAATCGTGACACGACAGAAAATTATCAGATAAAAAAATTATAAAACGGCTGTAATATTAGGTGAAATTAAATGTCCGACATGTGACCTTTCCGTAGACTATGGCTGTGAAGTCAAAAATTGTCATAATCAACCGACAATACAATTAACTGCAACTAGAAAATAAAATTTATCTTTAACAAAACAAAACCTTTTTCAGATAGCATTGTGCCCTCAACACAAAAATGTTGATCTTGGTATCAACTCCACAAAATTCAACGTCTCGTTAAATCATTCTGTTTGCATAATATCCATTTCCTGAAAAGGGTCCTTTCCCGAGAGTTGAGACGGGGGTATTCCGTTGTTGTTTCAATCATTTGTCACCATGTCAATAGTGTCGCAATAGTATTATATCAAAAAATTAATGTTCTCATTTAATGGAACGATTCGGCAAATTTCGTGTTTCACAAAGTAAAAAGACCCAAGGATAGAGATTGTACAAAAGACAAAAGCCCGAAATAACACCATTTAATAACTTAAAGAGTTAGATACAGTAGAACCAAACAATGATTTTTACTGCACTACATAGCTGGTTCTTCCTTGTATGTGATGCTAATGGCCTAAATGATATATCTTGACTCAAGAAAGTGAAAATGTCTCACAATAGCATCGACTAAAGGCGACCTGCCGATCCGGTCTCTACTGGAGTTCTCGTTCCACAATGCACTCAGCGATATTGCAACCGAAAGGCTTAATCATTATTTTGCACCTAGTGGGCATGATATCCCAGTAGTTTCTTTCCCAATATTGAAATTATTAAAAAGGTAGGGAATTCGAAATATGCATCGCAAGACTTTTCCATATTTTAGATTATAAATATACAAACTTCGTGCTCTAAACTATTGACCAGACAATGAAATATTATTCATTGAAATAAATATATATTTATATATATGAACGTTTTCTTTGTATTCTTTCCTTCCATATGCTTCTTATCACTAATATATAGCACGTGTGGAGTACGCATCATCAAGTGTATATGCATTACAAATTTTCGGACGCGATCAATAAAGTGTATCATCAAGAAATGCTAAATATGATAAATTTGGACTACCTCAAATACATCCAAGTTAATTAGCAGTGTCAGTTTTGACTGTTATAACAAAGAACGTTATTTGAATTGCCTTTCAAATAAGAAACACTTTTAGTGGTAAAATTATCTTTTTTTCGTAACACGAAAATAAAAATTTCTTGTTTTTCCATGCCATCACAGTCTCCATGGTACAACACAAGCCCGAGATGTAGAAACAAAATAAAATGACGGATTTTTGCTACTTTTAGCTACAGTTGATTATATTTGTAAATGTCAACATAAACAACAAACAAAACAACTTGTTTCATATTTTAATTATTTAAAATTCTAAGATATGAAATAGAAGTAAAAACAATATTTTCTAAATTTCAAAATAGTTAGCTATTAAGAAGAGATGTTTGCCTAAAATATTTTACCATCAGGAAAAACTACACTGGTCCCAAGAACTAAAAGTGCTGACGAAACGGCTCAGAATCTCTTATGTGAAGTCGGTAAAACTATAACAGTTGTTAATAAATACAGTTCAACTAATATATATATATATATATATATATATATATATATAATTTGTTCATATTCTAATATAGATGCAAAAGGCCTTGGCTGTTTTTTTATGCGGAAAGACACATACTAGATGTAATACGGTAATCAATGTAAATTATGATTTTGAGTTCAGATCAACCATGAAAAGAATATCCCACCTAATCAAGAAACATTAAATGGTATCTCTAGCCAACATATAACTAGTTGGAAGTGTGATGAAAACAATTCAGATTTTCAATTTTCAATTCAAAAGACGGGAGAAGCAAAATGGCAATTCTGACCGATCAAAAAATGCAAGTATCAAATTAAAGAAATTTAAAAAGTTTAAGAATGACAATTAAAAAGAGACGATGAAAACATGTATAAATACACGCATTTTATAATACAAAATTAAAATAACTTGCACCGTTCATTATGATGCTATATGATATATATAAACATTTCAAAGAATAGAGAACAATATTTGAGATTTTCTTCTTTTTTCTAAAATTTAAAGATAAACCATGTCTATTTCGACATTTTCGCCTATCATTGTCATATTATATATAACTGAGCATTATATATATTTCTTAGTTTGTCAATAGATTATCAATGATTACAGATGATCTTTTTATGTGAAACCTTCGTTAAATTTATAACAGGTATCACATAATGTTTTTGATGTTGCAGTCATTAAAATGTATAAAAAAGCAATGGTATTCAAATTTCCTTAGTCCACAAACCTGAACTGAACGACTACATATGGTTGAAAAATTAAATGATAAACCTGCTGTTAAATAGGAATTCGAAACAAACACGTCACCGGTTTCCTACATGGATATTACATTTGTATAACCGGTTATTGTATAAAATACGCAACGTCTAAATTTTCGCGCCTATTTTTACTTAACTATTTGATGAAACACGTACGAACTTCATTTCATTCTTATTCACTTGATCAAGTCGTCGCGTAAACAGTATTTGCTGGAATTTTTGTCAACTCTGATCTCACCCTTAGTTTAATGCGAGTCATATTTATGAATGGTGATAGTGATGACGCGTTATTTCAGAATAAATTTACAAGCAGAAATGCAGCAAAAAGGGATGCCGTGTCAGGCCATTTCATGTCAAATTAGTTTTAGTTTAGAATCTATTCTACGCAACTACGTAAACGTAAGTTGTTTCGATAGATACAACATGCCATCGAGTCTTTAAATAAATATTTTTTTCCCGAATAAAACAAAAGTATCATTTCATCGTCCATCAATTTCATAAACGTTTTCCCAGTATACATCCTCATAGTATTATATATCGTAGTACGATACGAAATAAATCTCTGTTATCTTTAACCATCATACGCCCCACGAATTTTTCATCATCAAGGCAAAGTACATGTCATTGTCTATAGAGGCGCTAACTCCACTGTAGTAATTGAACCACTCGTCTTCAGTAATCTGTAATCAAAACAAACGATCAACTGATCAATTTCATGTTGTTTTTTCTCGATGAAATATGCTATAGCTCATATTCACAATGCACATGTATTTGTTCCATATCTGGCTCACATTGGGTATTTATTGCACAGCAAATCATGACAGTCTACCAGATTGAACTCATAGCTTAGCTTAAATATTGGTGATCTCCCTCTGCTCGTGCAACTATTACAGAATGAGAACAAATTCATAAATGATGGCGATTTACAAGCAACATATAAAAGTTCGTGAAAGCATGCATATAGGTATGTTCTGTGACTGATCAGTGACGCTCCATGTGATCAGTCAGACGCGTCTCCTTCCGACGAGAAATACGTCTTCCTATGTCTGAGGTCTTGGTGCAAGAGGTGTTAATCACTCATGTTTGCGTGTGCAACAGGCGTGATCTAATCCGAGTTGCAGTGTTATGATATTAAGTGTAAACTTGTTTGGAGTAAAACGATTTCGGTTGCTCTACAACTGATATCCAAGTATCAATCGAAACATGCATCAATTAAGAGTGTCTTTCTAGGTCAGAGTCGTGACAGAAGCAAGAAAAAGTTCTTGTTTAAGAAGCATGAATTCATGGGATTGTACAAGAGGCACCTACACAGATGAAAAGCGTACAAAGTTTGATGTTTTTGTTGGTTTCAGTACATCATTAACACGCTTAACACTATTTTTCCTTCGCTAATATGACCATTTCATGTTCAAACATTCGTAAAGCTAAAATGAGTGATAGTAGTTACATTTGCTACTATTAGTCCCTAAACGTATGTCTAAGTGTGGAGTAACAAACATAATTGTTACTTTAATGTCACTTTGATTCAATGAGTTTTTTTAAACAATCTAAACCGTTGGGCTTTTTTATAACGATGCCGATGTGTTAAATGTATCAGATTTTCCATGCATTTTTCATCATAAGTGAGAAATACACATCTGAATCGATGGAAGCACTAACTCCAGAGTAGTAATTCATAAATTCCTCTCCAGTAATCTACAACAAGACAATGAATCAGTCGTAAATGTTTGCATAACCAATCTCAAATCATTTATGAATTCTCAAAAATCTGTTATTTGTAAGTTATTAGATATTGAAATGCAGGTCACAATTCAGGAAATGGTTCTTGATAACCTTGATTTTCTGTGGTATTTTTAATTAATTACTATAGTTGCCCATGTTTGAAATCTCAAGTTATTGCATACGATGGTAAACTAATGTCCTATTGACATTATACTGAATTACATTAGGAAATGCCATATTATGGAAGCTTTGAATCTTGATTATAGATATGTATCTCCCAAATGCTTTGAGTTTTTTCACGATTAGAAAATTATTAATATTCTATTCATAATGTATTTTATACCATAGTTATTGATATACTGTTTGTAATTTCATCGTTTTGTATATATATATTATATATATATATATAAATCAAGCTCAAATATGTATCAGCACACACCAGTAAGTTAGAACACATGCAACAACGGCCTGTTAGGAGGTGTTGAATATAACTCGATAGAGCTAACATTTCAACAGACTGTAAGAGTTTGTTAGCTTCTAGAATCATTTGTTAAGAAAATGGTTAAGTTTGGAAAACAAATAAAATCAAGACACTAGGATATTTCGACGTACTTCATCACAACAGATGACATCATACAATGCATTGGATGATAATGACTTATAAGGGAACCAGAGATTCACACAAATGCCGACTTACATGCAAATATTTTATAAAACATGCTTGAAATAATGAGGAGCAATCAAATGGCATTTAGAAAATTTGAAACAAAATCCTCTTGACCGCAGTTCATCAACTTGACAGACAAACACTGTCAATAGCAAAGCTCATTTCAAGTCTTACATTAAACATTAAGAGCTCTGGCCAATGAAATTAGTCTTTGAAGCGCATTTCTCATAGAACGAATTGATACGAATAAAGTCAATTTACATCGGCATGCAGCATTTTATATACAAATAGGATAGGCTGCCTGTTCAGGGATTCGCGAATGTTACATATACACTCCTATTTATTCTCAGATAACAGTAAAACCTGAAAGCTAAAAAACTACAAAGCATTAATATAGGTATCACGTCTTTAAATTCAAATCCCACACATCACCGATATATAAAAAGATAATAAAGCGATGGATTAAATATTGCCAAGTACTGTACTTGGTAGCAGCACGAAAATACAACAAAATTTATAAAAATATGTTACCCGTACTTCTCGGCATCCTATCAAACGACTGGTTTATTAAATTTTCCACGCATTTTGCATCATCAGATTGAAATAAGCGTCATTATCTATAGACGCACTTACTCCAGCATAGTAATTATCGAATTCTTCCTTTGTTACCTGTAAGGTATATAATGAAAGTGATTACTTGTCTATCAGTCAAGAAACAAAGGTTTTGTCTTTAATTTCGATTATTACTAAAAATTGTCTTGGTGCACACACAAACAAAACTTCCAAAAAATACGGATAGTACATGCTATAATCTCAAAGAATAGCGAGTTGTAATCAAATCATTGAAACAATCTTAAATATACTTATGTAAGTTTATCCAAAATTTGTTTTGTTACCGATAACATTGCAATAATAATTATACTTTGTATTAGTAATATTACAACCTAAAACAAAAAAAAATCACCTGATCAGAGACACATTCACTCGTAATTTGTTCAACATTTCTAGTTGTATTATGACTAACCATATTCTTTTATTGGATTCTGTGCCGACAATTCTTACATTTTTCACCAACATAATTTTACTACACACAAAATTAAAGAAAAGATATGCCACATTCTGTTTTATAGTTGCTAATGTTTAATCATTAGCATACTTGCTATTATTGTTTGAAAGAAATGCATGTTGAAATAAGATAAAATTTACAAACACTATTGACACAGGTAGTCCAAACTCTGTAAGTCATGAATATCACCTCATTGTTCATAAAAATGTAAATATAATTACATGATAATCAACAAAATTTAATATTCTGTACTTCTTTTATTTATATTTATATATATATAAATATCTACAGTTTCACTGTTAAGAAAATATGAATTGAAGATTACAAAAAAAAAAAAAAAAAACCACAAATATCTACATGGATTTCCTTTTCATTACAATAACTCTTATCTACATATAACACATTATTTCTGAACTACATCTACAGTAATTTTAACAAAAATGCGGTATTGGGTTAAACACCCCATGAATTTTTCATCATCAGAGCAAAATAAGCATCGTTGTCTACAGATGCACTGACTCCACAGTAGTAATTCAGAAATTCTTCTTCCGTGATCTGTTATGAAATACATCAACATGGATATTAGGACTATGATATTAGTTCGTCATACAAGGACATTGGTACATATCAAGTATTTGAATTATTTAAATTCCTTTCAATTTAAGCAGGTGGTGTAATAATTATTTCATACAAAAAAATTAGTCAAAACTTGTAGTTCATAAAGCGATAGAATACATGTGTAATGTACATAAAATACTTATATAAATAAAATGAAATTATATATTTTTTTCAAGCAGTATTTGCGTTATCTTACATTGAACCTAAGAAACTTATGTTAAGTCTATAACATGACAGAAACACTAGTTCAGAAAAAGATCAACTTCAATTTTATACAAGTTATAATTTCAGGAAAAAAAAGAAATTTAATTGGAAATATGATTAGTACTGAAGAAGTAAAGAATTATACCAACACTTTGTGGCCAGAAATTTAGTAACACTACTACTGAGTAAATATCTATAGTTACTGCCTTCTCATGTTTACCTCTACATCAACATTGTAGTACATTGCCAAAGTTGCACTATTGTTTTTAATCACTTGATTATCATGACAGAACAAATTTTACTGTAGTCTATGATGTTATGATACATCATCGGTATTGTTACTGTTATTGAGCAAAACAAAAATCTTTTAGTTTTACCCCTTGACCTATCAACTTAAAAATTATGATCCATATATATTAATTCAAGCTACTTTCATAAAAAATGTAAAATGTAAAGTTTATGGGTTTACAGAATAAACATTTGATCCCCCCTCCACCCACCCCACTATCGGCTGTCAAGCTTATTGCTATAACATCTGATAGGCTGAAATAAAGGGAAGTATCTATGGGGGATTTTTTACTCAAAATATGAAATATATCTTTACCTAAATCCTTGACTACAGCCCCTGAATATGAGCAATATGGATAGTACATCTGGAACTACGAAATATCCTTATTAAGATAAAATATTATAAGCAGAAAAATAATAAACAAAATTTGATTTGAGCTTTGTACAATATGTACATTGTTTATTTCACTCGATATGTGAAAATATACATCATCAGTAACAGGCGGTTAACATAATATGACGGAGTAAAAAACACCATTCTGTAAAGCCCTTGTAAAGAAATAAATTAAATATGAGCTTTGTAAAGCAATTCCAAATTGAAATTTCAAACGTGGATGCCAGAATGTTATATTTCTATCAAAAACTAACAGTATAGTCAAGAAAAAGATAGCATAGGATATGTGTTATATGAATTATTACTTTCCAACTATTACAATACAACTACTGAGCACTGCTTGTGACAATTGAAATATAGTAGGTACCTATAAGTACTCTGGATACGTGTACCAAAACCCAACAAAGGACACTATGAACCAGTAACTGAGATTTGCAGCTATTAACTATGAATATGGTGCATTTATACAAATTCATTATAACTAAGGAATATGTATGATACTGATCATATAACCATATTTTATATAAGGAAATTTTGCAAGCATGATTTGTGTCATTTACAAAGTAATATTTTTTACTTTAGTAAGCATAGCCTTGTGAAGTATTACTGTAAAAACCTGCATTTACATCTTTAGTTTAAATATTTCAAACATTTTATCTCGCTTGGTATCTTATATAAATTGGATACTAGTCTGTGTAATATCAAACTAACCTAAAGATAGTGTAAATATTATTGCTATAGTAAAAATCCTTTTTTCTCAATTTAAAGTTTAAATGATATGCCTTTTCAATAATTACTTGTCCATGCAAAGTGGCACCTCCTAAAGCTGAATTTTCATTAAGTAAAATTCAACAAATACTTCCAAGGTTCAGTTTATGACAAACGGACTCCCTTCTTTCTATATCTATCAGAAGAGCCATCAAGGTTCCATGCATTGTTCATCATCATTATAAAGTAGCAGTCGTTGTCGATACTAGCACTGACGCCAGCATAGTAGTTCACAAACTCCTCATTTGTTATCTACAGTTTGAAAAGAAAATGATGTTTACAAGAAAGAACAAAAAATGATATAGGCGACAAACACAACTGGATATCATAATAAACAAACATAACATTTACCATGAATATAACTGGATTTAAAAAACAAGAGGCCAACAAGACCTGTATTTATCATCTGGATTTTAAAGCCTAGCAATGGTATACAAGCCTTAAGGTACGGGATGACAAATATTTCTAAATTACAACTCAGTCACTTAGCCTCTTTGGCAGGGCACGACAAATGAGTAAGTTCTTACATCCTGACCGTCTTTTTCTTTTGATAACCAGCAAGAGTTTATTTGATTATCAGATTGGGATCTCAACTATATAAAAATATGACCAAGAAACTAAATATCTAGATGTGTGCCTCACCCAAAGGTCAATTCTTACATCGTGATTGGTTTATCACTCGAGATCTAGCATATATGGTAATGGAGTGGGGATCTCAATCATTTCAAAGGGGTGGTGCCACATCCAAGGGCCAGTTCTTACATCATGAATATGTTTATCTCTTGATGCTCATCATTGCAATATATGGTTATATGGTGAGGATCACAAGTATTTTAAAGACATAACCCAGAAAGTCCTGAGGCATACTCAAGGGTCAAATTTCACATCATGATAAAGTTTATCTCGTGATGCCATGCAATCTAATAAATGGGTTGAGGATCTCAACTGTTTCAAAGATATAGCCCATTTACCTATTGAGCCCCTCCACTCCAGCACTAGGGAACAGAAATGGACCATTTAAACAAACTTGATTTCCTTCACCCAAACATCCTGAGGACCAAATTTGGACAACATCCAATCATTCCTACTGGATGAGTATTAATTTACTCGATTTCCTCTATTGGGCCTGGCTTCTCCTGCCCCAGAGAGCAAAACCCACCATTTATATAAAATTATTAGCCCTTCACCAAAACATGATTCAGATCAAATTTGGAAAAAATCCAATAACACCTACAGGAGGAATAGAATTTTAAAGAATTTGCTAAATTTCCCTTTTTGGTCCTGTAGGGGGTCCGACCCACCATTTAAACAAAACTGAATCCTTTTCTGAGAAGGATGGTTTTGACAACATTTGGTCAAAATCTGCAGTTGCTAATGACAACTAGCAAACAAGTAACTCTCTGAACATTTGAACTGAACAGTTACAGTCTACATTTTTTTAAAATCTTGTAAAAAAAAATTAAGATTTTGAATTACATATCTTAATACAATATATTTGATATATATGTTATGTTTTTTTCAATATCAATAGTTATTGAGACCATGTAGAATATCAATGTGTGTGTTTGAAAGAATGGTTTTACTATCTGAAAATCCTATCATGAATGTAACACAGAAAGAACTATCCAGCTGGTCATATGGAATTTCTTAAACATTGTGAAAAAGTTTGATTATGAAGTTATGAAATATAGATGCCTGTTGTTAAAAATATTGGTAGTGGTGTTTCAGAGAAAATGGGACAAAATTATTACAAAGATAAATCCTATTCCATTGAGTATCAAACGGAGTACAGATTGTATTTACTCTTCTGCATTGTGGCACATAAATTGCAAATTGTACTAGACAATAAAATCTGTCTCTGATAAAACTAATCAATTGTTAACATATACACAAATCAATTCTACGGTATGTATAGTCTATGCTAATTCATCCAAATTAATTTTACAGTGACCAAACTTTTTGTTATAGCCAATTTTTTTCATAGTATGCTGTGAAAATTGAAAAAAAAAATAACCATACAACACAATGTTGGTAGGTCAAATAAAGTTTTTAAAATTTCACAATAAATGTGATTAGGATGTATACTTATATCAGTATAAACCGATAAGATATCCTACCATCTAGCTACAGCAACTAAACTTTGGATAAATGATAGGTGCAACAGACTATCTATGAATAATGCATACATGTTTGTACAAGTAGATGACTACTTGTAAATAATGCATACAAAATTGATTCACTAAGGTCAATAACTATGGTAGCAGTGTATAATGCATACATATTTGGTTGGATCAGGTAACTAGCTATACATGCTAAATGATAAACTATAACAGGTGACTCAACAATATGGAAAAATGTTCACTATTTTGATAATTACAATTCACATGTTGTCAAATATTTTAATTCACTGAACCAAATTAAAACTTAAAATTTGAAAACTGAAATTAGCAGATAATCATAAACCAAATTATATAAATGAAACACATCCAGCTGCTGATTACAACAAATGGAGAATGTGACAACAATTTTAACTTACCAGTGATACCACTGATGTCCGTAAGAGGCTGGTCTATCTTGGTAGATTATCAGATTCCCACTGGTCTTATTGGTGAACGATGTACAAGCGATTTAACCGCGATAAGCATCGTGCATGATGCAATGATTATACATTTTACTATATGTCACCAGAATTAGGTACAGGTAACAGGTCATGCTTCTAGGTATAATCTTGTCATGCAAACCATTATAGCTGCCGTATGCTGCATGTAGGCAGTATTCTTGCATGCACTTTCATCACCTTCTTCAATTGATACAAAGCATGCACGGTCAATTTAATTGTAACAGACTACTTTTGAATAATGGAAAACATTTCCAAATATGATTTTCAAAACTAGATACAGTACAATTATAATGCTTGTATCCTTTCTTTTGCTGTATAACTCTCCTCCCCATCCATCAAAATATCATTATTCCCTCTTCCCTATCCATCACAATATCATTATTCCCTCCTCCCCATCTGAATCAATATCATTCCTTCCTCCCCATCTAACTCAACAGTATTATTCCCTCCTCCCAATCCATATCAATATCATTCCCTTCTACACATCCATCTCAATATCATTCCCTCCTCCATATCCATATCAATATCATTCCCTCCTCCATATCCATATCAATATCATTCCCTCTTCCCCATCCAACTCAATAGTATTATTCCCTCCGCCCCATTCATCACAATATCATTACCGGTATTCCCTCCTCCCAATCCATATCAATATTCCCTTCTCATCCTTCCCAATCTCTTTATTCCCTCCTCCCTATCCATATCAATATCATTCTTCCTCCCCATCCTTCCCAATCTCATTATTCCCTCCTCCCAATCCATATCAATATTCCCTTCTCATCCTTCCCAATCTCTTTATTCCCTCCTCCCAATCCATATCAATATCATTCCCTTCTACACATCCATCTCAATATATTATTCTTTCCTCCCCATCCATCAAAACATCATTATTCCCTCCTTCCCATCCATCACAATATCATTATTCCCCCTCCCTATCCATATCAATATCATTCCCTCCCCTCCATCCATCTCAATATCATTCCCTCCTTTCTATCCATATCAATATCATTCCCTCCTCCCCATCCATCTCAATATCATTCCCTCCTCTCTATCCATATCTAGATCATTCCCTCCCCTCCAACCATCATAATAGTATTATTTCCTCCTCCCCATCTATTCAAATATTATCATTCCCTCCTCCCTATGCATCTCAATATCATTCCCTCCTCCACATCAATCTCAATATCATTGCCTCCTCCGCATCCATCTCAAGAAAATTCCCACCTTCCCATCCAACACAATAGTATTATTCCCTCCTCCCCATCTATCCCAATATTACTATTCCCTCATCCCTACCCATATCAATTTCATTCCCTCCTCCCAATCCATCTCAATATCATTATTCCCTCTTCCCCATCCATCACAATAGTATTATTCCCTCCTCCATATCCTTATCAAGAACATTCCCACCTCCCTATCTATCTCAATATCATTCCTTCCTCCCTATCCATTTCAATATCATTATTCCCTCCTCCATATCCATATCAATATCATTCCCTCCTCCCAATCCAACTCAATAGTATCATTCCCTCCTCCCCGTCCATCACAATATCATTTCCACCTTCCCATCCATCACAATATTATCATTCCCTCCTCCATATCCATATCAATATCATTCTTTCCTCCCCATCCATCACAATATCATTATTCCCTTCCCCAATCCATTTCAATATCAGTCCCTGCTTCACATCCATCTCAATATCATTCCCTCCTCCTCATCCATCCAAATATCATTTTCTTAACTCCACATCCATCTCAAGATAATTCCCACCTTCCCATCCTTCGCAATACTATTATTCCCTCCTCCCCATCCATCCCAATTTTACCATTCCCTCCTCCCTACCCATATCAATTTCATTCTCTCCTCCCAATCCATCTCAATATCATTCCCTCCTCCCTATCCATCTCAAGATAATTCCCACCTTCCCATCCTTCGCATTACTATTATTCCCTCCTCCCCATCCATCCCAATATTACTATTCCCTCCTCCCTACCCATTTCAATTTCACTCCCTCCCTCCTATCCATATCAATATCATTCCCGCCTTCCCATCCATAGCAATATTATTATTCCCTCTTCCCTATCCATCACAATATCATTTTTCCCTCCTCCCTATCCATATCAATATCATTCCCTCCTCCCTATCAATATCATTCCCTCCTCCCTATCCATATCAATATCATTATTCCCTCCTCCCTATCCATATCAATATCATTGTTTCCTCCTCCCTATCCATATCAATATCATTCCCTCCTCCCTATCAATATCATTCCCTCCTCCCTATCCATATCAATATCATTATTCCCTCCTCCCTATCCATATCAATATCATTCCCTTCTGCCTATCCATATCAATATCATTCCCTCCTCCCCATCCATATCAATATCAGTATTCCCTTCTCCCTATCAATATCATTCCCTCCTCCCTATCCATATCAATGTCATTCCCTCCTCCCTATCCATATCAATATCATTCCCTCCTCCCTATCCATATCAATATCATTCCCTCCTCCCTATCCATATCAATATCATTCCCTCCTCCCTATCCATATCAATATCATTCCCTCCTCCCCATCCATCCCAATATCATTCCCTCCTCCCCATCCATCCCAATATCATTTTCTTAACTCCACATCCATCTCAAGATAATTCCCACCTTCCCATCCATCTCAATCTCAATCTCAGATTTTCTTAAATACAAATGTATACAGTTCTGGGTGAACACTAAAAATACAGGTATATGTAGTTTTTGGCTATATATGTAGTAGAAGCACATAAATATTGATATATTATTTATTAAAACATCATACACCTGATCAACTGTAATTCAAATTTAATTGATGGAAATCTCCAATTCAGTTTGCAAAGCAGCTTTTTATCAGTGATATGACAATGATATTGTTAGTTTTTGTGTAAGAAAGACTTGATGGGATGTCTACAAAAAAGAGAACTAGCTACATATTTAAGGTTAACATGAAAGCAGCCAACAGATCGCTATAGTATGATAGGAAGCTTTTCCTGTCACAAGAAATGTATTCTCATTCCCTTCATTAATCCATAAATTTTTCATTTTGTTAATTCATAATGGTCCAGTATTTTGATTCATAAAAATAAACAGGTTTGATTATATTATCAATATCAGCAGAATTCTTCAAGATATCAACTGAAAAGTGTTTTTGATTTTTTTAGTATTATTTTTGTTAACAATGTGATTAACCAAGTTAACACATTCTTTGAATACAATATAACCTGCAATAAAGGGAGGGAGACAATTGATAATGACAGGTCAATCATCCTCAGAAACTAACCGATTTTTCATTGGTAGCAAGGAATAGGTAAGGGAAAGCTAAGGGATAGGCAATGGATACAGGTTCAAAAGTCATGCATTAGATTAGCAGAATATCAACTGAAAATATATATATTAAAAACATACCGTTCCATCTGGGTCATTTGGGGTGTCAAACGATTTCAAAAATATGCCTAGAATTTGGTCTTCTGTCATCTCTCCATTTATATATTTGGGGTGCTTTGAACAGTTGTAAACACCTTTAAGATCTTCAATAGTGATGACACCATCTCCAGTTTTGTCCAACTTATGAAATGCCTTTGTAATCAATCCTTTTCGTGCGTTTGACATTGGCGGCTGTAATTATGAAAGATGTTTGTTCATAACATTTGTGAATGTCAGTCAATTGTAGTTGCAATAAGCACCAATAGATTGTGTGAAGCAAAGCACTGATTATCAGTCAATGAGTGAAAATTGTCTACATATCTAACATTCAAAAGAAAGTGTTTCATTTTACATGTCTACTTGATATTCAATGGTGATTGTAAGGACATCAAATATATCTGTATTATCAATGTTAACTCTCGCTTGACAAAATGTTTTATGATATGTTAAGGATAGAATATAAAGCTGTTATCATTAGATTAGGTCAATGAACAATGTCCCTTGAACAAAAGGTGTTGTACATTAGTTAGGAAGAAAAACAACATGTTCTTTGAGGAACGCTAAGATGGGTAACATTGGACAGTCATTGAAAAACATCTCATTTATCATGAAACTTTTTGTAGTGCTTTACTTTATTGATATACCATACCCTCAATGCCAGTAAGAATTCATCAAAATCTAATGCACCAGAACCATCTTTATCAAGGTTACTGAAACATGTTTTTATTTCATCCTTGTCCATCACAACTCCATAATCGTGGATCCCTTTACTGAATTCTTTAAAATCTATTGATCTGTTTCCATCATCATCCATTATTTTGAATGCTCTGCAATAAAAACAAGATTAAACAAATCACGACAGACAATAATTTGTTGGCCACAGGAGCCAGGATTGATATATCACTATTGATTATTATTAATCACAAGGGCCAGAAAGTCACAAGGACCAGAAACAATTAATCACCAGAGATGATTATTAGTCAAAAGATCCAGAAAGTCACAGGGACTAGAAACAATACATCATTGTGAATAATTCTTAGTCAATTGGACAAACTGAATTTTTGGATTGTTAATGATCAAAGGGGTTAGATAAAATCAATGTCTTCAATAAGATTTGTCAAGGGAGACAACACCATGTACCAGGAACACTTATAATGACAATGATAACATGGGCCATCAGAGTTGGAATATGCTCCCCAATTGGGACAAAATTTAAGTTTGAAAAATAACAAAGAGCAATAAGAGTTATGTTTCTTGTACGCTGACCTCCTACTCATTGAGATCTATCTAACTAGGAAGTTTCATGTTAACACATCTTATAGGCTTAGAGTAATGCTCCAGACAAAAGTTAAGTATGGAAAACAACAAAGGGCAATAACTCATAAATTAAGAAAGAGTAAAGGTTCTTGTGCACTGCACTTCTCCTTGTTGAGATTTATCTAATTTTGACGTTTCTAAATTATGAAAAAGAGAGTGATGGTTCTTGAACACTAAAAAGTTTTATGTTGATACCACTAATAGTTTTTGTGTTATGCTCCAGGCAGACAAAGCAGCAACTATATGCTCTCCATTAGGGGTCACAGTCACAGGGGCCAGAGATAACTTATGGATTCAATGAAGTCATAAGAACCAGAAATAATGTATCGATCAATTGTAGACATGAAAACCAAAGATAATGTATGAGTCAACTGTAGTCATGGGAACCAGAGAAAATGTATGTTTCAACTATTATCATGGGAGCTAGAAATACTGTATGGATCAACTGTAGTCATGGGAGCCAGAGATTATGTATGGATCATCTGTGGTAATGGGAGCTAGAAATAATGGTAATACCAAGATATCCTAGCCATAGATAAACCAAGCAAGCACCTCTAAAACCCAATATCACTGAATACTACCAACAATATTCCAATACTACCCAAGTACTAATTAATAAAACTGCAATATCAGCAAATCATTGCAAACATTTTTTTTTTTGCTGTTACAGAACACTACATTATATTACCTGACACCACCAAAATATTATTGAATTATTATTAAATTTTCTGTAATTTATTCATATAAGTTGTGAATGCTTATTATCCTTATTATACTTCTGACATTGGTAAATTCCATGAAAATCCACGTTTCCGTTCATATTTTTACCAAATACCTATTCCTTATACAAGTAAAGCCCTTTATACACCGACTGTCTGGACACATGCAATAATTTGGGTAAAACTTATTTTTAAACTTTTGATACTTGCATACTTGCAGACACCCATCCGTGGCTTTTCCGGTATCAGTCGTAACTTAATTCTATCGTATTGCGTGTATACGATAAAACTCGAGCAATTATGGAATTTTAAACACAAATGGTAACCTCTACTTTGTAAAAAGTTAGGAACATCAATATCTACTACTGCGGAATATGGGGCGACGATATTTATGTGTACGCCCCTAGCTTATCCAAAGATATTTTTAAAAAAAAAATGCATCATTTGACAATCGTAAATTTAAGTAACAATTCATGTCGTTGCTTATATCTTACTTGAAAATTAATACCAATTTAAACAAATGAATGTGTTAGGAAGGGAGAATTCTACGGACGACAGTTGACACGTTCAGACTTGCCCCGACAGGTTGTTTACACTTCAACATCTTATTTTTCATCATGAAGGTAAATTTAGCTAAATTTTTTAACTGAAAATTACTTACCGGCCAAGCCCTTTGATTCCAGATGCTCCTCTGCTAAGACACTGTAGTCTTAATCTTTCTACGGGATCAGTGGCACTCCGGAGCGCTTTCTTACTTTTCTGCTGCAGTTCACGTTCTCCACGACTTGTAGCCATGTTAGCGGTTTACCTGAAAAAAACGTGTTACCTTTATCTGGATCTATATGGTCTAACACTACCGAATTAATGTAAAACTCTGATTTTCTAACTGAGTGTTTTATCCAATGTTTGTATCAAATGCAACCTTACTTTGTAGTAGTTCGGTTAAGCGGCGTCGCAACAAACGTGTTTACGTTTGTCGTATGTACTTCCGACAGTACCTGCGTGGACAGTGTTTAATTATTGCTATAGCAACCGAGGGAGCGGTCGTTATTTCAGTTTGAAAACACAACTTAGCGTGAGGATTACGGCACATTTTTTTATGTTGTAAATCTTATGTAATTATTAAGTATTCATTTCACGTAAGTCGTATCAACTTGATATATAGCCGTTCCATATTTTGAAGAAGTTCGGTACCGAGTGCAGTTGTCGAAAAAAATCAAAATGATATTTGTAAATCGCCAGCATTGATTGATGATGCTGTAAAACATCTAAAGACAAATGACTTTCTTTTGGTTTTAATAGTTTTGATGTTTACAAGGTTTGACATTTTTATTCTCATTTTCTTGAAAGCAATAATTTACTACAAATATCAAGGAAATTTCTTAAAGATGTTATCCTCGATACTTGAAGAATTACTATCACTTTCAGTCTCCCACCGTGTCCAATCGCGACATCGGGGTCACCAAAATGTACAACGATGTACAAATCGAAGCGTGTAAAACGAGGTCTGGTAAGAAGGGGACTTCATATCGTTTCAAATATGACAGAACTTTTCTGATAGCGCACGGACCACAGCAATATTTCGGGTAGCTTTTAAACTCACAATTGAGGTTGAATTCTGTAGGGTTAATCCAGAATGCTCGACAAATATTGGCCAGTCAGAACAATTTTCATACTTCACTTTTGAAGCTTTCCTCTCATTTCTGAGAAATGCATCATTACAATCCAATGTAGGGTACGACGACTTTTGCATATAGAACACGCCTGAATTTGAATTTAGATTCCTTTAGCTCTAGAATTTCAAAACAATGATGATAATTATTAATACAGTTACTAAATGGTGAGATAGTCATTTCATAACTGATAAAAAACATTATAACATTTAAATATCTATAAAAGGTTGCGCACTTTCTGTTAATCATGATATTTCAAAGTTTTCTTAACCATTTTATCAACAATGAAAAAAAAAATCAAAATGAAACGGGCGCGACCCAACACTAATTCATATCATTTTCGTTCGGAGAGTGTAAACACTGTCTTTGCGCATGCAAATTTTAGATTCAGCTTAATTCAATTTCATTCATTTCGCTGTGTCACGCGTATAATATGAAACAAGAGGTCATTTTACAAAATAAGAATTGAAACATGACTGGCAAATTAAGTTTTTGCTAATTACATATTTATATGTAGTAAGAAATCATATTAAAACGAAAGGTCACGTTATGAACTCGGCTATCTTTGATCAAAAACAGCGAAGGGTGGTAAACATGCACTGGATGGTATCATTTACATGGCAATCATCTTATATATCAATTTATTACCAATAATTATTACTTTGTTAATAAAAAATAGGTATGATTGGGTTTAATGATATATTTAAAATGCATTGTGTACAAATATGTTTATTTAGCCATGAAATTTGAGTAAATCTCTCTCTCTCTCTCTCTCTCTCTCTCTCTCTCTCTCTCTCTCTCTCTCTCTCTCTCTCTCTCTCTCTCTCTCTTAATTAATTGAAAATGATATGTACATAATAATTTTGAGCCATCTTGTAATGTATATATGCAATAGTTTTTCTTCTAATGGAAATGGCTTTGATAATGTTGATGTAATTTGTGTACAATCCTTTTGCTTAACGACAATAAAATATGTTTAAACTAAACACAAAAGCGAGTATCTACCCTGTATTTGTACCTTCTAGTCGCTACTAGGTATCATATAATCTCTAACCTTTGCCGTGTATTCTTTATACTCGTCCCGGACGCACTAGTTTTCGTTACGAAGACAACATTTCTATTGTGGAACTAAGAGTTGTCTCTCTTTATATACCCTTAGTACTAATTAATACTAAATTCAAAAAATCGGCTTCATCCTATCTTCCATTGAAAAGTCACAGCAACGATTTTGTTTTTCTTATATAATATATATTTCCAGATATTTTCGAGCTTCCTTATATTTCTTCGGTTAAATACATTGTAATTAAAAACGGAAAATTCTGGAAGGAAAAATTATGTCTCATGTTCATCTCGATACCATGTAAAGTACCTTATTTGGTAATGTGTAGACATCATATTGGTTATCTTCATATACATCACATTGCTGCAATCTCGTTCTTTTGTTAGAGTTTCGATGTGTTTACTCTTGAAGCTGTGTTAAAATGTTATTAGAAATCGTCATGAAAATAAAAGGCTCCAGAGGGAGTCGAACCCTCGACCTCCAGTTTACTAGACTGGCGCTCTAACCAACTGAGCTATGGAGCCGATAAGTAACCTGCAATGATTATAGTTCAATCAACACTTGTTTCCCTCAGGACTGTTTATAGAGATGTATATCTCCTTATCAGTTAGCTAGGTTCAGTCAGAAACAGATATATATCATTAAGAAGTCAATAGAGATTATATATATTATATAAACATATATATCTAACATATTCTTTTATAAACATAATGAAATATCAGGCATAATTCATATGAGAGGTTTGATCAGCCAATAACAGTACAATCTGTACAATCATTGTACATCAACTGGTAGGATTCTAGTTCTAGTTACTGATAAACGGTAATTCTATATTCAGCCAACAATAATGCATTTTCACATTTTCAATGGAATAAGAATCATTTATAAAATAAGAGGCTCCAGAGGGAGTCGAACCCTCGACCTCCAGTTTACTAGACTGGCGCTCTAACCAACTGAGCTATGGAGCCGTTACTGACCGTTGTAATATACACTATATCACACAACACTTACAAATACATAGTTTTATATATACTTTCATATCAATATCCGCATGTTTATTAGATAGAAACAGTAGAAAAGACAATTATAATATGTAATGTAATGTCATTTGTGTGTCTTTTACACAATTTGATAAAAGCAATAAGTCTCCATCTTATATATTGGTTTATTTATTTATTTGTTAAGTCTGTATCTTCTTTTTGAATCGGTATATTAGTTTAAAGAGTTTTATTTTCAGTATTTAATGAGTCTGAATCAACTACTGTACTTATTGTGAGTTTCATCTTGAATTCGTCTAGTTCTAAGACATCAAACGCTTTTCAAACGGTTAATATACTAACACAGAATGTTTTCCAAGATAATGCATATATATTTATTAAAACTAAATCTTAATCTTATTTGTAAATTAATTTCCAGCTGAATTTCTGGAGAGATTAAAATACATCAAATTGAATAAGATAGCACCGAATCCAAAGGTCGGCTACAGTCACAGTAAGTAAACACATTTAAAACTATATAGCTTGGGCGTTATTTATTTATTTATTTATTTATTCTCGCAAAACTATGGAAAGTATCTGCAAGAATCAGAGTCATTCAGTGGATCGATAAGGACACCGGACCCTTCGCTTTTTGTGGTCATTTGAACATACATGTAATTAGCCTTAACTGTTAGACATGTAAGGGGAGACAATTCTACGTTGTTTATAAGTACTCGTTAGATTATATATGAAGTTTGATAATTTTTGTTTGCATTTTGTCACGATGTGTGTACTGGGGTGGGTGTGGGTGGGGTATCGACGGAAATTTAACGTCCTTTCCGACCTTGGACGCAGAAATTATGTAAACACGTTGTGTGTAGATGTTTTATAAGTCAGTATCTTCCAAATTTACCAAGTAAGGAATCAGGAGATACGTGACTATATGTAACCAAAAACACAGTTAACTTTGTTTCGAAAATAGTCTATAAACTCAAAGAAACTACACAAATAGTTTTATTTGTATCTTACTGAAACAGACGCTTGTATAGAAATTTATCAAACAATTAAAGAGAACCTTCCTAGCGGCTGTACCACTTCACAGGATGTTTAGGCAAATTTTCAAAACTTATAAATTTGTTTTAGTTTATCATTACGGCATTACAATAAACAAGCTATATCGACAAACATTTTTTATTGACAACAGAATCCAAATCACCCTTGGCTTGGCCACGTGTCTTCCTCACGAGGAGGATGCCGAGTTGAGACAGAAAAGTGAGACTCGGAACAAAATCTGGTACAACCTGTTATACAAGAGAGATTATACAAGGACTGAACCTGGTGTGTCATAAACCTTGTTCGGATTATTTACTTCAATACGGACACAACCAGTATTTTCAAGAGAGCTTCCGAACTGATAAACAACATGCCATATAATGGAAAATAAATTTATCTATTTATTTGGTTTTTTTTTTTTTATTTCAACAAGATCTCATTTCTTCATGACACTTTGACAAGTCCTGCCACAAAACAACACACCATGCCGTAATTTTCTTGTTTAACCAATCTTTCGATTCCAGAATCATTCTGGTTCAACGTCACCAAGAAACACATATTGACGAAATCACTGCACGACGTTTTATTTACAGTAAGAAAAAACTTATATTTGACCCAATATTAAAGTTCAACCGTACATATTACGTGAATGCGGACCCTTTATCAAAATTGCTGAAAAATGTATCCTATATACCCCGATGTAAATATATTTTTGATAAAATAGTACTTTGACACTGCGGAACTCCGGATTACTGTAAAATTGGAACAATATACTGCGCAAATACACGTCTTATTTACAAATTTCTGCATTTTTTTCAACACCATACATATGTAATTGAGTATTATATATGTCCACGTTGAAGACTTACCTCATGAATATTCTTATACTTATATTTTTCAGCGTTGACCTGTTATTGATGACGCATTTGCATCATCGCTCTCCTCTTCTCGTCTTCTTCATCCTCGTCGTCCTCATCAGAAGAACGATAAGAATATTTACTGCTGATATATATATGAATGAGAAACCAGATTGAAAGGTTTTAATAAATGTTATTTTTTTGTTCAAAATAAATTACTTCCAGTTAAAAACCAACTGTTGTGTACTGTTTATACTACACTGATGGAACTAGGAACAAGCTATATTGAAATCGACCAGGTAATGCAATATTGAAATATAAC